GAGTTAGAAAAAATATGCCATCGTAGCTCAGTTTTTCGTGCGCAAATGCCGGAAAGCCCGCGAAGTGGAATGAGAGCAAAGCAGTGTTCCTGCATGGTGTCCGGTAGAAACGATCTCAAAACTTTCATTGCTAATGCATGAAGTGTGTCTAGAACAATCTGAAAACAATTTTCCTCTCAGTTTTCATACAAAGTTTTGCTAGTAAAAAATAATTATTTTTACGAACTGTTGCATATGGCTTCTCCATGAATGAAGACGAGGTACGATGCCCTCTGTGCGATGGATGGATGGATGGATGGATGGATGGATGAATACGGCTGAGCCCTTTGGATCGGGCGGTAGCTTACGCCACCTAGCCATTTTGTTTTACCATTTAAGCTTAGAATATTTAAATGTGAAATCTATATTCACTCCGCAGTGCAAAGAAAGTGAGGCTATGAAACCCCCTTGCCATCAGTGGATAAGAAAATACCTAGTTTTATTTCGATTTCTGCCACCATTCACTTAATCTTTGCTTGGTAATCTCTACTTCAAATCCACTCTCCCTTCGCTGTCTCTAAAACCCAATGACTTTATTAAATCTATGTTGTCTTCGGTAGGCATAGGGTGAAGCCCTTTACAGTAGAGTATCAAGTGCTCAGCCGTCTCGTCCTCCTCTCCACAAGCAGTGCACACTGTATCAATTTCCTGGTACTTCACTCTGTATGTTCTTGTTCGCAGAACACCCGTTCTTGCCTCAAACAGCAATGAGCTTCCCCTAGAATTGTCATAAAGGCTTTCTTTGGCAATAACTCTTTTGTTTAATCTATAGCTTTCCAGAGCCGTCTTTGTCTGCATTCCCTCTAGCCACCAATCTCTTTCTGTGGCCTTAACTTTCTTCTTAACTGAGACTTGCTCTTCCGTATCTTCGCTATAGCCCAAAAACTTTCCTCTTAATTTCCTAGTGCGCTGTCTCCACTTTGTGTCTACACTCCTCATGTATAAATAGCTGAAAACCTTTCGTGCCCATTGCTCCCCGTCCATTTGCCTCAACCTATCCTCAAATTCTACCTTGCTCACCGCTTCCCTGCTCTCAAATGATGCCCATCCCATGTCTCCTTGTACTCCCTGGTTTGGCGTTTTGCAATGTGCCCCCAAAGCCAGTCTACCTACTCCGCGCTGTTTTATTTCTAGTCTCGCATGCACTTCGGATTTCATGCATAGCACTGCGTTTCCAAAAGTCAAGCCAGGCACCATGACCCCTTTCCAAATCTCTCTCACCACCTCATACCTGTTGTAATTCCAAAGTGCTCTATTTTTCATTACAGCTGCATTTCTGTTGCCCTTACCTATTATATACTTTTCATGGTCTCTGAGATATTCTGCACCATCACATATCCATACTCCTAGATACTTGTATTTACTAGCTCTCTCAACTGTAATATTCTGTATCTTCAGCCTCTCAACTTCATCCTCGTTAAAAATCATGACTGCCGATTTTTCGCTACTGAATTCTAAACCTAATTCCTCTCCTTCCCTACCACAGATGCTCATTAATTCCTGCAACTCTGTCCTGTTGTTAGCCATTAGTACAATATCATCCGCATACATCAATCCCGGTAAGGATTGCTGAATTTTTTGGCCTAGCTTACTGTAAGAAAGGTTGAACCCAAGCCCACTCTTCTCTAGTCTATCCTCCAATCCTCTCAGATACAACATAAACAGCAAAGGCGATAACGGGCACCCCTGCCTAAGGCCTCGTCTTATCTCTATTTTCCCTGTCGCCTTTCCTTCCCATGTTATAATCACCTTGTTATCTTTGTAAATGTTCCTTAATAGTGCTGTTAGTCCTTCATCTAGGTTTAAGTTCTCCATTATGTCCCACAGGTTTCTTTGGTTCACATTGTCATAGGCCCCCTTGATATCCAGAAATGCCAGCCAGAGCTGTCTGTTTTCTTTTTGCGCTATTTCTATACACTGTGTTAGAGAAAATAAATTGTCCTCCAACCTTCTTTGTTTTCGAAACCCGTTCTGTAATTCGCCCAGTATGCCCTCGCAATCTACCCATTCCTCCAGTCTGTTCTTTATAATCTGCATTACCAACCTGCGATACCCGGCAAATGCTGCCATCTGTTGGCCGTCTAGGAAAGCTTTTTCTGTCTTCATTTGAGGACACCATGCAGGAAAGCGAGGCATGAGAACATATTCTGTTGAGAAATACAAACTAAAAACATCTTTCCTCGTGTGTGGACGTGATGCATGTTAGAGTTAAAAGTGCTATTGAGCGCCTCCATTGTGTAATTGTTCATTCGTGTCCGTAATCTCGTCAAAATGGACGGCGCCGTTGCCGTGAGTCGGTTATACACGTGCTGCCAGCGCGTGAGCAATAGCAATCGAATGAATCGGTCACAGACCCGTATTTAGAGTGCATGTGATGCTCATAGTTTTAGAGCGCAGCTCTTAGGCGCCCGTTTCCAGCTTGAGCGGCGTCGCCGTCGCCGTTGGCGTAACCAAGGTCACCCCAAGGTCACGTGACCCCCAGGACACGTGACCCCCCCTCTCAAGGTCACCCCAAGGTCACGTGACCCCCCTAAGGTCACCCCAAGGTCACGTGACCCCCAGTTCATGTGCCCCAAGTCACGTGACCCCCAAGGTCACGTGATCCCTCCCAAGGTCACGTGACCCCCCCGAGATCACGTGGCCCCCCTCCCCGAAGTCACGTGACGCCCCTCTCCCCCCCCCCCCCCCCCCCCGAGGTCACGTGACCCCCTCCCCCCGAGGTCAGGTGACCCCCCGGGGCATATTAAAAAGAGGGGAGGAGGAGGAGAAGGAAGAGGAGGAGGGGTCTACCCTCCCGTCAGTACCCTCCCCTCCTCCTCAAGAGCTGCGCTCCAATTCGGCGTACAGGGAGTTGTAAACGGCTTTCACTTTTTTCTACCAATTCACTATTTACTTTGGGACTCACTTCTGTTGGGAATTTTTTTCTAACTGCACGTGCTTTCTACGAGCGTCCGATCGATGTCTGGTTGTAGCAAACCGTGCCTTCCCTGTTCATGCTTTCGAATCACCGCCTTAAAAAGTTTTTCACTACAATTGCGCTTTGGCACCAGCTTGAGGCACTTGAGGTACCTGGTGCCCACCTAACTTTGCAGCAAGCCTCTGTTTCCTCTTCTCATCTATGCGCATGAAACTCGCGTGTGCCTTTTCCGTTTCTTTTTATTTCTTTTATATTTTATCTCGGTGCGTATCGGCGCTGATGACAACCAGGCTGGACAAAAATAACGATTAAAAAAGAAAAATTGATTTATGTGGTTTATATCAGATTTCTTGAGATTGAAATTGATCTCTGCTCTAACTGTAGACTTTTGTGCTTCAAAGTTGCTCCAAAATGAATAAACTGCTGCTGCTCCAAAACGAGAATTTTGTGCTCGTAAGCGGCTCCAGAATCCAGATTTTTCTGCTGCAAAACTTGCTCAAAACCTGTTTCACCTGTCTCACCCCTGCAACAGCTTACCGTAGAATCCAGTAAGTGCGCCCGCTGCCCTTCCCCGAGAGATTGCCCACCCCGTTTTTCTAGCTAAATATCCGTAACATAAAAATTCGGAAAACATCGGCCGAGTTTCGTCGGACATCACGCGATGTCCGACGGGCATCACGCGATGTCCGACGGGAATCACATATACCGCGCCATCCGCGATACCGGTACGCGTGTGACAAACGAGTTCGTGGCGAGTTCTCGCGTTTCTTGTCCTCGATCTGCTCGCGCGACATCTGTTCCCGCGGCACATAAGTTCGTAGCCGATTTCTGCGTGTTTATCGCACCGTAAAGTGCGAATCTGCTGCATCCGCAGTATCCTTTTCCATGACACAGGAGTTCATAGCGAATTTCCACGTGTTTATCGCGGTGTAAAACGCGAATTCGCCGTGTCCGCAATCTGCTATCAATCAGACTATCATTTCCCATGTTGTGGTTTAAGCGGGTGCCCCTGTGTTTATCAATAATTTTTTTTTTATAAAGTTTTGCTGTTTTAGTTTAAAAGATAGCCCAGCTCATGTTTTTCCAGTGACCAGTTAAAGGGCAACTCCGGTCGAAAACGAAACCAAAATAAATTACAGGCACAAATTATGATTGAAGTCGAAATATTGCTGCGTCCAAGTGAAGCCGCATACTCCACTAAAACCGATTTTAAAGATGCAACCAGCTGCTCTTTAGCGGGCGGCGGGCGGGTTAGTTTTTAGTGAAGGAACACTGGCGAAGCATCTTTGTGACGTCATGTCGCGGCAGTACGACTGATATCAGTGTTGCCATCCCTCTAGCAGATAATTTCGGTTTTGCCGCAGACGCCCGAAACCAAAGTTTGAGCCAGTGGTATTTATAAAACTACACACAGTAATATTAAAAAAAAATTATACCGTGTCATTCAAGGACACTGCTTTAGCTGAAAAGAGTCGTAATTGCAAATTAAAAAATATTGACCGGAGCTGCACTTTATAAAGTGTTTTACGGTGGTTCTTTCATCCAGTCCCATCTTTGTGCACCCTAGGAAGTTGATAAAATTATTGAGCATTTCATTGAAATTCTTCAATCCTTTCTTTACGCTCTCCCAATGCTTGGCGTTCTTCATTATTGCGCACCTTACATCCCGCCTCGTGTCGATCCTCAAAATAAGGCAGGTGTCCCCCACTGTCGGTCATCGTGTTCCTTTCTGTTAGTCTTTCCTACCCATGACATCACCAGATTGGAAACGCCTTCCCACAGTTATTGCCAGCATTTTTGAGAACGCCGAATTTAAAGATACCATTTGTCATTTCGGTGCGTGTTCTGATTAAGTATGTTTTCTTTTTATGTGTTTACCCACCTAATTCCTGCTTTTGTGTACGCTTCAGACTTTCTTGCCCAATCCCCTCTGTTAATGCCTCGGGGCCCCGAGGGAGTACATAAATGAGTGTATAAATAAATAAACCCTCCTTTGTCTTTGCAACAAGCGTGTTTGAACGTGCTCTGTCCCTGTTGTGTGCAGCTGGGTTGCAACGCGTCGAGGTCCCTGGAGCGCTGCGTCCCCTGCTCTCGCAAAAGGAACAAGGTTCGCAACCAGGGGGGCAGTGGAGCCGGGCATGCCGCTCAGGACGAGGACGCCATGAGTGGGAACAGCCTCTCCCCGGGAGCCATGTCCGCCACTGGATCAGGTGGGAGCCTCTTTGCGGTTTCCTCTGGCCGACCCTCGTGAGGCACTGTCCAGAACACGATTCCGCCACGGACGAGGACAATTAAAATAAGCGTATGGCGCCTGTCCCGTCCACTCCTTCTACTTGTCCTCGTCCGTAGCCCCGTTCAAGTTCTTGATACATTCACCCGACTATGGTCTGCTGCAGTATAAGAATAGCAGTACGGAGCTTGGAATCGGGTCTTTGACTCGCGTGTTTACGGAGTCCTTAAAAGTGGTCCCTCAATTTCCGCTTGATGACGTCGTCGTACGAGTGCAAGGCCGTCGCCGGCTGCGGTTCCACCGGTGTCACGACAGCTGCGGTGGATGTGACAGGGGCCTGTTCTGCTGCAGATCACCCTCTAGCTTGACAGTCCAGGGAGGCTTCGGCAGCCGGGAGTTGGGATGCTGCGACGACAGCGACGCTTGCACCTTTTGCGGGGACTTAACCACCAGGAGCGCGACATCCGATAGCTTGACAAGCCGACGTTTGTGACGTCATTTGGTGCTGTCTAAGGACCACTCTTGTTGTATGGGTGGAATAGGACACCAAACGCGCCAGTCTAAGACACGTTCCAGGCACCATAAAGGCAGGTCGAACTCCTCTCAGAAAGCCCTCCTCTCTTTCCATTTTAGCCGAGCTGGCATTTTAGAGGAGGAAATCACAAATTGTGACAAGCCGAGAGCTTTTGTCCTGCTACTTCTAACCTATAGCCCAATAGTTGGTATTAGTGGCACAATCAACGAGTGTTCACTTGACTGAAACACCGTTCTTAGAGGAAAAAAAAAGATGGCTCAATGTTTCCTCATGCAGTTTTATGCATGCAGTTTTACTTGCGAGAGATTCATTTTCTTATGAAAACAAATTGTTCAATTTCCCATCTTGCGGGTCTGTCAGAAATGGTGATTTTTAGCATCTTATGAGCACATGTCCCTATGACAAAACTGTCTCCAGCTTCATTGGGAGAAATGGGTCTCTGATAGTCAATTTGTTTATCACACATAGCATTCCTTTCTGGCTAGAAGGTTGTAGCATCAGAGCACTTCTTGCCACAAGTAATATTTTTTGATCATTGAAGAGAAGATAACTTAAAAAATTCAGCTGTATTCTAGAAAGATTATACTTCTGTTACCGAAAGAAAAAAGGCATGCAGAATTCAAACATGGCACGTTTTACCTCCAGAATTCTGAGAAATAATTTATTGAGTGGCCTGCACACCATACAGCGTGCATTGGGGACAATTCAGTTTTACAGCCACAGAGGAGTGACTAGGTTTGCTTCTTTATGGTGGGCATTATTCATGAAGCAGCTGCGGGCTAGTTTCAGATTCACTGCCAAGCGTTTCACCAAATCTGTCTCTTCTTCTTGAATGTGGTGCACCAAGTATTAAAGGTCATGTAAATTGGGACAAATTTCTCAAATGTACACTGAATGTTACTGAAAACATTAAAGACCTGTATCCAGTCTCACTTTTCTGCAGGTAGGAAAATCCTCTTTGTATCCTTTTCATCCAACCTCTTCCAAGCTACAAGGAAGCAGGACAAAATTTTACATGCTTTCCACCGAGAGGGGAAGATATCCTTCCTTCTGGGAAGAAGATTGAGGGAGGAGGAAGGTAAAAAAAAAAGTGGAAATTACTATCCTAAAATCTCGAGCAAGCACCCACTCAAAAGTTGGAGATAATCTTGTAAAACTGGGGGATGGGGATAGGTAAACAATACGTAAACAATACATAAAGATATCTTTTTTGTATTTTATGAATGTTACAAAAATTGAGGGGTGGGCACTTATTTTTAAATGGGCAGATGCTCGGTATCTTACATTAAGTCTGTATTAGCCTGTAGGGACAATATTCGCTGCTGCTACTGCCCTAAATGTTGCTGTTTCCTACTGAGTAGGTTCGAAGAAACTGAAAACTCATTTTGCTCGCTCACTGCATTTCTCTTTGCAGTTTCATTTTATTCAAGTAGTGAACATTTGTACGTCCACATCTCATTAATAATTTTGTTTTGTAACAAACATGGAGACACGAAGGTGTTTGCAGTGGATTCTTTAAATGACCGAAAGTTTGTACAAGACGTCCTGTGCACACCGGAGTGTCCTGACAAGCGTGCACCCATTATTCTGGGGAGCAGGACGTGTGAAGGTGTCGCTGGGTCAGGGCCGGTCACTGATGGACTGGATCCGGCTGACCCACGCAAACCCGAATCTCTCTGGTGTTGGTGGGAAAGTGCTGGACGTGAACCCCGAAGAGCTGGCCAGGCACAGTCGGAGGGACGACGCGTGGATCTGCCTCAAAGGTGAAGCCTGCCATGACCTTTCTAATATTCAGCCCACAAGCTCCATTTTAACCGTAGTCACCATTTCCTTTAAAGCACAAAATACTTTTTAGCAGAACCACAACCCCGATCTCAAGATTTTGATCGTCAATTCGTCTGCCCATGCATTTCCCGCTAAATTTTGCGGGGAAATTGATGGCCTGACCTCCCAATACCTATAGACCTTTTCATTTTAGTATTCGCCTCACCGGCGGATAGAGGGCGCTGATACACTCGGCGCCATTAGGTTGCTTCAATTTGGTTGGTTTTGGTTTGAATGTGCACGCGGTTATGTTGCTGTTTTACATGGTTTTTGCTTAATTTGGTGATACAATTATTTTTCTTGTAGCACACAATTTATGAAACAGTGACATTGAGCCACTTTGACGACTACAAGGCGTTTTTGAGCCTAAATTGCGGGCTTTTTTACGAACTCCTTTGATGCAGCTAATTATGGTCGGTTGCGAAACGCCCGACTAATGCACAGGGAAGTTTTACCATCGTCTACGGCCGTACCCGATGATACTATAGCTGATGAAGAGACCAACACGGGAATGTAAAATCGACAGCTTGATTAGCAATGTGCTCAATCAGGCAGAACAGATGAACTCGCGAGTTTACTACTCATTGTTTGGTTTCCGTGGGAACCCAACCTTTAGTGAACTTTGCGGACTAAAAAAGTATTGTGTAATGACGTAGATAATTTATATAAACAAGTAGCATCGTCTCAGCCTCTTTTTTTTTAAATTCAGTACTCGAGGATATTTTGACAGGCCAAGTAGGAAATTTCTTAAATTATGAGCCCTTCTAAAGTACTCATAAGCAGCATTTCGCAATATTTGCCCTAGGAAATAAATTATTCTTATGTGAACATTTGCTTACTGAGGATATTATGCAAGTGACGGACCCGTCAAATTAAATCTGGCATTTGTCTTCCATAAAATTGGCCAAATGAAATTAAAGGGTGCAGGAGGAGAAATACCTCGGAAAGTTTGGCTGAATTCTAGTCTGGGCACCAGTTCACGGGCATGTGTGAACAAACATTTATTTGTTTGAACAGATTCGCGTTGTGAATTTCGCCGTCTCCAGCCACCAAAAGTAAACCTCTATCCGCCATCGACAATCCTGGACTCGGGTGATTGTTATGCAGACGGCTTTTTTTTCCTTGCGCCAAATGTTGCGGACCCCAGATACTAACAAAAGTTAAAACGGCGTACGCAAAAAAAAAAAAAGCGTTGTCATTATTGCGCATGCACTGTACCAAAACTGCGTTTGGACTTTGAAATAGAAATGACGTTATTTTTTTGTTCAAGTTGTCTGTGGCAGTTACACGGGAAGTCTCAACCTTTGTGTTAAAATAAATTAAGTAAATTGATCTTGTTATTGAAAGATAATTAATAAATCACCTAAATGACTGTCGAAATGGGAGCGAGCATGGTACAAATTTCTTAAACTTCATAAGTAAACCGACCAACCGAATGTTTACACTGCAAACAAAGATTGAGAACTTCATACACATGTAGGTGTGATATTATGAACAAGCAAATCGCCTGAAGTTGACATGCCCACATTTCGAGCCTCAGATAAAATACAAATTAAACGTTCGTTGTCTATTTCCTCCACCTCACATAATCAACATAAACTGTTTTTGATATATTATGAATAAAAAGGATACTTCCATTAAATACAGATAGCCTTCTTGCGCTGATTATTTTTGACGCCTTCCGATCCTAAATGCTCGATATATATATATACGCGCTTCTTATGTTCCACCACTATTAGTAAACAAACCTCAGTTGTCATAAGGACCTTTGAATCCTCATGATGTCTTAGTCGTCGAGTAGACGTATCGGATTACAGTTGCCGAAGTAAGGCAAGAAAGCGCGGTGAAACGCGGCGAAAAACACAAATACAACGCATCCGCCAAGGCGCGGAGGCGGGAGCGGAAAACAAGTTGAAGCAACCTAATGGCTGCCGCGTCACATGATTCCAAGATGGCAGCGCCCATGCGAGGGAGGATGAAATGGTCTATACACCAATTCAGTCTCCACGCTAAGTTTAGTAGTAAAATTGATGTCACCTGACTTATACTCTAACTTAATCTCTCTGCGAAATTTAGCGGGAAAGTTTACCTTGCGTGACCCGACATCATGTGACCTAGATCAATTCTGTTTCCCCACTAGGTTCAGCGGGGAAATTGATGTCACATGATCTATGCACCTTCAGTTTCCCCTCTAAATTTAGAGAGGAAATTCACGTCACATGACTGAGACACCTTCAGTTTTTCCACTAGTAAATATACCGGGGAAGTTGACGTCACGTGACCTATGCACCAAATCAGTTTCCCCGCTAAATTTAGCGGGAAAACTGACTTGGTGCATAGGTCAGGTGGTGCCAATTTCCCAACTGAATTTGATAAACATATAGGTTCATGTTCACTCCCCCAGACAACTGTTTAACGTCTTTTAAACAAATTTAAACGATTGTTCCTTAAAATCTGTATTTCATGCATCATAGAACCTTAGAGGTAAAGGCTGCTGCCAACTTTTTTCATCTTCACAATGCAATTGCATCATCATTAATCGTGGAGCATCATGCGTCTGTAGCATGGCTGACTTGCCTTTCGGCCATGCCGCGGCTCTCCTGAGCCAAAATAGATATGACGGCGACTGTAACCATTTCTCTCACTTCAGTTGTCTCTTGAACGTAACAGTTATGCGGGGCAGCCCACCGTGACACTTATGGCTACACGCTACAAACGGAACAACTGTCAAATATTTTTGATGCTGTGTAAATAATCACAATTCTCTCATTACTAGGGAAAATTTAACTTTTTGTATGAAGGTTTAGACAGCGGGTAGTTAATTAGACCACCTTGAAATGGTGTCTGGCTTCTCCACCGTACGTAAGCAATTTGCCCAGTACGGTATGACTGTTAGCCTGGAGTCTTTCATGTGTATCACACAGTAGTGGTAACATAAATGTACACTGATTTGATACTAATTCAGAACTTGTTTTACTTTGGATGTGACATAATAAAAAGCAAAAAATGACTGTTTATAGAAGCCCATTTTGCATGGGCACTATTTCTGCATCTAAGCCATGCGAAGAGCACCTCTCAGCACTAAAGGCATCCCTGGTTTGTCCAGCAATTCATTCTTTGCCTGCCACTCTGAAAAGCTGCAAGCGTTAGGTCACAGGTTCTCATTTTTAATTTTATCTTAAATTTCTCTGCCACCCCAAAACATCATTTTCTTCTTTGTACAGAGCAAATATATGGTTCTAAGACACCACCCAATTAATTTTTGGTATCAGGGTCTTTTATTTACTTAGAAAACCATGCAAAGTCAAAACTGAAACCAGATAGGCTGGCAAGTGTGCTTTGAATGCTTTTGCATCTAAATATCCTTACTCCTCGAAAGCTGAGAAGCTTCAAGCACATCCTGTGCTTGCTGTACATGCCATGCCAACCGGGCAAAGAAGTTAGGAGACATGTAGCACCATCTTAAGCGCAATTTTTGCACCTCTGAGACAGTCCGCGACTGTAATCGTTGGACCCATTCTCGAGATCGAACGTTTTAGTGCCGTGCTTGAGTGTGACACAGCGCTCATGCCCAATCTTTCTGTGGCGTGGCCTGCCCAATTAAAATTGTCCTTTTTGGCCACCAGCCGCGGTGACTGGCAGCCGACTGAGATTCCTCCCCGTTCACTGTCCTGGAGCAGTGAGATATATTTTGAGGATATGATTTGCCACCATAAGGGAATGTTTTTAAAATGGCTAATCAGTTCTGTTTGAGTTATGGGAGGTTACGGCACTCTTAGTTTGGCTCAGCCAGAATAAAGCTAATCAGGGTTCCTGTTTCTTCAGGGAGGGTGTACAATGTGACACCGTACATGGAGTTCCATCCTGGTGGAGAGGAAGAGCTGATGAGGGGCGTTGGAAAGGATGCCACTGACCTCTTCATACAGGTACGGCAGTCGAGACAGGTTCTGGGGGTTCGGCCAACTTTATTTAAACCTCTCGCCCCTGCTTCCTATTTGGGCCCGGCAGAGATGACGAGGGAGGTATTCTGGGTATGTGTACTAACTTGCTTCCTGCTATTGTGTTCAAGCAGCTGCTTTCTTCAAAATATCCAAGAAGTCTTTATTTAGGTTCTTGCATTCAGTTGTTGAATTTCTAGGAGCATTTTAGTTGACATCGTCTTCCTGAAATAGGTGCTCTCATTGTATGTTGCGTAGCCTGCTGTTAGAAATATAATTTTAGGCTCTCAAATTCACAAGTGACAATTGTTTTCTTGCACTAATGTTTATATATAGTACATTTAGCCATTAATAGCTCAAGTACATTTCATTGCCAAGTGTATAGTAGTTTTTCTAAAGACATTTGCTGCCGTCAATGGGAAGCATCTTTGATGTTTTCCAAAATATGTTTAACACTCAATTGCGCCTTTGTCTTTGCTCCCACGTTGCTACCTGCTAGCAAACTGTGATTAGACACACGGAGGCTGCCTCGCTGAAAAGGACACGATGGGACTTTTCTCAGCACGCTCTACAACTTTTGCATTGGAGGGTTTGCTCAGAAGTTAATATTTAAAAAGTTAGCTAATTAATTTGCAGTAATTAGTCCAACACATAGTAAAAACTATCTTGACTTCCTCAATAGGACCGTGAACAATGCTGCATTGGTCTTGACACCACCTAGCCAAAACACCCTGTGCTCCTTAGCAGCTACTTTGCATACATTAAGCTATTGTCTGCTCTTAAGGGGGACACTGGCTAGAGATTTAACTTCTGAGCTACTCAGGTGATCGGAATGAAATTGGCAGGAGAGATTTAACGTCAGATGTAAATGAACTGTGCAAACTTTCAGCTCTTTAGGACAACTTTACATACCTGCATAAGAAGATATGTCAATCTTCGTTAAGAAATCTATGATATGCAAATGAAGTTAGTAAGCACCATTTTGACTACCAGAATATAAAGTGGGAGATGTGGAACTTTGGGTTTTCTAGGTTTTATAACTCAATGTAAATATTTAAGGAAGAGTGATTACCTCAAAATATGATATGCGTATCTGTCCTATGTCAATTTCTGAAAACATAGTTTTGCTTTCAATGATGACTTCAAATTAAAACAAAATAAAGTAGATAGCCCGATTCTACAGTAAATTTCAGTTCAGGAACATCTTGACTGTGGTATCAGAATGCTTTTACCTTCGAACAAAAGATTCCTTCGTATGAAAATTGCAGCAAAAAGTGGAACTGAGAAAAATTCATTGAAACATTGAACTCCTTCACTCCGTTACTGCCTCACAATGGGTTGAAAATCTTTTATAACGACGTAACTATTTGGCATATGGTTATTAAACTTAGTGTCAGGGTGTATAATTAGTTTCTAAAACCAAAAACCTCAAAATTGAAAAAAAAAAAAAAAAAAAAAGAGTATTTTGTTGCTTTGATTATAATTGTTTGCTAATCTCAGTCGTTCTTCTGTGTAAACTCTCTTTTCACAGGTGCACAAGTGGGTGAATTTCGAGTCCATGTTGGAAAAGTGTCTTGTTGGGAGGCTTGTGGGTCCGCCTGCCAATTCCATACGGAAATGTGTGTCCCTACTTTTCTTCTCGTTTCTAGCCTTCATTCTGCTGCCTATGTATTCTGTATATCACTCATTTGTGCACATAGTTCTTGATTCAATACTTTCTTGGTGTAGACTCAAGATTGGTAAGCATTAGCTGCTACTGTTAATTTTTTGTAGGGGGTTCATACTCAGACTTTATTACAGACATGGGATTGTCGCATATGTTTTTTTTATTGGCATCAATAACATATGGCAATTGGCGATGTGAAAAAGATACCAATCTGAGTTTTTATCTCATCCTCAGCTAGCTTTGTGGTGCCGAGGATACCATTTTTCAAGAGACTACAACGAAGCGACACTGGTGTTTCTGAAGGTATGGTTTGCTTTCGGTCCAGAACATGTGCTATTCTAATTTTATTTACACCTGTGCCTGATTGGTTGTGTTTGTTTTGAACTGAAGGGCACAAAAAAGAGTCACTGTTTTTTGGATGGTATTTGGTTGGGAGCAGGCGAAATTGAAGACACTTCTTATTGATGAAATATTGAAGGATTTATTCATCTGTGGTTCTTGGGGATCTGGCTATGGCAGCACCTACTGGCGTTTTACAGGTTCGGACCTCTTACTAAAAATGTCATTGACTTCCTCTTCTTTTGGATGACAACGTGTTCTACATGTTATATAGGGTTTTTAAAATATCCCCAAAAGATTATTGTGTGTTGTCATTCGTCGGAACTTACGAAAAGTGAATGACGAGGCAGAATTGTATGGATTCAGAAACGTGGACTGTGCGGGAGCGTGGAGCATGACATCCAGAAACTCATCTTTGAACCCTCTTATCACTCAGCTCGTCTTGATCACATTTATGGGGTTGGCATATTGATCGTTAACAGTCGCACATTCAATATCTCATTTGCTACCACCATCTTTCTTCAATTGCTGTAGTTAGCGATGCTGTTTTTTGTAAACAAACTCTTACTAACAGCACCCTTATTTGATTTAATTGCCATTTTTTCTCAGGTGTTCACTCTCCTCTCTAATAAAATAAATAAATGACATTCACATTATCAAAATCCTAGATTTTATTTCTGATGGTATAAAAGAGATAGAAAAACTTTGAAAATTTAATGGAAGGAAAATTACACAGGAAGGGGCTTGCCTCGAACTTCCTTCTCTTGCATCTTCTTCTTTTGACTTTCATAAAAACCCTTTCTCTTGTATTTTTATGACATTATTCACTTCCACCAGCTCGCCCGCATTCTTACTGCATTTTTAATTGTGGGCATTATTGTTGCCTTATTATTTGCTGATTTCCTATATATCACATTGATTGGCTTTCCATTGGTGCTGAGGAAAGTATATGCATGAAATTTGTTTATTATAAGAGGCTTACTTTTGAAAATGATACTACACGAAAACAGGTTGCAGTTAGGGACAGTGACATGCATATACTGCAAACTCTTTTTTGTCTGGCTGCATGTTGGCCAACATGCTCCAAATATTCTGTGTGTGTGCAGTTCATTGCAGTTTTTTATTTATTATTTTCTTTTAGATAATCCGGATTTAAGTGAAGAGATGTCATCAAGGCCTTCTATGAGGTGAGTATGGGCTCAAAAAGTTATAATTCACCCTGACATCTTGCTTTCTTAAAACAAGACAAGGTGTCATACCCAAAACTATGTCTTAGGAGTTTTTTTTTTTCTTCTTTTAAGGAGGGAGGGGGGAAGGGAAGGGGAGAGTCTAGAAAAAAATTGTTTTTTAACCTCACATTTGTTGAATCGAGATTTTATTAATTTGATCCAGGACAAACTTCCTAATATTTGTATTTACAGAGGCAACACAATCTTTAGCCAATTCTAATTCAGAAAAGAAGTTTTGGAAACTTTCAGATTGCTACATAACTAAAGCATTATTCAAGTGAAAAGCCTGTACTTAAATATCTCAACAGCTTGTGTTGAGATACATCGGCATTACCAAGTATGTCTAGCACTGCTTTTTTTTTTTTTGCTGCCAACCCTAGACATGCTTTCTTCATTTTTTCAAGCTTTTACTGCACATTGAGAAGTGTCTTTCAAAGTCTCAGTTATTTACGAGGGCCAATTGAAAAATAATGAGTGACTTTTTTATTCACAATTTGGTGAATAAAAGTTCTGATTATCTATTTCTTTTCAATGTGGCATTCTTCACATTCTATATATTAGCTAAAATGTTTCAAAAACAGTTCAAACAAATGTAGAAAAATGTCTGGTGACATCACTTTCAGTGCAGCAGACGCGGCTTTGCTCACTTCGTCATATAAAGTGTAGGGATTCGCCGTTTCCCACGTGGTCCGTCAACAACTCGAGTCCAGCCTGGTTCTTTCACGGGAGCGGGATTCCGCTCCCCGTTTATTGGTACAATAAAACACAACGCTACAAAACACTCAATCTAAACTACAAATACAAGCGACATTACACAAATATTTACAAACTCACGTTAAGCCGAAAGCTAAACACAAAGAAGGCCCCCAGGCCTCGTGTCCCACGATATCCTAGATCCGGTCGCCACCCATCTGCCTGCGTCTCGGTTTCATCCGAAGTTCTAAGAGGCCTCTCGCCCCCTGACCCACCGAGTACATATCAATTGATGGGCGAGGAGGTTTCTCCTCGCTTGCCACGGGGCGCCTGCAGCGCCATCCAGTGGCTAGGAGAGAAAGCGGCACGTAGGGGGCCGAATCCGAGATCCCGATCGACCCCGCGGCGACACGATCATGTGATTGTGTTTGAGGCGAGGCAGCTACATAGCTGCCTGGCGGCCAAGATTGGCAGAATGGTTTGATGGACGCCCTCGTGAATGTACAGAGCGCCATACTCCCCTCTCCTAAAAATCGAAGTACGCCGGAATTCAGACATACGGCTAGGCTGCTGGGAACACCGTCGCTTTGTTTGGCCTGGAGACCCCCCCACATGCACGCACACACCACTGGTCCCATGGGTCGTCCTCACTGAGGTCCATCAGTTCGCCCGAGACCTGGGGTGCGCGGCCACCGCATACCTCACTGTAAACTGTGTTGACTTCGGCTTGGCGGCAGCCTCCGGGGCAACTGGGTCCTTGAGCAGTGTGCCTGGCCGCCATGAGACTGGCCCCCCTCCCCCCCATGGAGTGGTGCACCGGAGAGGGACTGTGGTTGTGACTCAGCTGCGACACGACCCTGTGATCGTTTCTGAGACGAAGCAGCTACATAGCTGCCTCGCAGCCAAGATTGGCAGAATGGTTTGATGGACGCCCTCGTGAATGCACGGAGCGCCATAAACGAAAACTTATTTCTGCGCTGTTTTTGTTATTGTTTTTTTTTCTGAGTGTTGCAGATGCCGAGCGCTCGTGTGGAGATAAGTTAGGGCTGTATGAAGTGTTTCACGGTGCAATTACCACCCTGTTAAGGCAAAATTCAATCGTGCACCTGTGCCATACTCTCAAAAGCACGTCTCGTCATCTGCTGTAATGACACGTATACTAAGCGGTCTACGCTTGCTGCAACAGAATGCTAAAGTCTATATCTATAACGGTTCAACTCTAGTTTCAGACAAATGGATGTTCAGTGCAATCTACTTATACCGATAATGAGAAAACCCAAAAATTCAACTGTTATAACCAATTATCGTTGTATCTGGACTAGAAACTGAGCGTTTTTAGTCTAGAAACTGGTCATTATAACCATTATGTCATTATGAGTGGATTGAACTGAATTACCTTAACAGACTTCCGCACAACACTGCCCATCTACCTCAATGCAGAGAACAGGAACAGTTTCATTACCTCTCAATCAGCCCTCATACTTGAGACAACCTATAATACTACAGTATCAAGTAGAACAAACTTAGTAAAGTCTCGGGTCCATCTTACCTCCCATACTATGTATAGCCCACCAGTCTAGGAGCCAGAACTGGGTCGTTCTTTGGCTCGTTTGAAAAGAATTTTGTCATTGTTCTCATTGATATATTCTAAAATACTGAGCATCCGCGCATTCCACGATAAGCATATACCCACCTTCCCAATTTTGTAACATTTGGAGAACAGAGAATTGACATATTTTTACTTATTGTTAACCTAAGGGGTGCCAATCCCCCAGTTTTACATGATTCTTTTAAAATTTTGATTGGGCACTCGCTCGGGATATTAGGGTATGTAGTAGGTTCATTGACTTGTATCATAACATTGAGGTTTTGTATTAGTTTAATGTTTGCAAAATTCAAAGGCTGTGTTTTGGAGTTTAGTTTTTGCCCACAATTCAGATTTTATCAAAGTTTATTTGGTTAAATTATAAAATCTTCTGCATTCAAAATTTAATTTTGCTGCATTCCTAATTTTCCGAAATTCAAAATAAAAATGGACAGTATCTGGACATGAACTTACGCTAACTCGTAAGAACTTGCCTGTATGAAGAGATATTTGTTCAGCTAAATTTGCCGTTGGTGACCTTGTCATTGGCAATACTAACTGTCCCACCACAAAACTTGCCATAGTGTCTTATATCTAAAAGCGTGACTACTTCAATAAACATCTTTATTTTAACATCACCAAACTCCTATTTGTAATCGCTGAAAAGCTGTTTTTTTCCCCATTTTATTTCACCACTCCCCCCTGTGGCTGCACACAGTGGACTAATGAAGGGAGGAAAAGTTTACAACCAGTGCTACCTTTTCAAACAACAAAAACTCTAATAAAATGGATTTGAACATTGACTTGAAGAAAATGTTTTTTAGTTTTAAAAATGATCGCAGAAGTTTCTTGGTTGGCAGTGAAATTGCATTATCATCTGGATAGTGTATTGCATCAAGAACATAATCGCTATGTATAGCAAGTATGAAAAAAATTTAATAATTTTACTTGAATTTATTGTATGATGTTCACGTGTCCAAGATATGCATTACTATATTCTAGTTTTTGGGTTTGTTTTTAGTTGTAACACGACTAAAATTTACTGACAATTACTTATGGTATATTTTTTAAATTAAAGTGTGGCTTTTACTTTCTCTTTTTGCTTTGATTTATCTCGTAGAATTGTCATGTAATGTTTTGTGAATTATTATAACTATACTGAGCTACTGAACTTCAGAAGGCAAAAGCTTTGTCAAGTACCACGCCTTTATCTCTGCCCCCTACACGGCGAACCTGCAAAACAAATAAAGAAAAAATAATATATTAAAGCTTCACCTGCACCGCCCACTCCCATAAATTCTAGGGGTTCATAACTTTCACTGTAAAAAAAAAACACAACTCCTCGTCTAGCCTGAAGTACAATGACCAATAGACCCTTTTACAAATTCAGCGCCATCTACCGGAACGGTTGCGAAGCTTCGCAGGTGGGCGTGGTGCGGCGTGCGTCCGCCATAAGCATGTATGGTCGCATCGGCGCTTGCTCAACTTGCGCTACACCACCGACACCACTTAGGCCCCAGAAGGTGTTGCGCGGCTGATACTTCGCCACACGCTGCTTCTGCGATGCCTTTTCATTGCTGTGTGCCGCTGTGTAAGCAAAAAGGACTCAAGGATTCCTCTGGCTCGCGGTTGGGCGGTGCGCTTGCGGTTGGGCGGTGCGCTCGCGGTTGGGCGGTGCACGCACGCGACCGCTGCGACGATCAAAATGGAAGAGATCCCGACAGATTAGTAGCATGGAATGATATAAGCCGTCTCGTGCTCCTTCTCAAGCGCTAGCGTGACGGAAGGGAGCATGCATCTGCACCCTTTTCTTTTTGTAAACAGAAGCGTTGTTGCTGGGCTTGGGGTATTGAGATAACGTTAACATTCGGGCATTTCGTGTGACCTCTTGCGAATTTGTATACTTTTTTCTTTAGAGGTATCTTTGTTCGCCATCCCATCCGACCCCGCTCTCCGAAAAAAATGGATTGTTGCGATAAAACGTGACGAAGGCAAGCACTTCTCCATTACGAAGTACACTAAGATTTGCTCAGGACACTTTCGAGAGGGTGACTACATTCTGAACGTCGCTAGTAAACGTTGCTACCTCAGACAGGAAGCAGTGCCGAGCATCTTCGCTTTCAACGTCGCGAAAAGGCCGCCCAGAAAGAAACCACGAGTACGACAGGCGCCGCCATCAATGCCGAAGTTTTCCGCCGCTGATGCTGGAGTGACGAATGACGCAATCGCCGATCCGAGCAGTCAAGACGCGGTGAGCGAACTTGCTAGTGAAGGGGCAAGCTACGCATTCGCCGATCTGACCGGCGGACACGCGGCACTTGGGGCGTCAAGCCAGAAGAATGCAAGCGGCGAAATCGTCACTGTCAACGCTATGGAAGACTTCACCGCTGACTTCATGTGCCATGCAGTCGCAACTGAAGACAGCGTAGTGAACAATTGTAACATCGACGACTGCGTTAATGCTGCCACAGGCGCAGTCCTCGACCGGGCTGAAAGTCTGAAATAGGCGACAGACGTGTGGTCCACGAGACTGTTAGACTGCCAGCAGCAGCAGTGCTCGTACTCGCGATGCCGTACATGCTCATGGCAACGTTGGTGGCGTCTCCCTCGTACAATGTGGCCAGCCGCACTTTTGAGCACCGTCAAGGTGGCAATGATGATAGCTATTGAAGTGGCCAGACTGAATTTCGGAAAGGGTCTATTGTCCCAAAGGAACCTTGACGAGATAAATGATTAAATCCCTTTTCGTCAATAGTCTAAGATTTGAAAGGAAACTGGAGTGGCCTCTCCTCGAGAAAACTGACTCTGTTCTCTGACAAAATTAACTTGTAGAATACCATGTTATATACTTTCCTTTCCTTTGACATTGCAATTTTGAAATTCAGAGTGTATCAAATAAGTCCGAACCGACGAATATTTTACCGGCGAGTGTTTTCCGGAGTTCTCTGGATTTATCGGGAAACACGGAACCCTAGATATGCTGTAATGGTCCTCAACCCTGCGTTCACATATTTTATTGCAGCTACGAGTGGTCGCAGGACGACTCTACGGTCACGATAGTGGTACAGTGCAAGGGTGACTATGCAATTGAGGACGACAAGGTGGGCACGGACTTGTCCGGCAAGAAGCTGAGGATACGGGTACGGGTCTCCAAGTTCCTCTATCTAGTACATATCGGTGAGTTCCTCCCTCCCACTCTCTGCCCGTGCATGGTGTAGGAATCATCCTTTCTTGTGTTCATGCGCTGTTAAATACCACCAGAGCTTGTTGTGCATATCAAATCCATTGAAGGGGAGGCATTTCAAGGGCCCGAAAGCATTGGCCTGTCAGTATACATGTGGTTATGTGACTTCAGCACCAAAAGGAGCAGATTGTTAGAAAGGAAACCAGCTGTAGTTATGAAAATTTGGAAGGATTGAATGTAGTAAACTGTATTTGTGTAATTGACCTTTGTAAGATCCTGAAGTGATGGATGTCTTGTAGTATGGCAATACAAGTATTTCCATAGGCTGTGTGTCATACTGATGGCTGCACAAACATTTTCTCTCACCAAGACTGTGCATTGTGTTGTTTAGTACTGTGCAAAACTGTGCAGTCTTGTTGACATACTACAATACTTTATCTCGGAAATAGCTTGTTCCTGTGGCTGGCACTTTAGCTAAGGTTGGCGAAGTCACAAGGTTTGAAAACTTTTTAGAATATGTAGCTTTTTTGGCTGGCCAGCTGACTAAAGCATCTTAGAAATGAAAAAGCAAGTATTGCAAATGCTTAGTTAACTGTAAATTACATGTCAGTTTTTTTTTTTTAATTATTAAAGTTATTGTTTTATACATACTGATGTGCTGTTCTTTTGTTTTTCTTTATTCAGAATTGCAAGAATCGGTATACTGCAACTATAATGGCAAGTACTACTACAATCCTCCACATAACTTCATCAAAAAGCAACTCTAAGGTAGTTGCTTTTAATACAAGAAGCAATATCATTCCCAAAAATTAGAAATACTAGGTCCAAGGTTACTGCCTTGGGGAACACCAGAACTAGACACGAAAGGAACAGAAAGGTGACCGGTCACTTGTGCAAAGTTCGCTCATTGGGATAAATAACTATTAAAGAGACGGCAGTACATAGCAGATAGACCGTAGTAATAAAGTTTACTCAGAAGTGGTTTATGATTAACCTTATTAAATGCTTTGGTCGTATTGAAGTACACTGCATCTGCTTCTTCTCAGCTATGCACAAATGGTACAACATGACTCAAGAAGGAACATAGGTTTGTTTCCGATGAGCGGCCTTTCATAAAACCATTGTTGCTCACAAATAATTTTGCGAGAAAAATATCCGTACAGGTGGGTGTGTGAGAAGATTTCAAAAACCTTGGATAGGCTGTTTCGAACCATGGTCGAAAGCGCTAAAAAGACAAAGAGAAGAAAGAAGACAAACACGGGCTCTTGTGTTTGTCTTTTTAGCACTTTTAACCATGGTCCAAAAGGTTGTCTCCAATTAGCCCAACAATAAGTACTTTTACTTGAATAGGCTGCAGAGCAGAGATATAGGCTCATAATTGTTAACAACAGAACGGTCGCACGATTTTTGCAAAGGAACAACAACAGGGCATTTCTATGCTGTAGAAAAAATTCCAGATTCAAGTGACAAGTGTGAAGCAACACTTGACAAAGCAATTGAGCACGACACTTGACTATAAAACTAACAATTCCATCCACACCCGAGGACACTTTCATTTTAAATTTTTTCATTGCCTTTAATACTTCGCTTTCATCTATTGGAGTGACTGTCAAAAAATCCGTGCTATTGGTATCCGAGCTTGACAACAAGTTGGGTATCATTCGCACTGAAGCTAGAACGGGAATGATTCGCAAAAATATTCACATCTACTGGGTTCGAAAAGAAATCGTCATCATGTCGCAGCGTGATAGCGCTAACATTATCTTTCGTGCTTTCTTTGACAAACTTCCACATACCCTGAGGCTGTGTGCTTAATGATTCTTTCATAAACTTCTTGTATTTTTGCCCATCATGCTCATACGGTCGCTTTGCTGACACTCAAAATTCACTAAATTTCTTGTAATACAGTCATGTTGTCCAGTTTTCTGGTACAGCCAATGATAGTGCAGCTTACGGCTTAAGCAATGTCGTAGCTCCTTTGTGAAATATACAAGGTATACTTACGTTTACGAAATACCTTCTTTGGTATGAACAGTTCGATGCTTTTCATCGCAATAGAAGAAAGTTTGTCTGTAGATGACTCAATGCACTAACCCTCTAGAACAAAGGTCTCCAAACCCCGGCCCACGGGTCAAATCGGGCCCGCAAAGGTCTTCCGACCAGCCCATGGCTGGCCGCAATCTTTTCAGTGAAGCCTCGCTCGTGGCTCGCTTCGAGCAGGCCCACTGCTACCAGCGCAAAACGTAAAGAAGTGTCACCGTACCGCGCACCAACCGTGCAATCTATGCTACCATAAAGAACAAGAAGAAACTGCCTATTGTAACACAGGTCCTCTTACCATATTGTTCATTAGGTATTGTCATCACTACTCTTAGGATCCCCTGATTCATATCTGTGTAACTATACGTAGGCTTTTGTGTTCCTATGCCTTTGTGCTCCTATGTACATTGTGCTTAATGTCCTGTGTCGTAACCATTGCATATTGTCAGCATGAGGTCTACCATTCTTATCAGTGTTATGTGTTTCTGAACATGCCGAAGTTCCTAGGCACTTTGATGTATGAGTTTTCTGGGTCCCAATTATTGTGTAATGTCATACTTAGCTAATTATTATATTTGAATATAAAGTATATGTATTTGTGATTTGTTTGCCTTAGATTCTTTTTTCATTGTTACTCTAAGTTTAAATTTCCTAATTTGTATTTTCTTATTTATTTTCTGGCCCTCGAGACCGCGACATATCCCCGATCCGGCCCCTGAGCCAAAAGTTTAGAGATCCCTGCTCTAGAATACTACTCCAGTCATGGTCACTGAGATACTAATATAAGGAATAGTAATTGCCGTTCGTGTAGGAAAACCACGACTGGGCGTGAAAAATATGTCTTGTAACTTTAAAGGCAAACATTACAATAAACGGTTGGTGATGGTCATCCACTCAAGATAGTGGTTCCGCAGCAAGGCTGATATCGACGGCAAAAGTGACCAGAGCAAGGTCAAGTATGTTTTTACAGCAGTTTTTGACATTATCACGTTGCTCGAAACCGCTAAGGTCTACGAAGTCCAATAAACAAAGTAGCTTTAATCTTGTGTTAGTATGTTAGTAACAGATGAGGCTGTCAGATTGTCAATCAAACCCTGGAAATTAAAATTGCCATACATGTGCCCGTGAAATTCTGAAATGTTAATATTGTGTTCGAGGAAGTTGCAATATGCTGACAAAAGACATTGCGATCAAACATTGGTGGAAAGTAGTAATTACCTATCAAGAAATTCCTGCCATCGGCTGATATTACTTTGATCCACAAGAACTCAGGATACTCAAGATTACTCCTTCTATGAAACTTCAGACTCCCATATATGCACACAAAACATGGAAAGTAATTGTCCTACATATTTTGACTGTCTTCTCTGGGCTACAGATTTGGCCGAGTCACAGGACATTCGATAGCAAATGTGAAGAATGATTTTCCCATTGCTAAAGTAGACGTCGGCTAGCATGCACATGCGTGTCTTACAGTGACTTTGTAGAGGAAACTAAATTACATTGAAAAATTCTTTTTTCAGCAATCTTTTTTATCTGCATAGCATGTGCATTAAAGAATGGTAGTTCAAGGGCACTGGACTTCAAAGATAGATTTTTAAGACACATACATCAAGTGTTGCCTGGAGCCAAATACAGTAGAATCTCGATGATACAATCACGGTTGATCCGAATTTCGGGACGACACAAATTTTCTAAAAAGCCCAGCCAAAATGCCTTATCTGTAATCTGTTACTTTTCCCGGCCAAAAAGCCTTACCTGCAATGTGTCACATTTGGCACTCTCGCAGGCTGCGCGGCAGATGATACGAACAAAAGCGCTGACTTTGGAGGGGGTGGAGTCTCTCGAATTAAAAAATATCTAGGCACCTTGACGTACACGACATTGGGGCGCTTTCCGCCACCTTGATATTCTGTCCTACTAGCTCAGCTCACATGTCATTAAGCCATGAACGACCTCTTTGCTCAGCCAGGGTAGTCTTGGCCAGACTCCACAAGGTCACAGTTGACATGGCTAGAAAGCTATTGCCTGCCCTTGCCGAGGCTTTTTAACCACGTCTAAGGATAGGGTAGAAAAACCTCAACAAATAGAAAAAGTCGGCCAATCCCGAAGGCAGTGCAATACTGCCGGTATTGCATTGCCTTTGGGATTGAAGCAAGTTTCTCATTCAGAGCCATCTGGGCCGGCTTGCTAGAAACAGCATCTCAGTCGAGACTGAGTGGGGGAAAGCATTGCCTAAGCCAGCACACAAGCTGAGCGGGACTCAAACCACGTCTCGAGACGCTTGCCCGCCCCAGCCTTTGCAATGCTTTCTTTCACCCATTCTCAGTTCAGACGCCATTTTAGCAAGCCGCCCCTGTTCTCACCGAGTACCTATGTGTGCGTATTTTATTACCTTATTTGAAGCCCTTTTGAATATACAATTTTAGGAGGATACAAATATTTTACGCGACCCCGAGAGATTTGTATCATTGATATTTTACTGTAGTGTTTTGTCCCCCAGAAATGCTGACCAAGTACAATCATATTTCAGACTGACAATTTTTTTGCCTCACAATCAATTAACCGATTGTACTGGTGCCCCCCCACACTGCGGCAGGAGAAAAGAGAAACATGCAGATGACGTGTTAGTCCCCAAAGTTGTCCACAACAGATACCTAACATTTTCCCTCAGAATCTTGTTTAGGTGCTTTTTTGTAATTTTATTAGTGCCATAGTATTCTGGAAGAGAGCATTAACCTAACACTTTTCTAGACAAATTCAACAGCCTTTTTTTAGCTTCTTAGCAAGTGAGAAACACCTTTTTTTAGAAAAATGTTATAACTCTCCTTTTGTGCCGAAAAAGGAGGTCGCAAACGGTTACATCATATCGTTGAAACGTGGCCAAAATGGTCACGGTTTCATGCATTTTGTTGTGTCTGCTGCTGTGTACTCTTTATTATGTGCCATCCACCTTTCTCAACTCATGACGACCTGCCTGGCTATGTTTGCACTTCTTCGCGCAGTGCAAGTGAAGTGCAAGTTAAAATGCATAGAGCTGCGGCTGGTCAAGGAGAAGTCGGGCCTGTCCTGGTCCAGCCTGGGGACATCCCTGCCTGGCCACAACCAAGTGGTGCCTTTGAAGAGTGCAGGTGCGTCCAGCACACTTCCGCCTCGCTTTTCCCGAAGGCACTCGTTGCTGCGTATATTGACTCACCAGATGGCGCCGCACGTGCTCCATACTTCTCTTTTCTTTCCTTTTTTTTCTTTTTTAACTTTTTTGGCGTGTCCAACTTCGACTCTCGTTTCAAAGAGATTCCGCCGCAGAATATACAATACAACAATACAATACCATGTCGTGTTTCATGTATTATTCCTTGTGGTTTGTGCTTCATCTTGTTTTCAATGAATGCTAGGCCCGACTTGACTTATATAGTTATTATGGTTAGTAGTATCAACATCTGTCCCCACCATACAGTGGCGTACCAACTTGTTTTAGGGGCGAAGCTCCTTAGGGGCTAGCCATGTCCGTATGTCCGTCCGCCGTCGGCTGCACATGTTCCTGCTCGTGAGCTCACATGCTCACGAGCACGTGAGCACGTGCTCCCGTGCTCGCGTAGGGCAAAAAAAAACACAGCCGCATCTCCACGTGGTGAATGATGTTGATTGGGCCGAAGCTCTGGTGGTGCTTCTCTACGTAGACGGTGAGCCGCAGCATGCCGAGCCTTTCGTTGGTTTTCATTCATCTCAGAAAGAGAATGTGTGGTATGGAACGAGGTTATATACGCATTTGAGCATTTGACCGCAGTGTGACATAGATGAAAACGAACAAAAGGCTCAGCATGCTGCGGCTCAGTGCCTACGCAGACAAGCACCACCAGAGCTTCGCCCCAGTCAAGATCATTCACCACGTGGAGATGCGGTTGTTTCTTTTTGAGTGGGGGGGGCAAACCAGACCCCCCCCCCCCCCCTCAGGGCCGGGGGCGGTGCCCTTGGTATCCCTTGAGCGCCGCCGGCCAGTGTTTGCCCTGCCCTGTGGGGGCTGTTTCAGGGGGGGGGGGGTCAAAACACATGCCTTGTCCCCCCCCCCACTCTGAGAACTGGGGGGACAAGCACAGCCCTTGCCCCCCCCCCCCCCCCCCCCCCCCCGGTTGGTATGCCCATGCCACCATAGAATTCCAGACTTGCTGGTTTGACTTTATGAATGCCCAGTGCAATCCATTTATAACGATAATAAAAAAACCAGAGCATTCGTTATAACCGATTATCGTTGTATCTGGACTAGAAACTGATTGTTTCTAGTCTAGAAACTCTAGAAACTGATCATTATAAGCAGTATACAACATTTTATTTTGTACCGTTATAAGTGGATTGCACTTTGTAATGTAACATAATATTCAGCTTGCTGGAGTAAAAGGTGCATTAATACATATGCATAAGCAATCTCATTTTACTTATTTTGAAAGTGAATTCAGTGGGGAATAGCACAGGCATTTCCTGCCAACAAAAGGTGTGGCCTAACACATAAAATTCCGGACATCGCAACACAAACAATGGATTCTATGCACCACATGATGTCGCATTATCTGAACACAGTTTATTTGAGAAATGTCTCAAATAAAAACATTCAATCGACAAAGTTGACAGCCACTTAATGACAATCTCACTGATTTCAAGTGGAGCTCGTTTTGGGGCCCATTTTGAGGAGGGGCTACTTCTTGTGTAGCACCAAAACAAATGAAATAATATAACTGCCCCCTTCCCCCCCTTTCTCGTGATGAACTACTTGTGGTCACTGTCTTTCTAATAGGCTGCCCACTAATGGCTGCCCATAGTCCAGACTATGGGCAGCTATTTTAGAGAGGAATTGGGTAAATGCAGGCATTTTTGTCTCATTATTATGGACGTGCCAGTACCCCAGTTTAAAAAAAGAGGCCCAAAAATTTAAAGACGTCTACAATCCCCTTTAACGCCGAATTAGAGCGCAGCTCTTGAGGAGGAGGAGGGGGAGGTATGGAGAGGATGCTATGCCCCTACTCTCCTGCTCCTCTCCCATTTAGCGGGAAATTTTTGCTAAATTTAGCGGGGAGATTTTTCTTCTAAATTAAGCGGGAAATTTTTTCGACTAAATTTAGCGGGGCATTTTTTCCTCTAAATTTAGTGGAAAAACCTTTCCCGCTAAATTTAGCGTTGACTTTTTTTCTGCTAAATTTAGCGGGGAAGCTTTTTTGCTGAATTTAGCGGGGAAATTTTTCCACTAAATTTAGGGGAAAATTTGTTCTGCTAAATTTGGCGGGAAATTTTTTTTGCTGAATTTAGCAGTAAAATTTTTTTGCTAAATTTAGTGGGAAAATTTTTCTCACAAATTTAATGGGGAAAATTTTTCCGCAAGATTTAGCGGGGAATTTTTCCCCCTAAGTTCAGCGGAAAATTTTTTCCATTTCGCGGCGAAATTTTCCCGCTAAATTTAGCAGTGAAATTTACCCATAATGCAACGCATGGTGACGTCACGAGTGACATTACTCCTGACCTTCGTAACGTCACACATGACGTCATTATGGGAAACGTCCCATAATGCAACTTGCGGTTACGTCGACGGCGACGCCACTCAAGCCGGAAACAGGCACCGAAGAGCTGCACTCTAAAACTCCCTCGGGATATCAGTTAACCCAAGAGGTCACAGTGTGCACCCAGACGTTTCTTGCGGGTCTTGCGACGAGAGCTGCGCACCAAAATATGTTTTTGTTTTGTCTTTTACGTAAAATGGGTCATTACCACCTGCGGTCTATTGTTGCTCGAGACCGTGTATGACCTACAGCCGGGAACAAAGAATGAACCCTAGACCAGCTAGGTCCCCTCACTATAAATTTCATCACTGTTTGGGGAATGGGAGAGAAGAGTGCCCACAAGGCTAATTTCTCCTACTCTCTGTTTCACCATAACTTGGCAAAGGACAAAAGCTATGGGGGTGATGAAGCAACATCTGAGACACACAAAAGAGGGTAGGAGTTCCTCTTTCCTCTCTTTTCCAACGGCTTGGGTTGGAGAAGAGGGGAAGGGGGGACTTCCCTCTACGCTCATTGATCTGGGTATTGTGACCCCTATTCATTATTACGGATGACTCACACTATGAACGAAATTTCTGGGGAACGGAGGCATCCATATTGACGAGACATGACTGTAGTGGCCTTCTTTGGCCCCTAAACTTAAACAATGGCTTCTGGGGAAAAGCCTTCTGAGGAAGCCTCGGAAGGCTTTCCCCAGAACTCTTGATATTTCTCCAAGCTCCTGAATATTCTTGGACATGGCTACCCCTAATCAAAGTGTTGTCCCCCTCACCATTTTAGGGTATCTGACCCATTGGTGCATACTACAGTCACGTCTCGTTGGTATGGACACCTCTGTTCCCCCAAATAATCGTTCATAAGTGAGTCGTATACAGTGTAGACCGCATATAACCTATGTCACGGGAGTCGCGAAAATCCACACTATAAGCGGTACCGCGCTATAACCAAAACATCAATTTTTCAGGCCAAAATACATGCCATGAGACAACTTACCTTTGTAAAAGAATTTATTTTATGTTAGATGAAAAATAAAGCTTAGTTTGAGGAAAGTCTTTATTTCACCAGACTAGTACAGTTCTGTCTCAAGCGTGTCACACATTTTGAAAGAAATGAGCGACTTTCGCCTGGCGCAACCCTTTAACGGCGTCGCGGGTTGCGGTTGGACGTTGCGAGCGTTCAGGATTGCTAACCCTAATCACTTTTCTCCGGCGATAAAAACGCGTGAAAATTCGCATCGTTTATACGGTACGCGCCAGTAATACCTTCAACTTGAGCACAGGCATGAAATGCTCCAAATAAGAAATCCGGGCGATGTTCGAGAACACAAATGCTTAGAAATCACCACTGTAGTCGAAGTAAACAAACACGACGACACGGGCGTTTCTGCCGTCTTGAGAGTGCCGCCACGACATCGCCGCACGAGTAGGTGGATCTTCCCTTCTAGTACGTGCTGGGTTATTCGTTCACACAACGAAAATTCAGTCAAGGATAGCGCTTTTACGCGGAACGATGAGCTTCCACCACGCCGTCTGCAAACGATTACAACCGACGCCATGTTTGCGGATAGAAGCAGCCGGCCCGTGACCGGCATGCACCGCGCGCGAACACTTCTCCTCGACCTGTGATTGGTCTGTCGTTGCGGTTGCTCGTTTCCGACGCAGCGGAGGGACGCACGCACGTGAATGACACGTGCGTGCGTCCCTTCGTCGCTATGGCAACTGAAGCCTCTCTCTTCGCTTCTCCCCGCTTCTTCGAGTGACCTCCTTGTCCCGCGAGTGCCGCTTGTGGCTAGCGCCGTTATCTAGTGTCGCACAGGGAAGCGTGCTTGCTGCTTTGGTCGGTCGGCGGGCTGTTCCAGAAACCGCACTATAACCGGTATTTCCCTTTGCGCGCCCGCATTTTAAGCCGTATGTAATTACATGGAGTTCTATGGGAGCCGAACCGGTGGTTTAAAAAAGCCGAGTTATACCCAGTCCTGCACTATAAGTGATAACGTTGTAAGTGGTCTATACTGTATGACAATGAGACAAGCCTTCGTGTATAGTTGGTCCCCGAAAAGATTGGGCAAGTTAAGTTAACACGCTCAAGCACGCTCCAGCGGTCGGAGTGCACTCCAGCTAAACTAAACGACATTATCTCATTTCCGTTGCACAATGACGGAGTGCGTTCCGCGAGTTCCGTCATCAGAGATGGTCCGTGAGAGCTCGAACAGGTTGGTTTCCGCTGCCACAAGGCGTTTCCGCTCTTGTGGCCAGCCTCTCAGTGGTCTCACGTGTCTCGCATTCTATTCTCGTGCCTGCTTGGATACGTGGATACTTCGACAGCAATCACTTGGCAGCTTGTGCAATCGTTCGTTATTGTGGAAAAAAAATGTTGGTGTAGACAGGTATGCATACATCCTTCAAACGCTTTTCGAAGTTCTTGATGTGCCTTACCACAATTTCAGCATTTGGCGAGCCGATGAATTTTTGACATTCAGCCGTCATTTTTTAGGCTTTTGGGAATTCAGAAGACGTTTGGTGTACCTTTCATCGCCACACCAACAGCGTGCAGCACGAATGCAAACTCTTGCTGTTGTCGCCGTCTCTGCGCACCTATTTCATCGAAGTCGTCGTCGAACAAACACTTAACGATTTTTGACGTGACGGGAACCATGCTTAAGCGTGCGCAGGAAAGCCGGAACTGGAAACATTACAAATAGGCGCCAGATGGCACTTCGATACGAAAAGAAGTGTGGTCGTTTATCTACGCTCCAAACCCGCGCGCTCGAGTGCAGACATCCGGAGTCTAGAGCTCACTAAGTTAACGCGCCCATTCTCTCTATTGTAGCGGGGTTCATATTAACGATACATCGCTGTAGGTTGCAAACATTCCCGGGAATGTGCATTCCTTCTTAGAAGGTCTGTAGGCCTCTGCGGTACTCTACTGCATCAATGCCAAGGCCGAGAGCGGTTCCTCGGATGCCACTCGAGAGAAAGAGGTGTTCCTCGAGAGAGAAGCATCGGAGAATTCCCGTACTGACTTGTATGGCTGGAATCTGTGCCCGACAGACATTCCATCTTGTGTAGGTCACACTTATTGACGTTTTTGGGCGACGTCCTCTATTTTGGCCGTTCAAGGCATGTTTAGTGTTGCTTGAAATTGATCTTACTCCCAGGCATTATGGGTGACCAATCCTGCCTTGATTGACCTTTGCAGAGAGCTTTTCCAGAACCTGCACGCTGGTGGACAAGAGCAGCGTCACGCACGACGTCTTCCTCTTCACGTTTGCACTGCCGTCGGGGTCCCTGCTGTGGGTTCCCATCGGGCACCACATCTCCCTCGAGCACGACGTCAGAGGCACGACTCTCTTCCTTCTTTTTGAGTTTGTCGGTTACAAAATGGTCAGGGAGAAAGTTGTCGCGTGATTGTTCGTACAATGGGAAAGCGTACGGGCATTTCGGTGTTTGGATGCCTTCGTCTTTGCTGTAGATAATCGTTCGACCGCTCTTGTACAACTGCTGGCCTAACGGCAGTCCAAAGGGCATGTCTGGTGCAATTTTTACTGTTGCGCATTACACAATTTGTAAGCTATACTTGCCATATTTAAACATGCCTATTGAGCTACGGTAATTTTTTAATGCAAAAACATTAACTGTACCATGGAGCGGAGCCGGCGTTTTTTCGTAACCACAAAAACGACACGGAAATTCCCTCCGTGGAACGGCTCTTAAAATGGCTGCGACGCGGCCGGCATGCCGGATAGTTCCAAGGAACGCCACGCCACAGAGTGGCGCTGCTCCCGCACAATGCCGCAGCAGCGCACAGCCGCCGCTCCCCTGAGCCCGGCCGGCCGGCGTCCGCAGAGAAGAGCGGGGCGCACAGCTTGTAGGAATATGCTACGTATAGTATGAATGCTTTCGCATTCCTACATGTAAGTTACGTGTCCTCCTGTAATTTTTTTTAGGTGACTAGGGAGCCCAATAAATGTGTTTACAAGTTGCTTGAGAAACTGAAGAAATCAGCGTTGTTTTGTTTCGTCTGTGTTCCCGCTTCCCGTAATGTCTTACTGCAGCCAGCATGCTCATCTTCAACGTTGACTTGAACAAATCCTCCTCCTCCCTTTCTCGTTGGAAAAAAGGAATGGGGTTTGAAACTTCGATTACGTGTTTTGTATAAAAGCGGGAGGCTTGTGCAAACAATTTTGGACTTTACTAGCAAATAGTTGTAAACTTCAAAGGATGGGTGGATTACATTTGAGCCATAGAAAAAGGATGTCGTAAACTGCTTTAGCACACCTTCATCTGATGCAGCCACTAAACTCCCCTCTTTAAATTATGAAAAAAAAAATTTTAAAATAAAACATGAAACAACATTAGAAAGACAAGAAGGAGGGAGCAGAACAAGTGCCGACCATCAGCTGAACATTAATTGAAATATGTTTTTAACGCAGAATGTTTTCAAGGGCTCAGATTCCGAGGAAAGTGTGATGGAGCACCGCGGAAACCATAATGAAACGTGTGGCACATACTTCCGAGGACTATGTGTAAAAGAGCGTTAAATTGAGAAGGAGGAACGAAATTCTACATGGGCCCCACCGGGAATCAGACCTACGACCCCGTGATTGTGAGCTCAACATCCGACCACTGCAATAATCAGCAGGTAGATGCAAAGCTGGCGGCTTTATCTGTACCACAGCGATATCTACTAACAGTTCAAACACGCGAACGCCAAGTGCCGGATGCCGGCATTCAAAGTTCAGCGTTCACGTTTTGCATTTGCCTTTGAACAGTTTATCGAGAGAAACGAGAAATCCAAGGCGTGCTTATCATCGCCCAGAAGAGGACAAAGTTCAGAATAAAAAAACTCATTACAACCGAAGGATAATAATAATAGAAATATGCAATGTCCACCACAGACCCTGAAGAACGCTGCAGAAACAGACTCTGTGTATGCCGACTGTGTTGATAGAATCAAGATGTAAATCAATTATTTGTATTTTGGTGCTGTTTAAGTTTTTACTCAGTCACTAACGAACCTCCCGAAATTTCTACTCTGACGGTGTTTTGCAGAGGCCTTTCCTGACGTGTTTCTCATGTGCAAACAGGGATGAAGATCTCCCGGAGCTACACGCCCGTCATTCCTGCCCTGAAGGCCAACCAGGGAAGGAGTGACGGGAAGACCGTTCATTTGATGATCAAGGCATATCCTGAGGGAGCGCTAACACCGGTGCTGAAAGCGCTGCAAATCGGTTTGTACCCTTCCTGCCCTAGTTGTATTGTATGTTGTGTGTCTCAGACAAAAAGAAATCCAAGAGGCTAGTCCAAAAAAAAACTAAAAAAAAAAACTACTGCACTCGGCAGAAAAAAAAAATTGCAAATGACCACACAAAGTATGCTGATATCGACAGCGGTAGCTGCTGCATTGTGGGAAGGCACGTTGAAGGAGATTTGCCTTTAAACAGTACGCTGTACAATATAAGTGTGGTTCTGCCTAATTTTACTAGAAATGATTATTGATGCTGTTGGTGTCTGGTGGTTTGAACCAGAAAGAAGGAGCCGGTTATGTAAACTGATAACCGTCTTTATTTATGGTGCCGAAAAATGGATTCCTTTTGGATTCGCTCCCCTTTCTTTGGCTTCAGAACGGCTTGCTAAAATATTGAAACTGAAACCGAAACACAACAGATGCTTCGACATTTTTTCAGTTAAGATATTCTTTGGATAGTTTAGATGTGAAGCCAACTTAAAGAATGGAACACCCAGGTGAAAATCAATCCACCTGTGGCTGGATCATGAAACGGCGGTGATGTGATTGCTGCGCCGTTTGTGCCAAACTGCACCAAAGTGCTTACCCTGCTACATCGACGAAAAGCGATTATTTGCAGCAACGTTGCACTGAAACGTAATTTCACTTTTTTAATACTGAAGACATAGCAAATTATTGGGCATTTGCGTTGCACATGAAACATGCGGCGTCTGCACTCTCGGCACTTTTCATCGGTAAGTTTAGCGACTGGCTTAATGCGTAGCATGTGCACTCTATACCAATTCCTGGAATGGAGATACCGGCACTAATTTGGGTTTTAAAAACATGTGGCAGGGTGTCAAGTTGCTATCTGCCAGATGCAGAGCAGGTGCCCCGCAGGGCTTTCTCGCCAAATATGTAGCACCTCCACTCACGGCGATGTGTCGTGACATGCTGGAAAATGCTCGTTTACTAATCCAAATGGTCTGGACTTAATTTCCGCGTGGCGCAAATGCTTTTTTACTTTGATTGCCTCTTCCCTCCCTCCAAAACCCATCAGTGTCGAGCCTCGCAGCCAAGCTTTCATTCAGGCTAACATTTGGGCTTCACAAAATGCCGAACAGCTAGCCAAAGAGAATTCTACGTTCATATAATAGCTGCAGACCCACTAAGTGGCCGAATCGTTACGGTAGGTTTGTCCGAATTTTCAGGATATTTGATTACTGCCATGCTGAACCGAAATTTGGATTTCACAAAATAAGGTAGCAGGGGTGTTCAACGGGACGCCACAAAGCCCAAAACACCACTCATAAAGCGATATCTCAAACGGATAGCCGTATTTTTGTAAAATAAGGATGCGATTGAGTGAGAATCATGACGTCGCATTTCCTGCAGAATTGTTGAGGAGGAGGGGAAACGGGCCTTGTTTCCTTCCCTCTTTGCATCCTCGCGGAGTCAAAGCGAGAAGAGGAGGAAACGAGAATCACGACATCACGGGCTTTTTTGGCATTGTTCAAGAGTGCCCTTCTTCCACAAAAATACGACCATCCGTTGGAGATATCGCTTTATGAGTGATGCTTTCGGGTTTGTTGCGCCCCGCCTTCGCGCTTCTGCGTTGTTTTCTGAAATTGAAAATTCGGTTCAGCACTCAAGTGGATTCTGAGATTGTCTATCTACCGTCATAACACAATCTAATCTATTGGCTTTAAGCAAACTAAGAAACCCGAAATTACATTCAATGGGCGACTGATTTCCCTATTAAAATCCGATCAAAGATTGTGTCACGTCCCCCTTTCTGCGTTGTGGCGCAGAGCAGCAGGGGGCACCACCAGACGGGAATGCAGCAGGAAAGGGCTCTCTGAAAAGGAAGTACTTTGGGTTAAAGACAATGAAGAGGAATTATAACCAAGTTGTTAGTCAGCGGTCTGTTCGTCCCTTTATATCCTTTGTGTTTTCGTGTCTATGTTCTAGCCTAGCAAGTGGACTGATTATCATTGGGGTAGCATTTGTTCTTAGACATCTTTAAATGTTTTGTTTAGGTTTATGGGAGCTTTTCCTTGCAAAATTTTACGAATTTAGATGATGGACCGCAGACTTGCTGAGCTGCTAGAATGAATTTTGCAAAAGCACAAGTTGTTTGTTCACATGAAGTGTAAATACAATGGTGTCACACTACACCATTGACATATGGAATCACAGTTTGGTGTTTTTTTATTTATCTATATATTTACATTTGATTGGTGTTTTTTTATTTATCTATATATTTACATTTGATCAAGCTGCATCCTTTAGGGCATTGCAGCAGGAAGAGGAGTATGTGAAGAGTTGGAGAATGAACGTAGTGAATATTATAGTGGAAATAGTGAGGATGGCAACAGGTTCCAGTCTCTTGCAATACAAACAAAAAATTATGAGTGACAGTGTGACAGAGCTTCAACTTGGAATAGATGTAGTTTCAGAGAAAGATAGTGCAGTGTCATCAGGTGGTTTTCCTCCTGGATTATCATATAGTCCTAAAAAAAGAGCGTAGAACGATTTTGGCTCGAGGTTTTTCTGACAGGAAGCTAGTAACGGCCCTTTTTTTTTTATTTTTAAAGCTTCTTGACGCGAATGATAACTATTTAAGACGAATTGAGCACTTCAATTTTATATTGCTTGCTTGCTTGTCAATTAGTTTTTTTTTGTAAGTCGGTTCCATTCAAATGAAAAAATGATCAGAGAGCTTCGTGCATATAATGAAACATTTACATTTTCATTCTTTCCCATGACAATAATTGTGCAGATTAAGTTGCCAACAATTACTGTTAAGAGTGCAAAAGGTGGCATGTTTACTGCAAATATCAGGGTTGTCCTTTTATCAAAATGTGGTCTCGTCTAGGTGATATGTTATTTTTATTTATTCATTCATTTGTATTGCTTTTTCCAATGTTTTTCTTTTTGCCCTTTAATGATGTGCACTCTAGTTTAATAGTGTACATTGTTGGTCTAATGGTACATCTTAGTTAAACATATAAAATACCGCAAAAAAGACTAGGACAAGAAGTATACAGGACAAGCACTTGTCCTGTATATGTTTTGTCCTTGTCTTTTATGCACTATTTTATATGTTTAACTCCAGCTTAAATTTGAATAAATCTGCAGTATTAATTAAAAAGAAAAAGCTTAATCTAGATTTGACTAAAAATAAATGTGAAGTACAGAGTAGTCTTTATTTGTAGTTTTCTGTTACAACACAAGTTTTTTTCTTTTTAGAAAGCCCAACATTCTGTTAACTTTTTTAGTTAAGCAAGCACAAGTTTTTTTTTTTTTATTTGGGGTTGCATCTTTGCGCTTTCCCGTCCCAGTTGGGAATGCTAAGACCATTCAGACCCTGACTGGGAAACTTTCCAACCAATTGATCCCACAATTGGTTTGAGTCTAACTTGTTTTTAAACTGGGGATGGTTGCACCAGTTGACTCCCATTTGGGAATTAGTTGCATCCAGCTGAACCCCCCAACTGGTCCCAGTTCGGCCCTCAGCTGATCCCAGTCGAGCTGCTATTGATCCCCATTAAATCTCTGTTGGGATCGGTTGGCATCCAGTTGGGACCATTAATTCCCACCTGGGACCAGTTCTTTCCCAGTTGGGATTTCAATTGGTCGCAGTCAGACATTTTCACTGGCTTTGGAGCATCCCCGAATTAAAACAGTCCCACGTGCGGTTGCAGGCGACACGGTGGAGATGAAGGACACGGAGGGAGACTTCGAGATGGCTCTGCTCCACAAGTGCCACACCCTGGTCCTCTTGGCGGCCGGCACCGGGTTCACACCCATGGTCCGCCTCCTCCACTGGGCGCTCTTCGTCTCCAAGCAAGTGTACGTCACCTTTGGCGCCGCCGAAAAGCGTTAACATCCATCATATTTGTTAGGTAGTCTAGAGGCATTACTTCAATAATGCGTATGGCGCATTGCTATTCCATGTAGTCAGACACCTTTATAATGAAGTTCACACGACCGTTAAAATTTTTTGTAGTGCGAATAATTTTGTTGTAGTAGTTGAGTGCAAAACATCGATCATGCGAAACCGATTTTGTGCTATCGCGTATTGACGTATTTGCGCGACACTGAAGGTGTCTTAGGAAACGGTATAGTGCCAAATATAGTATGAGGGACATAAAACGAGGTTTTCTGCATCGGCAATGGACTTATCAAAAGAAGGTATGGTGGCCGAGTCCACTAGCACATCACAGCTCGGAGCATGTGGGGCGAAAGCTCGTGCTGCGGAATCCAGGCAACTTAAACCTGATTACCACTTCTTTTTTCTTTTTCTTTCTAAATGAAAATTGTATAGGCACTCGTTTGTCTACTCACCTCTGCAAGTCCCAAATCTTGCTAGATCTTGCTAGATCTTGCTAGATCAGAGTCCCAAATCGTTCTGTCTCGGAGAGACAGAACGATTTGGGACTCTGATCTAGCAAGATTGGGAATCTTAGAGTTTGCTGAAAATTGGTGCGTCAATAAAACAAATGTTAATACTGCACAAATAAGTAACGGGATTTAGTTGAGCTTGTTGGTGCATAATACAAAGTATAATAGGGCCAGCTGAACTTAGAGAAATAGAATATAGAGAGAAAAAGGGACAGACATACCACTGGACTATTAACTGTATGGATTATTACTTCCTCCTCTTTTTAAACCTTGACTTTATTTTTTTTATTTTTAAAGCCACATAAAAGCACTTATATCGTAAAACCTAACTTAAATTTGTATCATCCACACTTTGCCGGGACATAAAACACTGCAAATATTGTTTATCTTTGGTATTGAGCTTGATCGAGGGCTCGCTGATGCACGCTGCTTCGTTTTCTTTTGTAACCCAAGTTCTCCAGCATCTCTCGTGCATACTGATTCTTGTGTTTTGTGATGACGGTGACGCTGCTGAACTCTGCACTGCATTCAGTTGCTGCAGTGGGCTGGTAGATGACCTGCTGTTGTGCCTTTTAGAGGTGCTGCGTGTTCTCTTGTCCTGTCATTAATGCATCTGCCAGTTTGGCCAATGTAACAATTGCTACACAATAAGGGGATGTGATATGCAACCCTCTTTTCACATGGGGCATATCGCATCCTGTGAGAGATGTTGCAGGTTTTCATGTGATTGGTGTCCTGGTTTACCTAACGGCACATGGAATATGCTTTGTTCGGTGCAGAGCACACAACCTTAATGTCCTGCCTCGCACCTATTTTTTTTAATCTGTGAGTTATTCCATGAATGTAGGGTAATATTGCGATATTTTGTTTAGTTTTTGTCTGCTGCATTCCACCTGTATCCAATGTTTTGCACTTCAGTTTTATGGAGATGTTTTTACACATGCTGACCAAGAGCATTTGAATATCCAAAGTCTCCGAAACGGGAAATTTGTCTTTTAAAACTGGACTCAGCATTATGGTGACACGATTTGTTTAAGGTCGATAGAAGAGCGGTGTTCGCAACACTTCGTTTTATGGTTTTGGAATGTCCCGACGCAAACGGATAAGATCCCTTGCTTGACCTGGGTTCATACGTCCAGCAAACATGCCTCTCTTTAAAATTCAGTTTGAGATCTAGGAGCCGACACCCATATCCACGGGTAGTTTGCGCATGAAAACCAACTCTGGGCAGCATTGTTGGAAGCACTGCGGGAGTATCTGTTTGCATTCATTGGTTTTATCCCTTACCCTTTTGGTATGAAGTATCAGGAAATCATCAACATACCTGAAGATGGCCTTGATTCTCATATCCTTTAAGTTATCCTTGATGGTCCTTCCATGTTCTGCCAGGAACAAATCACACAGTTGAGGTTCCATGTTAGACCCAATGCACACTTCACTTTTTTGTAGAAAGTGTTGGCCTTGGTGTGCAACTACTCTCGATGTTAGGTATTTAGTGAGCAGTTCAAGGAAGGTATCTACGTTGATCCCCACTGCATTTTGGCACAATATGCTGCCTTTCTCTTGTACGATGTTGCAAAGAATTCTCTATATTCTATTTTCCAAAGTTCAGCTGACCCTATTACAGCACAAATGCCAAGACAGCATAGTTGCGACATCCGATGAAAGTACTTTTTTACAGCGGTAGCTGTTAGTGCTCCTTCCCAGGAAGAAATGTTCATGTACGAATTCAAAACCCCACTCTTCAGCAGAGGCACTGCTCCCCCTCTCCCTGTTATTTCTCCCCATGATCAGGTGGGTTTTTAAGAACAGTGGAGGCCTACAGGGAGGAAGTGAGCCGCTCTATGCACGTGAGCATTTTTTTGCTGGGAAGTGGCACTAACATCTAGCACTGTAAAAACACCTCGCAAATACAGTCAAACCCGATTACAACGAACTTAGGGACAGCGAATTAACACCTATATCGAGCACGTAAAAATGTTTTATCAGTATGCATGCAAAATAGGTCTCGCATAACGAACTACACAATTGATATATAAAATTTTCAGCGCCTACGACCACCAGCAAACACGCAAGCTCCGGCACCTCTGGCGGTCGGCTTTCTTGTAATGCAGGCGAAGGTTCCTCCTCGCCCGGCATGAAGCCTCCACTTAGTTACGCTTAGTTACACTGCGACGCTTTTCAGTCAATACATTCCGTTGTTACCGGTGTTTTCGGAACAGACGGAATTTAGGTGGGCACACAGCCAATGCATTGCAGACCGAGCCTCGGCATCGTAAAATTCACTTCCCGAAGCCTGCTGCAGCTTGCCATTTGGTTTTGCAATCTGGTGTGGTTCCTGGTTCACTATGACGACGAAGCAGCGGCACGCTTTTCAGCTTTCGGACAGAGCGGACATCGTTACTGGATAATACGCCGAAACAACACTGACAAAACGAAGAAAGATCTAGACAGGATGCGGCGTAAAACAACTGAATAGTTTATCTAAGAAAATGTGCAAATAAAAATAAAAAAAAACCAACAAGTGCTGATGGAACACTGTACGATAAGGTCTAACCACACTCCCGACAAAACCAGCATCACTGGCTCTGCATATACCGAAAATCCCGAGAGATGCCCCACCCCCAAAAGATAGCCCAACCCCATTTTTGGCTTGGTTTGCTATATTTTTTTAAACACCGAAAGATAGCCCATTCTTATTAATCGTAGTACTGGGATCAGTGATGGCCTCGACATAAATGCGGCTGTTAGCTATGGTAGGAGATACGCGAACATTGCTGACTGGGAAGTACAGATATCTTTGCTTCGTTGCCGGAAGGGACACAACCTTAAAATATCAATTTTTAAAACTTTTCTTGATTGTACATTGAAAGTTAGCCCACCCCATATTTTCACCCGATTTGCTCTTTATGTTAGGTGGGCTATCTCTCGGGATTTTACGGTAGGGAAATTCTTCGTCGGACAATAACGTTCGCAATGTTGAATGGGGTGAACAAAAAATAGGACTTGGCCACCACCTTCAGCATATATAGGATTGCATTAAGCACACTCTGTGTATAACGAGCAAATTGTAAAAAAATTTGTTATAACGAACTTCTCTCCTCTGCGTATAACGATATTATGGGGTATATCGAAGGAAACCTGGCGTTTTATATGGTTTAGTATAAACGGGTTTGACTGTACATGGCGTAAAACTATGAAGCAATAAGGAAGCCTGGTTATAGGCTATGGGCTCTATTTGACAATATTATAATTGCTCTAAGAAGTGGCTGTCTATGATTCTTATATACATCGTCATTCATAACAAATATTCCCTTGAGAAACATATATCTACTATAATCACAGAGTGGCAGCATGTTCTCCCATGAACACATACAGGGGTTTGATTTATCTGATATCCCCAAAACACTGAAAGGTCTAAGTGCATCTGGCTTATATGAATTGTGGTAGAGTCAGCATTTGTCCTTTTTTCAGCGAAGCTAGGATCTGGAAAAAAATGTGTCCATGGATGTTAACAAAAAAAAAACAATGTTTAAATGGTGCTCCTTTGTTCCAATTGGTCGTGGCAAGTATAAATATTAAGAGGGGGCAACCGGCATGGGTCAGCCTTCCTCGGCATTATTAGATAGTGACGTCCTGATCCCTTGTTATCATCTATGGTCATTGACTTACCTCAGCTAAGAGTGAGCTGTGACGAGGCTGAGGGCAGAATGCTCTGATCTAACCTTCTTTTCTTTCGCTTCCACGATGTTGATAGAGACTGGGGCTCAATCAGAAAATACATTCCTCGAGGTCTGCCTCGAAAAATTGTGTTTATAACTTGTCCATAAGTGACCATAAGGCAATGATCACTCTAGTCACTAAGAGTTAAATAAAGACAATTAAACAATGAAGTTGTGTATGTCTCTTCATCGCAATCATATGTAAATTGTATAGTTGTCGTAAAGATAACAGCTTCACTGGTCCTCCATCTTCACATTAATTGTGGATGAGTTCTACGATATTTTTTTAATTGCTTGCAAGAGAACTTTTAAGTGATATGTCACTTTTTAGTGGCTGATTCGTTAGCATTTGGAACCAATTTTCGTTAAAATGGTATTTTCGTTAGATTAATAGAAATGCATAGAAGAATGTTTATTGTGTATTTGGCTCATCTAGAAAAGAGGCTTCTCATGTCGCAACCGATGTAAGCAGTCCCGTCGGTGAGTTCAGCCCATTGCACTATGCTTTTAGGCAATTTAATTTTAACCTGTGTATTTTACTCTGAGCATCGGGGTCCCTTTGTTAATCGTTTGTATGAGTTAGGCAGACTGCTTTGTACACAAGGTGTCTGACCTTTCACTTTTTTTTTTCAGGGATGTGAAGCTGATGACATTTAACAAGACAGTCAAGGATATTATTTGGAAGGAGGAGCTCGACCACCTGCTACAGGAGCACAACCGGTACACAGCCAGAACCCAGTTTCCTTTTGCAATTGCTGCTGTGTGTGGTGACATCCATACTGGGCCAGTAATTCAATTACAGTTATACACAGTATAACCTCGTTGATACATTCACGGTTGTTACGTTTTCCCAGCTTTTACGTTCAAAACTGCCATTCCCGCCAAACTCCCAGCCCTTGGGGACCTTCTCGTTTTTTGTGTTTTCCTTTTTTGCGGTCCCCTGAGTAACTTATTATTGAGGTTCTACAGTATTTCAATTTCATATATTTCATGTGCGGAAAAATGCTATCACATCAACGTTATTGAAGTTTGATAGCTTTCAAAGTAAAATAATTGCGTTAGTTTCTGACGGTATAATCGTTCTAATCGTAATTTAACCACTGTTGAAGCACATAATTTTAATTGTAAATAAATGGCATTCCCAAAGTAATTTACCCAAGCATGGTGACATCTGTTTGCAGTGAAACCCACTGAACAACTTGCTATATTCAATAGACCCTTGTCAAAAGTGTATCGAGCAACACTGGCAGCCACCATATCTTGATCACTGTTCCCTGCGCAAAACACTTGATTGGATCCAAGTATGCACCGAACACTGACGCAGCACTCGTCTCCAGTGCATGCTTAAAGCTCATGCCCAAATGGGGGGGGCTTCAGATAAACGACACATCAGCTACTGGATGCTGCACACTTTTCAAAAGGGTCTACTGATCAAAGCTGGCCGATGCCAGCTTGGAACAGCTCAAGACATCAGTTAAACTTTCTTTTTTTTTTTTTTACAGCAGAGATTTTAGGGGCTTGTTTCCCCAGTTTCGTTTTCGGTACCAAACAAATGCCGACACAAAACTCTAGACAGCTACCGCCATCTATGAGCGACGACGGCAACCAAACAACCAGTCTGGTTGCCGCCGTCGCTCATAGATGGCGGCAACCTTTCCAGCTACAGTCCAACCTCGTTATAACGAAGTAGCATCGGGCCCGCAAATTCGTTCGTTATATCCAATATTCGTTATAAAAGTACTCAGAAAAATCGTCTGCCACAGGGTGTGGCAGACGATCTCGTGCCGGTTCTTAAAGCGCTGAAGCCAACCGCTACTTGCCCTGAAGTCATGATGCCCTAAGAGGCACGCTAAACTGACGGCTTTCGTTTGCAGAAGAGCACCAGACACCGGCAAGTTTCGCGCTCTCACGTCCTTGAACCAGCAGAACAAAGCCTCTTCCACATCGGGGTAATGAGAAGGCCTGTCACGCTTTCTGTCGCCTCTCAGAGTGCTGTTGGCGTAGGTCTCTTCAGTCTTCTTCCTCGAACTTAAGAAAGTAGACAATGTGCTGGGTGGGATCTTGAAGTCCTCCGCAACATCTTTCTTCTTGCGGCCGCTGTCAACTGCTCTTAAAATTTTAACTTTCGTCTCGAGAGACAGAGCTTTGCGCTTCAACGTCGCCATTTTCTGCTCCCAGAATGACTGACTGCCGTCGCTGTCGCTTTGGCACTCTAAATTTTAGTGTTTGATGACGCTTATAGGTGGCGCCGCTGGTGCGCCATCTTTTAGGGTTTATGCACCCGCTTCATAGATGGCGCCAGTCACCTCCCAAAGTGCTCGTTCGAGCGTTGGCAACGTTCGGTATCTTGAAAATCGGCACTGAATTTAGGTACATTGCCTTTTTACATGGTAATTTATAGATTTTATTTCTTTTTGTTTTGGTATTGCACATATTTCGAGCCGTGCGCGGCCGAAAATAATTTTGCTATAACCGATACCGCGTAGGATTCCGTGGTTTCGGTTTCGTTTTAAAGGTCGAACTTCCATTGAAATAAAGCATAACCAACCAAAATTTATATTTACTTCGCTATATCCGATAATTCGGTATATCAGTGTTTGTAATAACGAGGTTGGACTGTATCATGGAAAGATGGATAGTTGGGCGAGTTGGTCGGAATTCCTTGTAGGAAACAGCGCGCAAAACAGATGAGGACGAAGAAGAAACACACGGGACAAGTGTACAGCTTCGCTCGTCTTCCTGCTTCACCAAAGTGGAAAGGCTGAAAGTTCTTTTTGTATAAGACCTTTAAGTGTTTGTAATTCACAATTACAGGTCCGTATATCTGCCACATTTGGGTGCACCAACAATGTTACTCCATGCATGCAAACGTCGTCACCCTGCTTCAGCCGCTACAGCAACATCACCAAATGGCAGCCAAGAAACTGTTTTTGTATTGTATAGTATGCACTTGTATGCTTCTCCGAAGACTGCCATATGTGGCTCGTTGTCCATCGACATTTACTAAGTGATTGAGCACATTGCAAATCAGCTTTCCCACAAAACGTCCAGAAGACAAATTTTTCCTTTGTTGATCGGGAGGATGCCAATGAATTGCAAGGTCAAGAATATGTTTACACACAAAAATAGTATCCAAATTGTTGCACCGAACATGGTGTTGCTTCGCATGCTCAGAAATCATTCTTAGTCTAAATGTATTCTTCGATCATCATTTCCTAGGCCTGTTCATGACGCCAACTGTTGGCTGTCTGTCCGCACCGCTGGAATATAGAACGTTCAGGCTGTTCCCATGGAATGGTTGGTCTGCACCTAGCAAAATGTGGTATATATACCTAGCTGTACCAACATAGCCTTTCGTCATTGGTTATTACAATCAAAATGAAAACCCTACAGCCCTGTTGAGCTATCCTACTCTTATCAGGTTCTGGTTGCACCTTACTTTGGGCAATAGTTTGGATCATAAAAGTCTGTTTTAAAGCAGTGGCTGGTATGCAAAACCAGCCTTTGCATGTGCTGTCCAATTTTCACCTGATATCATTATATCTACTCTACTTTGTCTCACCTTACGATGGCCTAGGGTGGATGCTACAAGTCATCCCAGTTACACGAGCGTCACGCGATTACGTGCCCCGCATATCGCTGCGCCCCTCTTGAAGGTGACATGACACTCGCGTGGCATTGAATTGGCCGACGGCTCGTAACGTCTTCCGCAGTTCATTGTAAGGTGAACCACAATATCCCGTAGGTAATAGCCACCCGAAAAGTCAAGAAGGAGCGTTAGTGCCGGAACCATTTGAACCGTCCGTCGATCGAGCGTTTGGGTTCTGCGAGCATTTGCCGACGGACCCCGCCGGTTCTCTTTGCCGTTGCCAGGCTTCGGGTGGAGCACGTTCTCTCCGAGCCCGACGACAGCTGGGAGGGTGCAAGGGGCAGGGTGCGGAGCCATCTGCTGCAGGGCTTCGTCCCCAGTGAGGACCCGCGCCAACCACTCCTCATCTGCGTCTGCGGACCCTTGCCCTTCACGAAGGCTGCCCTCAAGTGAGTGAAACGCTACGACGCTTTCAGCAAGGCACCACAACCGGAAGACCACTTTAAAGGCTGGTCCAAACACTTGTAGCTGCGTTCGGATGAGTGCAACATCTTACGACGAGAGAACACACGCCGGCGCCACCTGTACAGTAGATTGCAAGCACCTGTACGGCGCTTGCGGTCTGTGTGCAACTAGACTGCATGTTTTGTAGTATGTGCAAGATCGAACCCATGCATGCTTTATCTGTGGGAAACAGTCGGTTGTTGCGCCGTTAGAGTTATTTACAGGCCACGGTGGAAATGTAATGCGTAAAAGAAATGAGAAGATATATGCATATCAGCTTCCAGGGCTACTCGCTAGGTGGGCGACCAGTGTGTTCTCTCTTTGGGAGCAGTTGAAAATGGTCATAGCATTGTCGGTCGCGGTCATGCACAAATGGGCCAACTAGCTCATTCGTACTGACTGGAGCCACGCAGACGGGATAATAGCCTCGTTTGGCGACTGACTGTAGCTTGTTTTCGAGTGTGACTCAGAAGCTCAATTTTATGTTGTGGAAAGGCTCGGACACTAGAGAAGGTTTGTTTGGGTCAGCTGGTTAGTTCTGAGACTTTTGATCGGAACCCCTGCCTGCCTTGGATAATAGCAAAGAACCCCTTTCAGTCTTCGCATTGGTACAGTACTAAAGCAGTGCAGAAGCTTATGGGCATTATAAAAAATAGTGCTCATTTGACCCTCGTGATGCACCAACGGGTGGCTCAGTTCTGCTAAAGCAAAGCTTAATCTGGAAGTGCACTTTACTTAGGCGCAGTTAAGGAGTGTGGAGGACCCATGAGTGTAGTCTAGGAAACCGCCAGGGTTGCTAAGAATTTAGTTTGCCCGGTTGCACCAAAAGCAGACAAGCCTTTTGAGCCATAAACGGTCCGAGCTTTTTCGGTGCAGTGCTATAATGCTCAGTGCATGATTCTTGTAGTAGAAAAAACAGTCCAGAAGATGGAAGACAAGTTGAAGGGGTACACTTCTGCGACTCGCCTTCAGTCTTTTGCATTGTTTTTTTTTTTTAGTTCAGTGAAGGCCCGTTCACACTTTTGCAACCGAGTACGACTGAGAGAGACGAGACCGGTTTTTAAGCCTCTTGCAATCTCTTAGGACCAGCCCCGCTGCAGCGCATCCGGTCCTAGGAAGTCGCAAAAGGCTTAAAAACCGGTCTGGTTTCTCTCGGTCTTACTCGGTCGCAAGAGTGTGAACGGTGCTTAATGCTCAAGGAACCAGCCGAACTTCATGCCTTGTTACACGATTGCTTTTCCGTTCCCAATAAAACATCAAATGGGCAGAAAACAAATAAAACCGAAGGTTCGTCGAGTACTTTCAGCTATGTGTTTGCGTTTGGTGCAGCCGGGGCGACGGCTGCCATCTGTTGGTTGCTGCCCCAGTATGGTGCCTGGAGTGCATCTCCAACTGGTGTGTTTAGCATCCTACTGCCCATAGATCAAAAGGGGTCCCAAAGTGGTAACAAATCACGTCACAGAAGCCGGAGTGTCATCCTGTCGGAGGTCCCGATCCTGGCAGTTGGTCGTAGAAATGCTGGCAAAAAGCATTAGCGAACGCGAGTGTCGCTGTCGTCACGGCATCCCAACTTCTGAGTGCCGAGGCTTCCGTGGACTGTTGCATCGGAGAGCGACCTGCGGCAGAACAGGCGTCTGTAACATCTTCCACCGTTGCTGGGATGCTGCCAGGATCGCAACCGGCAACAGCATGACACGTTTGTGGCGTCATCAGGCGGAAATCGAGGGACCACGTTTTTGGATGCGGAAAATGCACCAGTCGGGGACGCGTTCCAGGCACCATAGTGCCAGACAGAGGGTGAGCGTTTAGCACACGGGCACTGTAAGTAGAAAGAAAACAGGTACAGTAAACTTTCGTTATCTCGACCTCGACGGGACTTTGAAATTTGGTTGAATTATCCAAATGATCGAATTAAAAAAAGGATAGAAAAACGATTCAAATTAAACTTCCTTTCATTGTCCAAGGTACTCACGGATGGTCTGCGCCTAAAACGCGTGTCCAAAAGCATGCTCTGGAGGGCAGCGTAACTAAACATCACGTACCCAAAAAATTGTGTACAAAAAAAAAAAAAAAAACGAAACGAGTAAGTTTTACAAGTCGTCTTTGGCGCCGGGCAACCAGGTCGTCGGCGACAGAGAAAAATAACAAAAAAAGGAAAAAAAACTTGCACTTTCGCGACTGAAAAAAAAAAAAAAAATTAATAACAACAAAAAGAAAAGAGCTCGCGCTTTCCTGCGCGCAAGATGGACCGCACACGATGCTACAAAAAAGCGCTTTGAGAGCGTGCACTGTCTTTGCGCCTGACCGCGTGCTATGTTCTCCGCGCTATTCCACGCCAGATTGGTTGCGCTGGCTCTTGTCATTCGCTACGGTCCATCTGAACGGCGTAGAGGAGCAGGTGCATATTTGCGCACGTTCAGCTTTGCTGCAAAGAGCGGTGAATGTGAGCCCGCGCGCATTCGCTCGGGACGAATTATCCGATGCGGAGTCGTCCCAAATTCGAACTATCAAACTTTTTCCTCCCATAGAAATGTATGGGCGCTCGCGGGGACTTTTGAACAGGATCGAATTAAACGAAAAGTCGAACTAACCGAGGTCGAACTGTCGAAAGTTTACTGTATTGTTTTTTTTGTTTTTCTTTAGAGTGCAGCTCTTAGGCGCTTGTTTCCGGCTTGAGCAGCGTCGTTGTCGGCGTAACCGTGAGGTCACGTGACCCCCGCGAAATCACGTGACCCCTCGAGGTCACATGACCTCACGATTACGCTGACGGCGACGCTGCTCAGAGGGAGGAGTAGCAGACAGGATGAGGAGGTGAGGAGGAGGGAGGAAGGATATACCTTCCCCTCAGTACCCTTCCCTCCTCCTCCTCAAGAGCTGCACTCTAATTCGGCGTTACAGGAAGTTGTAAACGGCTTTCTTTTTTTTTCTTTTTTTTTCTTTTAACTTTTCCAAGTTTGTTCTTTGAAATTTTAATGCGCTGCTTCCAGCACCTTCGGGCACCTTTCCGGTAAATCGTAGCACAATACGTTACCAAGCTGATTTATGCGGCAACATTAAAGGCTTCATCTGGATTCCGGGGGTGTGCGGTAGAGTAAAACGTTGGCAACTAAAATACCTCATATTTGATTGAAGAATACGCTAGTCTGTGTGGGTATCGTGTCACGTCCTGGAAATGATGCAAAGAGACTTTTTCCACAGAGTTCCCTAATTACAATGTCTTTGGATAACTTTTATCCAAATGAATTTATGCAAGCTCACCATGCGTGCATAACAGGCCAATATGCAATTCCACATCTCTTTCTGGGCCCCAGTTATGTTTGTACCTATTGAACGTGTTAAAGCAGCTAATGAGTGAGATCAGTAATAATCTCTTAACCAAAGCGTACCAAGGTTTCTTTTCAAATGTTTTATTAATTAAAGTCATCTAGCAACATTGCCTTGATGCCTCGCCCCCCTCCTAACAAAAAAGAAAGGGAGCAGATCAAAATATGTCTGTTTAATCGTTAAATGCGTAGGGAACAGGCATAAGCAGTTAAGTCGAGGACCTTTTTTTTTATCATGAACTTTTTTGTAGTGGGACTCCACACAGCTTGCTACTACTCTGCAGGCCAAAACTTGCACTTGAAAAATTAATTGGTTTGGAAGCTTTCCTGTCACTCGATCGAGAGCCAAGACACCCCAACGTCCTCTCTTGACTCCATGCAGGTGTCTGGAGGACATGGAGTACTCCCCCGAGACGGTTCACGCGTTCCTCGGCTGACCGTCCCCCAGAGCTGGATCCGAGCGCCTGCGGCCCTCCATGAGGAGGGCGCTTTCTCTGTGCCACACCCCCGCTGTTGGAAAGGACCTCCTAGCTGCTAACAAATTTTTGTACATTGCATAGCCGGCCTTTGGACCCCTGTAATAGGCTCGCAATGGCTCGAAAATATATTTCCACAATGGTTTTGTTTTCAGAAACTGTGTTGTGTGAATCACGGTCTATTCTACTCCAACTCAAAGGATAGCCTCCAAAATCATTTTTCCTGGCAGTTGGGTGCCTCTGTTCTTTTTTTGTACTGACAGAGGAAAGGGGAAAGGCAAAACCAGCACCATTTAATGTGTGGCGTTTTCCTTTAACCCTTTGACGGTCGTTGCGGGACACGTACGGCGGTAATTACACATTTCAAAGTTCCCGCCTAAACACAAAACTGCATGCGCCCCTATCTGTTACTTCTTTGGGGTATTGTAAACGTTATATTGAGTCCTCAAACCAGAAAGTGTGTAATAGCCATATACAAAAAGACACAAACATCCGATGCAAGCTTCGAGACAGCGGTTCATTATTGTATTAGCTGAAGACTGTGAACAGGAAAAGACAATGAGTGAATAACAACTAAACGATGATTCGAGAAGTGGTAAAAGGCTAAAAATATGAGCAGTTCTCAGACAAATTCGGCATGTGGGATATTCTGTGTAGCGATTGGAGTACGAAACTTGGAAGGAAATCTCTCGTAGAGGAAAAGTGGCTGGATGTTTTACGTATATTGTTTCACGGGGCTTATGTGCTGGAAATAGATAGGGAGGAAAACGTAGAGTAAATATGCAGCTGCCAAATAGACCAGAAAGTCTCGCTCCAAAGATCAGTTTGTTGGAGCATACGGTGCAATCCACTTACCGTAACATACCGGAGGAGTGCCCGCCCCACTTTCGCTGAAAACTGGCTCAATCTAGACATGAATGCTTGTCCGGCAAAATCAGGCGGTTAAAGTATGATTTGCAGAATTCTCAAGTTTTTGGAAATGTTAGTAGTGGGCGCTTGAAAGAAGTGGGTGCTTCTGCAGTTTTTTATGTTATAACGAAAATGAGAAAACCCGAAAATGCAATCGTTATAACCGATTATTGTTTTATCTGGAGTGAATACCCCACGATAAAAGGCATGGTCCTCTAGAAACTGGTGGTTATAAACGTCACATCGTTATATGCGGTATCATTACAAGTGGATTGCACTGTACCATCTGTGAACTTTCAGAGCCCTCAAATGCTGACTTGTACAAAGAAAAAAAAAAAAAACTATGAATCAAGTATTTGAAAGTACCAATTTGTAGACCTGATGCACCAAGATTTATGTGTAAAACAGGTTATTTGGAGCCCTAGTTTGGGTGCATGCCCTTTTCCATGGTGCAAGTACTTTCACTTTTACAGGGCATACATCGCTAATACCCCCCACTGTGCTCTGTACTTTTGGCAGAGGTATTTGACTGAAGGCCAGTTTCCCTCGATGAATATGCCCGAATTACGTAGCAAATGTTAGCGAAGGGCATTCATGGTTTATTTGATTTGCGACAAAAAAGAGTATCTCCAAAGTTTGCATTGCGAGAGAAGCCCTTATATTTTAGTCTTTGTGTTTAAAATGGTCTATCACAAAGCCCAAGGATATGCACATGAGGAAGGTTCCTGCCCGCTGGGTTCCTTGACTGCTCACGCCCATGCAGAGACAATCATCGCATTTGGCAATGGCCAAACATGCAGCCAGTTTTTTGTTTTTTGTCAGGTCGTTAGGACAGTCCGGAAGCTTCATTGGCACCACGTCTTTCGCCAGAGCGGCTTTCCGCAGTATACTTACGAGAATGTAGCCCTTGTAGACAGCCTCTCACGATTTGGTCACAAACTTTGACTCAAAATGTTTCTCGCAGACAGAGTCGGTTGGCTGCAGCAGGTGGTTTTTGCACGAGGTTCCGTCATGATACCTTCAGGTGGTCCTCTTCCTTGTCGAGTAGCAAAAGGGCAGAGCTCCTCCGTACACGTATCCTGCGTTGCACCGTGGCACGAAGCACTTTGTAGTAATTTAAAAAGAAAAATTTGCAAAAAGAAAAGGCGCAGGGCCCACGCAGGACTGCGGAAAGCAAAAAGCGTGTGAAGACAGCGGCAGAAGGCAATGCACGGGAGCAGTGCGCCAACGCTGAGAAGAAAAGAGTCGTCAGTGTGGGTTGAGAGTTGAAACGAAACTGGATTGGCAAAGACAATGATTATGGAACTCGTGCTTGGGAAGCCAGGGGCGCACTTCCAGTGATGGGGCACCATTTATGTATATGTAGAGTATAACTAAAACAAAAAATTAAATACAGTACTACATTTACCCTTTCTTTAAAAAAAAAAACAATGTACACTCTTTTTCTTTCTTAAAAAAAAAAAGAAATTCACTGGGAAGGTAAAAAACAAAGATCAATAGCTGACATCAGTTGCCAAAGAATTCTATAAGAAAAAAATGCACTGTCAACACTCGTGACAATGTCTTCTAGCTTATCCCTACATAAAGTGACAAGTAAATGAAATATCAAGACATATGGCAACCTACGAGGTGGTGTCTGACTTCCCGGACTGGTGTCATCATGTGGGAAATGAGGAAAGCATGTGGTTGGTGCCGTTTGAGGTAGCTGCATGCATATCACACGAGGAGATGTATCAAGTGGCGGGCAGAGCCTTGTATAGAGAGTTTGGTCAATGGGCGGCACGGGCAGAGCTAGGGCGTGCACCGGACGCAGAAAGAGGGCTTGACATGTTCTTTTGGCCAACCAGAAGCCGAAAAGGACTGCATTGAGATCAGTTGGGAGGCTAGTTGGTTGAACATCTAGACGGCGATTTAAAAAAATCACCGTCCAGACTTTAGACGGTGTCCCCTTCTTTCCTTGATCAGTTGCACTTTTTAAATCACCGTGTAGACAAAAAGGCTCCCCTAGTGGTGGTAGCAAGAAACAGTTTTAATCATAGACATGCGATTTTAATGAGCACTTTTGTAAGGGTTAAATGGTTGAAAATAGGGTGCATGTGATGTTTCGATAATGATCATGCAGAAAGATGTAAGAAACGAATGTGCTCTCGAACTCCGTTTTGGTCAAACAGAATGTGACCGCTCGGACAGCAGATTCCAGGCCCTCGGCGCAGATTCCAGGCCCTCGGGGCCTGGCGTACGGATTATGTCGATCGTTCCGCTAGTTGCACTCTTCTACCATGATTTTGAATGACCGTGATTGAAGCATCACGTGCACCATATTTTCAGTCACCAAGAGTTACTCCGACGCACTTATTAAGCTTGTTTTGCCTGACCACCGCCAGGGTATTATTTCTAGCTTCTGGTTGGCCACATTCGAATTTGTGAAGACACCTGTTGGACTGCGGCTGGTGTTGATATGTGCATGGAGCTTTGTGCCACTGCACGTGCGGATGCAACCTACAAGGTCATCACTGCTGATGAATCAAGGGGTTTACGGGTACGACCCCGAAACGAGCAGCAATCTTCCCAGTGGTAGAGCCCGAGTTCACCGAGACCAAAAAAAAGCAAGACAAGTAGGACTTTGTGCTGCCAAAACCATGCTCATTGTTTTCTTTGATGCAAAAGGGGTCGTCCACAGGGAATGTGTTCCCAAAGGGCAGACTCTTAATTCAGAGTTCTACTCCGACGTTCTGCGACGCCTGTGAAACGACGTCCACCGGAAATGACCTGAACTTTGGCGCAACAAAAACTGGCTGCAGCACCATGACAAAGCGCCCAGTCACACCTCCCTCAAGACCACCGATTTTTTGGCAAAAGAACAGTGTGGCGATCGTACCCCATCCTCCCTACTTACCCAACCTGGCCCTCTGCGACTTTGCCTTGCTTCTGAAAATGACGTTGAAGCAGTTGAAGCTCAATGGTTGGTGTCACTGGAGTGTCATGTGCCCCCCCCCTTCCCCGGTTGATGCTGTGCAGATAGCAAATCTTGAGTAGCTCGGATCTATTCAGGTAAAATTTGGAACACAGCCCTTCCCTTTCTCGTTTTCGGGACCTGAAGAGAAGCGGAGGTCTTGAGCGATTGACAGACAGCCAACATAGATGTGGAGGACACGGGCAAGATTCGACACAGGTCCCCCCAGCAAAAAAGACTGATTGAAGCGAAGCGCCGTACGATTTATGTTGGAGTCGTGTCGCCTCATGATTTCCGTTTAGACGGGCCCGAACACAGAGGCACGGCTCTTCTTGGCTGCAGCAAGTTGTCGCTTTATGGCGGCAGCTGCCCTTAGAACTCGTAATGACATTAACCCCCCGACTACCATGATGATTTCACTGATCATGAAGGCTGCGCAGAGCAAGCGGTAGTCTCTGGCCCCTTGTCAGCTGTCCCTTGTCCCTATGCCCCTTGTCGCCTGTTGGACTGCGGCTGGGGCCGGCTCGGGATTGTGTGGCGTCTTGCCTCAACAGTATGTTGGAGTTGGGCACAGCATTGTCTCTGATGGGCTCGTGACTAGACCGGGCCAGCCGGGGCCTTGATCGTCTTCCATCGGGGGACAGATGATGTATAGCAGAGGTGGCCAGGCTGACCCGGCCTAAGAGCCGCCAACAAAACCACGAAACTTCCAAAAGCCGCGGGGGGGGGGGGGGGACTTTTGTCCAGAGCAATAAACGAAACTCGAACTACTTTCAATCTATCCGATTCAAAAGCAGTCCAACTGTACGTAAGGTAGCAGTAGCACAAGACTGCCAAACCGCATGAAACCTGTCTTTGAATTTAAAACGCGTTCAATTTCTCTTTTTGGGGAAGTGCTCGTGTGACTATAAGGGAGGTGGGGAAGTGGGGGAGGGGGTAGGGGTAGGGTAGGGGAGGGAGCCGCGAGCCGCAGCTTGGCCACCCATGGTGGATAGCCTGACCTTCCCCCAACACCCCTCGCCTTTTTTGTTCCTTCCTCTTCCTCCTTTAATTCCTTTCATTGATGCATATTATGCACCACTGTGGTTGTGCCTACCTGCCCAAACAATAGCAATGCAATAGCAATAGCAAACAATAGCAATAACAATAGCTGTCGCGAGTTGGAGCTGCTCAAAGATAAGAGAGATTTGGAAAATTTTGCAATTTGTCGGCCTGCCGCAAATTGGTCAGACGCGTTTTTCATGAACTTTTCGTGCAGATATTGTTTTGATTTTTTTATACGTTAATATAGGGTGTCTGACGATAATAAAACATACACAAACAAAAAATCTGAAATTTTCGGGAAGAAAACATTTTTTTGGCCTGCATGTTTCCTAAACACCATTGATTAAGTGCGATCAAAAGCAATAGCTATTGCATCACAACAATGCACAGAAAACCCAATGAAATTATTAAATTTGCCCAATTAGGCTGAGTAAGATTAGCATGGCAAGCTGAAAACTAGTGAGGTAAGAACCAGAGAAAAAGGTACCTCGCAATTGGTGATACATACACTATTACAAATTTATTTACAGCAATCATTATGGTACAAATATGGGCCTGATGTTTTCTACTTCCTCTTTGATGGTGACTTCGACCGAGATTTCCGGGACCGAACTTTCCTTGTCGGTGATGGACTGGTTGTTCCTGACCTGTAAAATATGCGTGCATTAAACATTGTTACTTGCACACAAGCAAGTTTTCACTCCCCCCACTTCAGCATTTAGCTCAAAAAATAAAAGGTATAGCTTATTAGAAAAAAATTAGTGCCCACATTTCCCTATACTCCGTTTCACCATATGTTGTACCGCAGCAAAGGCTAGAAGCGCGAGCTCATAGCGTTGGCAGCTGCCCTTGGTGAACGATTCTAAAACATCTCCCACACAGACACGCGCCTTTGTTTATAACCACTACAAAGCACGTGTCTGTGTTAAGTTCTATTAAGTTTTGCTGTCTCACCCCAAAGGGTATGGGCTATCTCTGAAAATGAGACAGCAAAACTTTATCAGAAGTTATGTTTGAGCCCATGTTTTTCACTATTTATCTCTTCATTTTGGGTGGGCACCCTTATGGGATTTTACAGTAGCTGAATACTTTACGGTAGTTGAATATTAAGAAAAGCAGAAAACATTGGCTAGGGTAAGATTGCCCGGCTTTGGTGCTGAGGTTTCTACATCGCCTAAAGAGGTTGGCTAAGAGGCAGACGGGGGGCATGGAATGGACATGTGGATGGGAGTGTTGCATCGGTGTTCAGCCAAGACTGGTGTTTGATCAGTGAGAACTTGAGTCTCAGCAGAATCTTGCAGAATGTGCCTCTTTAGGTGACGTAGGAAATTCAACCCCTACAACCCCGTTATCTAGGAGGCAAAAATAAATTGACTCCTACCCAAAATGTAACACTACTAGCACCCTGTAGGCAACTGGTTCGCGCGCCCTGTTTGACCGTACGCCTCCAGGCGTACGGTCAAACAGGACGCGCGGAAAGACGCGACTGACCTTTTGGTGCCCTGCGGATGACTGCGGTGATGCTTGCGGTGGCGGCGTTCTCTAGAGCGTGACCGGGAGGTGGCGGCCTTGCGGTGGTGCCTCGAGTGTCGGTGTCGGGACCCCGGCGACCGGGAGCGGTGTCTGGAATGCGAGGAGGAGCTCTTGCGGGAGGCCGCCTTCGACGACGGGGGCGGCGGCGAGCCGTCCGAGGAGTTTCCCCCACTGTCCCTGGCACTGTGGCGGCTGTGCCCCCTGTGCGAGGACGGTGCCGGGGCGGTTGGCGAGCCGGGCAGAGAGTCCGTGGGGCTCCGCTGGACGTCGCTCAGCCTGTGCATTATGAGCCAGGTTATTAAAAAAATATATATATACAGTGAAACCTCGTTATAACAAAACGGGATATAACAAAGCAATCATAATTTCCCTTGCTTGCTAATAATGGGAAGAAATGGACATTGGCTATAACAAACTAATGGTTATAACGAAATAATTACAACCGCTCCTTCAACTTTGTTATAGCGAGGTTTTACTGTATATATATCCGCACTTGTGTTTTATTTTATTGATAGCACTGTCATATGCAGAAATGCATTTTATGAGAAATGCAGCCGACACTCAAGTTCGATATTGCCGCGTGCGTGGCTGGATTGGCATGGCACGCAGCTCCCCTGAGAAAAGGCATTGGGTTCAAACCCCACCAGTCTACATCGTCATTTTATCTTTTACAACTCCTTCTAGAATGTTCTCATTAAATCTAGTAATATACTGCTTGTTCCTGTGCAGAATATTCCAGACTACATAGTCCTTATTAAAGAAGCTGAGACTGGCAACACTGGGTCAGTCGATCCTTCGTCACCGTCACACATTGAACGGTTCGTTATGCTTAAGCTTGAACGAGCAAGTTTGCCTAATTAAACATTTATCCCCGGTTCCGCAATCGTCTGCTGCTTTAATTCGTGATAATATCTGCCTTCTTAGCACGCATTGTCGCGTCTTCAAAGCATTCCCTCATCATCCTCTCCCACCTTTTTCTTGCAAGGACACAAAAAATGCACAGACTGAGGCGAGAGAGAGACGTCGGGTGACTTGTGACATGTTGAGACATGCGACGTGTGCGAACATGCACAGTTTCTTGGCGATGCAAGTGTTGGGCAGACGGCAAACTCTGACTTTCTAGTGTGCCACAACAAGCTTCGCTTACAGCTGCGAAATCCGAGTTAGCTTCCGTTCAAAAAAAAGTAGTAGTGTGGCAACCACACCCTCAGTCACAGCAAAGTGCAAAGTGCAACACCATCAGCACAAATAAGCGACGTATGGTGTTCACTGCTTTTTCCTTAAAATTGAAGGGCTCCTATCGAAGCTAATAGTACTAAGGAAAGTGCTCGTTCAAAGGCATCAAGCTAAGAGGTCAAATTGGGAGTTCGTTGGAACAATGTGTCAGCAAGATGCAAAAGGGCACGCTAACCACGATACACGGTATATGAATAAAATCGTGAGGTGCAGAAACGCGAAGTAGGCACCGTGGTCTGCAACACGAGCGGAGACTAGAATGGCGGTTTAGCCTTTATCTTATATTCATTCCTGCAACTTGTACAAAGACCCATTGGAGGCATAGGCGCTGAGGAATGTTCTATCGTTTGCACAAGCACTCTTGTGAAAAAAGCACTTTTGAAGGCCACGCAATTTCGGCTGTGCCTCCTACAACACTGCTCATACCATTAAACGATTCAGCTCTTTCATAACCCAAACAATATAATTTGGCGCCGATTCTACTATTACGCAGGTAAACGACTGCACTGGAGCCAGGGCCGTAACCAGGGGGGGGGGATAGGGGGTTCTGACCCCCCCCGAAATTTTTTTCTGGGTACGGCCCTGGTCGGTGCACTTGCAGCCAGCCGATTTTAATCTCCACCTCTGCGCACGCGCAGTGGCGCCGGTCGGCTACCGGATACCAAACCGGGACCGGTTCTCCGGTTTGCTGCAACTCTCCATTATATACCACCGATGCACATGATTCATAGGCGAAAATAAGACAATAGACACTTTCAAAATGGCCGCCGTTGTCCCCGAAAACCCCCCCCCGAAATTTTTTTCTGGGTACGGCCCTGACTGGAGCGAGAGCCACACTTACCAAGTTTGTTGAAAAGTTGGATGTATAAAAAGATGTGTGTAATGGCCACACTTGAGACCCAAAATATTTTGGGTAAAATGAATAATGTCCAAAATACACTGGTTGGTAAAAAGCGACGCTCGTCGCCCTCCTCACTCTGAGTCCGGGAATTGCACTCGGCACATCCACATGAAGGGAGCTTGCCTCAAGACAGATGAACGCGTTTCATTCACTGTGTGCTTTTTTCTGACAAGTTGATTGATATTGTGAAAGGTGTTCTTTGTCACCTGTGAGAAGACTGCTTTACCAAACTTGAACTGCCATTCTCATAATTTCATGCAAGTCAAACCTGGATCTATCTAATTCAAAGAAGATCGTAAAATAGTTCTGTATATCAATATCCAATATACAAAAATATGTTAAATAAGCTCGAGTTGAAATTTCCTGGCGTCTCTGCGAATACCGAAGGTTGCAACAAACGGAAGCTTACTAAATAGAGCACCCGAGAGCTGCTAAAAACAGTAGAGTGTAGTTGGCGAAGACCGCAAACACCGCCATACTTACGCACCTGGCCGGAACCTCCATAAAGCATAAACGACAAAACACAAAAATAATCTTAAAAAATGAAAAGAAAACGGAAAAGCGAGATGCATAAAACAAAATCCCTTAATCCATAGAAAAAGTTAAGCAAGCAACAAAAAAGAAAGCTCACTAAACTCGGGCAGCAAAAAAAAAAGAAAAAAGGGGCAAAGCAACAGCCGCAAAAGAAAAACTTTTAGCCTTTCCACTTTCGTGAAGAAGGAAGACCAGCGAAGCTGTACTATGGTGTAAATGAAGTATTTATAAATGTAAGGATTAAGGTGTGATTAGGTAATTAGTTATCTGACAGCCGTACTTGTCCCCGGTTGTCTCTGTTATACCACGTCAACCGCCGAAGGCTCATGAACGGGAGTCGAGGTTCAACCTCGGTAGGTGCTCCGGTACGGGTGGGTACATGTAGCTGTTCACGGTCGCGAACCGGGGCACCATGCCTTTGAGCAGGGAATCTCGCCACGTTCTGCAAGCCAGTTCTTTGTAGACGTCCGCCGAATCGATACACCGTTGCAACGCCACGCACCCCATTTCCGCCTATCCTCGTCCGACTGGCCGCCGAACGTGGATACGTCTCGGGCGAACCAGAGGCGGTCGTACACGCATTCCCTCTGGAACCTTGTCGTCGCACCCGGGAATTGTTCAGCCGGCGTGAAGTGCTGTCGTCGCCGGGCCTCGTGCTTGAGCTTGGCCTCGGTGGCCCGCCGGCGCCATTTACATCGCCGGTTCTGTTCTCAATGGCGCCTTTCCAGGCAAGCGATGTGCTCTTGTTTCGCAAGGGAGTCGAGACGACAGCGGCTTCGCTTCAGTTGCAGACCCATTCGCGCTACTGCATACGTCGCCGCTCTTTCCACTCCCAGTCTTCTTCCCCCTTAAGAGCATGCATCCGACCCATCCTGAGCCCAAACCGGAACTGGTAAGAGCCTAGGAAACGGCGCGCAGAACAGACGAGGACGACAAAACACACGTGACGAGCGCTGCGCTCGTCACGTGTTTCTTTTCGTCCTTGTCTGTTTCCTGCGCCGTTTCTTACGATGAATTCCCACCAATGCGCCCAACTATCCATTCTTCTATGATAGCTGCAAAGGTTGCCGCCATCTACGAGCGACGGCGGCAACCAGACTGGTTCTGAGCTTGCCACCGTCGCATATAGATGGCGGTAGCTCTCCAGAGGTTTGTGTAGGTTTGTGTGGACACGAGTTTGGTACCGGACACGATCCTGGGGAACCTAGCCCTTAAAGGGACACTGACAGGGTATTTATGCTCGCCGAGGTTTTTAGTTGTACGTGACATATGAGAGCTCAACTACCCAGAACAGAATTTGCGGCTCGAAATTCGGTTTCTTTCCGCCCGAAAACTGCCGATCAAGAACTGGCCGGTTCGAGTCTCGCTCACTCTCTTTTTCGCGGTCACAAGCCGTTTTCTAAGGTATCGATGCGACCACCAAATTTAATCTAAGTCGTGGGTCACTGAAGGCACACACTCAATATTAAAAATAGAAAAAAATATGAAACCCATTTTTTCTGGCTTCTAAAAAGCTATAAATACGTTGATTGAAAAACAAAGTTCCACAGACAACCGGAAGCATTCTGTGCGTTCGTCGTTTCGCGTATCGTGGGACTCGCGGGGACGGCGATGGCAGCGGACGACGGGCGTGGGACCTCTATTTCAGAACTGTCGTTCCCGGTACCGGCGAATTCTGTCTACCGTTAAAAGAGAAATTTGGGACTGATCAAAAGAATTGGTATTCATCCCGTACGACACGCCCGGCCACCAAGCCGATTTGCGCGAAGACGTCGCCGAGCCGTCGCTCCCTTCTCGTGGCTGAAGACATCGCTCGCGCAAACGTCAAGCACGACGTGTCTACTTCGAGTTGAATATGCACGCGTACGATTTCTTCACTAGGTGCGAATGTCCCCAAAGCGTGGTGCTTCCCGACTTTGACCCGGGAGTGCTTTTGCTAGAGAAAAATCGACAGCAAACTTTCCAACTTACAGTTTACCGGCTGAATTATTACTAAGGAAAGAGATCCACCAGAAAAGAGATGCTCCAGTAGCTCAGTGGGAAAGACGTCCGGTTCAAACGCGGTAGGACCGGGTTCGATCCCCCGTGTAACTTTATTTCTATTTTCAAACATTTTTCGATGTTTACATATCTTTCTCTTTTTTCTTTTACAATCATCACTGAAGAAACAAACAAACAAAAAGATAACAAACAAATGTTGTGGACGATACTTCGCTGAATTAAATGGTATGAGATTTCCATTTTGACACCTGCGAACTCAATGTAATCACTTTCCACAAAATGCAAGGAGCATATAAATCAGGTAGCGTCCGCTTTCCGAGGTGCCCGTAAATGGTCTACAGGAATTGCAGCCAGCCATTGGTCCCGATTCCGTTGATCTTTCGGAAACTCTGTCGCACAATGCCCCTTTTTTTCGGATGCAGGACATGTGAGCCAGCTCTTCACGCAACATCTTGGCTGTATTCTTTTCGGAGCCGATCATGGAAATTCACCACGGGCACTCACTACTCATCTCCAACTCCTCAACGTACAAAACAACTCATCTTGGAGTACAGAACAACGAGCGGAACAAACATAACTGCAAAAGAAACGCACGGCGAGCAGTTCCCGCACGCCGCATCGCACGCCGGATGTCGTGTCGTCTGCTACCGAAGAGGAGATAAAAAAAAAACAAAAAAAAAAACGCACGGTTGGGTGTAGCCACGTGACTTCCGCCACTCACTCTCTTCTCTCCACTTCTCCGACCTCCGTCGGGTTTCGGTTTCGAGCAGTTGAGTCTTTTGGCTTTATTAAAAAAATACGCTACTCTGTTGCAAAATATTAATTGGGTAGTCCTCCAACACCATAATAAAGCGCCTGGCAAAAAATAAAAAAAAATTTTGGGGGGGGGGTGTCAGTGTCCCTTTAACAGCTCCACTGTAAAAGGCAAACAAAGATAACGTGTTTAAATTGGGATTGCACAACCGTTGTCGACACACTCAACTTTTTTTTTTTTTTTTTCTTTTTTGCTTTCTATTTTGGGGCTAGGGGTCACACAACATCAGCAGTGTTCGGGGAAAGGGTGCAGGCTACCTTTCTAACAGCAAGCACTCTTTGCTCTCCCTACGCGCCCGCGTGTGCATTTTCCCTTGTTTTTGCTATCCTCCACTTTTTTTTTTTTTTTTTAACGGTTCATTGTCAAATTGCTTTTTCACTGCGAATCGTGCTGCGTGTATGCTGGCTTGGCAGTCTGCCAGCCACGCAACGCAAGCGATGCGCTCGCCATTGGTGCAATCGGATCGCGGGAAAAAGCAACGGGCGGCCGGGCTTCGTTCGTTATATTGAGTGTCCCGCCATGGGACTTGGATACAAAAAGACAACGCTCCTATACTTTTACATGCGATTTCCAAGGGGATGTTTGGAGTGTTTGATACAAACAATAATTTGAAATACCCGAGTGTGACATAACCAGGCTCGAGAGTGCCAATGAACTCTATATTTTCAATAAACAAAAGTTTTCAAATTAGGTTCTTTTGTACACCAGATCACCCAGGTTCTATTTATCTTGCTCTAAATTGGGGAACTTGAGTTTAGAGGTGGTACGGCAAACCTTCATCATGCCCCCAGCCTTCTAGACAGCTACCGCTTACTACAGCAGGCACACAGTCTTTGAAAGGCTCCATACAAAGCTGAACGACCTGAACAGGACAATAAACTCCCAAGAAACAATTTTTAACTGTTTAAATAAAACAACAATGTCATTGAGAAAAAATCCTTAGTGGAATTTTTACTCTATGAGGTTTGCGCGAATGATTCCCATACGTTTAAAGGGGCGGTGCAACGATTTTCGGACTTCGGTCAAAGATTTCTGGAAGTTGCCCCCTGACACTTCTGAAGTAGAGAACAGAAAACCGATTTCGCCTGCGTGTCCTAGTTTTTGCGTAAAAAAAAGATAAAGATTGGTATTTCGGGCACCCCTCAACTCACTCCCAGTCTTCAGGGTCACACCTGGTCGCACTCCCAGTGACGTCATTCGGAGTGCCGTGTAGCTTCCCGTGTGCTATCTCGGAGGACGCTTCCCCTCCCTCTCTCTGCGTACATTAGCGGGCGCTATGCTGCAGCTTAGAGCCGAGCGAGGTCACGTAATCTTTCCGTGGTAGTTCCTTCGGCTGCCACTTGGGGCTGCAGGTGGGGGAAAAAGCTAGACTTTTGCTTGGCGATTATGCAGCGGAATCGCGACATTTTTAATGAAAGAAGTGTTTTCTCTATCCTCTGGGACACGATAAACAACGTAAAAATGACGAGATGCAAATTCTTTTAATCATAAAATCGTTGCACCGCCCCTTTAACTTATTTTCAATTATTGCAGCCTACCTCAGGAACGGGGGAAAAGAATTGGACAAAACAAAATGAAACAATGTATGAGCATAAATGTAAAAGCGACAAATACAAAACAAAATCAACCATGCAACCATTTCGAGGTAGACGTCTCAAAACAGATGCACGTCTCAAAAACTACATAAATATTGCGCTAAAATGTTGTTTTTCTTTTTCTAGCTGGCGACGTTTGCATTTTATTTAGGCACACACTACTTCAGTGCCCATTAAAGTCTTCCTTCAGAGCTTCAACGACAGCTTAGAACAAGACATCTCGAGGATCCAGAGCTGCAAGTAACCAAACTACGGTGCCCGGAACGTGAGCCAAACCAATGTGTTTAGCGTTCCATGCAGACCGCAAGTTCGTTCACTTCTTTTGCGGGGGCTGTGGTGACAACGAAACGCCGGGCCTCGATTAGCTCCGACTGAAGGATAGTGGCTAGATTTCAAAGCAGGCTGCCTCAAGGTCAACCCACTATCCTTCGATCAGAGCCAATCAAAGCTCGGCACCCCGGCTTCACCACAAACCCAGCAAAAGAAGCGGACAATCTTGAGCTCCGCATTCCGACCACGCATCAAAAATGCTGCCGAGGCAATGAACGACGTTGCAAAAGCCAAAGCGTCATGCTAGCGGACGTCGCGATCCCGGCGGCCGGGCATAGGAGTTCTAGAACAAAGCACGAGAGAGCGCCAGCGTCGCCGTCGGCGCGGCGTCCCAACTCCTGGCTGCCCAAGCTTCCGTGGACCATGCAGCCGAAGAGTGACCCGCGGCGAAAAAGACATCTGTCATGTCTACCGCTGCTGCTGCGACACCATTGGGATCGCAGCCGGCAACGCGAGATTTCCCACTACGTTGTCGGGCGGAAGTCGAGGGGCCACCATTTAGGACGCAGCAAGCACACCAATCAGAGAGGCGTTCTGGGCGTTGTAACCCGACGACGACGGCGGCTCGAGCGAGGTTGTCACTGACCTGCTGCTGGACCGACCCTCCCCGGACGTGGTGGTGCTGGACACCCTGGCCGCTTCCGGAGGCACGGTGGGTGGTGCCACGCCGGTCGACGCCGGGGACTCCTTGATCATGCTGAGGAACTTGGCCAGCCGCTTCTTGCGCTCCAGCTGAAGCTGCCGGCTCGGAGATAGCCGGTCCTTGGTTCCCGAGGAGTCTGACGGGACAGAGAGAGAGAGCGTCCCGATCTAACGTCTATTTGGCCAAGTTTCTAATTTTGTGGATCAGTATTAGCGACGTAATATCAATTTATAATATATATGCGGGCTGAATTTGCGTCCAAGTTTATGCCAAAACGGCATTTTCTTGATTTGGAGACAGATTTGGAGGAGGGATCTTTCAACATTTAGGGCAGATAGAAATATATTTTTTACTGCAATATGTAGCTAGATACGTGAAGCCTACAATGTTGAGAGCTGATTTTCACTATAAGCCTAGGAGGTGTTTCACCTCATCTATTGTTTTACTATTACTTGCCACACTGAACTTCAATGCATCATAATTAGGGGTGTGCGAATACCAAATAGTAGTTTTCAAATCGAATACCGAATTGAATCAAGAAAAAAAAGCCGAATATCAAATCGAATATCGAATAGTGATTTTATTTGTAGGAATTTTTCAAAGTGTGCTGTGAATGAGATTATTACATGTGCAGAGTATGCACCTGGTGCAGAATATGAATCTTGTACGGAACAAAAGCTAAAATGCAAAAAAATTATGGTGAAAAAAAAAAAATAAATAAAAGCAGTTGCTGTTGGATGTTGGGCACTAAAATCCACTTTTATGGCACAAATATAATCTATCTACCCTAAACGTCACAAGAAAAGCAAAGTTGCAGCCACGCATGCCTTTTTTTCTGGTTAAAAGCACAACCTAACACCGCAACTTTTTTTTTTATAAATATTTGTATACTCTCAGAAAAGGGGCATTTTGTGATATTTGGTTTCCATTTTAAGGAAGAAAAAGGGCACCCGGAATTTTATTTCACATAAATAAACAGAGAGGTGTTAAATCTGAGTAAACAGGCTTAAACAATATAATCTGAAGCAAGAAAAAAAAAAAAGTGGTTAGGTGGCGCAAGTTACCGTCCAACTGCCGCTATGCATCCATTTTTCTGTCTATTTATCCTGTTTTAGAGAGCCTTGATTTAAAAGAGGGAGCAAGCGAAACTGAAACCACGGAGACAGCTCCAGCGCAGACTGGTCGTAAGTGCGCATGTGTTGTGTTGTCGCGTGGAAAAGGGGCGAGCAAACAGAAGAGCGACGACGCCTGCCCTGCCTGCCCGATCCTGATCGACGCTTTCGTCTTTTCGTCACCTTCTCGCAGTTCGTAATTCAAAGGCGGCTATCGAATGGTTGGAAACCCTTTCAAATCTAGGCAGACTATTTTTTCGTTCCGAATCAGAATTTGCGGCTTGCGGTTCCAAAAGAACGACGATGATAACTCGGCTGGTTTCATCGGTGTGGTTAACGTGCTTTTCTTTCTGTGATCGTGCAGTCGCCGATTTCCGTGAGTGCGGCCAAGTGTGTTTTACATCGGTGCTTCAATTTGAAACGAGGGGCTTTACTCGTGAAAAGAATTAGCCATGGTGTGGGGTTCCGGCCTCCCAAGAATTCCTCTCTGGAAGCGGCGCAAACGGGATGTTTCGGTTGTGATTCAAGGGTAGATTGTGCCACGATCGTGAGTAAATCTGCATGCTATAAAGTTTGTGCCGTTCGTTACTTTTCTTTTTTCTAACCTGTGCGTTCGATTTTTGTGGAATGGTAGGACCAAGAGCTGTTTTTTGCATGGTCTGTCTAACATCACGGCACTTACATCGGGAGAAAAAACAGCGTTTTGTCAGCTCTGCGCCGACCGCACGTCTTTGGTCGAATATATTGAATATTCGAGTGACCGAATACTAGGAATTTGATTCGCGAATCGAATTATTCGTGAACTTTCTATTCAATTCGAATTCATATATTCGAGTATTCGCACACCCCTAACCATAACATCACTAATAATAGATCAATCTCACAAGTACTTCCGACATTGTACTCTTTACACTTTGTAGTATCTAGCCATTCATTAAACAAATTTTTGTTGAGTAGACATTTTTCTATGGAGCGCAAGTTTGTCCACTTCTTGCGCAGGGGGTTCCACTGACGTCAGAATGCCGAGCTCCGATTGGCTCCGATGGCGGGATAGTGGGTAGACCTCAATGCTAGGTGGCTTGAGGTCTACCCGCTATCCCTCCAATAGGAATCAATCAGAGCTCGGCATATTGACGTCCCCCAACTCTCGCTCAAGAAGAAGATAAACTTGCGGTCTGCATTGTTCCTCAAAACAAAGACACTTGAGTTTAATTATCTTGAAGATTGATTGAAGAACTGACCAGATATTTGCATTCAGCAAACAAAACTAAATGAGCTTGTGCACTTTAATTGGGTTCAGTCAAACAATAAGTGTTTCCCCTATGTCGCACGAATCAATCGTACGATGTTCGTGAAAGGGTTTCTGCAGCACTTTGGTCGTACCCCGCAAAATCGCAATACATAGAATTCCTACAACGGTCATACAGTTGGCAGCAATAAAAGTCATGTGACACCACAATGTCGCAACATAGCGAGACACATTGCGACGTCACGTTGCGTAGCGATGTCGCGCGACACGGCCGCACAGTTGGTGTCACATGATCGCTGTCCACTAAATTAGGCGGGCGATGCCCCTGCGGGCAAATTTGATGTTTCCGCAACGCATTTCTGCTACGCACTTCCGTGATGCAATTCTATAATGCTGAAAAGTGCCTAAACCTCCTCCACAGCTAGGATTCCGTGTTTTCAGTCCTGAGCCAGTTTTATCAAAGTTGGGGGAAACCAAAAAAACTTTGAATCGGAGTTTTCCATGCACAAGAAAAACCCAAGCTTCAAGGGAAGCAAGTTTTATCTGGGGAGTAATTTTGCGTCAACCTGGAACAGAGCCCCCTCTAGACTACTACTTTCTTCGGAATCGATGCCCCTCATCTCGTTTCCTCTTCTCATTGGCACTGGAGAGTTTTCCACGTGCTTGGGTCTAGCGCACGTTCCCCGGAGGCTAGGTAATCTCGTGCCCGTCTCTCGTTTTCATTGACACAAGTACCGATAAACACCCGTAGTTTGTCCAAGACAAAGAAATTGACACCAAATCTCTGGGAAAATCTAAAACAAAACAAAAAAAGAAAACCCTGAAAACACGGAACTTTATTGATAACATTGTAAAAACAAAGCAAATTCCCTTTCCTTTTATCTCCTCGGGACACATTGAAAGGGGGAACAAATGGCGCAATAAATGACCATAGAAATGGCGACGAGGATGGGAGCTAAATCACGCCCCTGAGACATTACTCTTCTCTCAATCTCGCTCCTGCAAGGGTGTTCTTGCAGTGCTTATGGCACAGCTAGCTTGTCGCATACGCTGCTAGAAATACCGAATAGCGGCACCGCCAGCTACGATAAGGCTCCAACACTGTACAGCGAGCAGTGTGGGCAAACAAACTCTAGGTCGGACACCCTTCTTAACGTCCTTCTTCTAGAAAAGCTCTTTAGAAATGTGCTTCGACATTGGATAACCGTCATGCTGTGCACAGTCTCTCCTAGGGGTATCACGTTAGGCAATACTGACATATCTTCTATTTATTAAAGTGAAAAACAGAGATGCAGTCTTTGCTTGGCCAATATCCTAAAAGGGCTGACACGAGGCTTTTAAGGTGCACAGTACAACAGGATCGTGCACAGAATGTCTGCTAGCTCCTCAGAGGACACAGACCACTCCTGTCTATTTCGGGAGATAATTTTGCCCAGAGGCATAGCCGGGAAGGGGGGGGGCTTATGGGGCTTCAGCCCCCCGCGAAATCCAGCCGACCCTACCCTATAATATACACCAACTCATGTTTACAAACAAACCGGAGCGCCCCTAGCGCACGCCACCGGCGCCGCGCATGCGCGGTGGATGGTGGGAAAGAAGCCCGCCGTCGCCCATAAACAAACCATTGAATTGCGTTGTTGTCGGCGTCGGTGGGAGTCCCCGTGCTCTTTTTCGCGTTGGAATTGTTGATTCTACGTCCTCCTAACAATGCCTGACTACTTGAGCGGCTTCAGCAAAACTAACGAGGGAAAACTTTGCGTGAATAATGTGACGTGCGGCGATTCATTTCACGTGAAAGCCGTAGAATGGGCGCTAAAGCCTGACTCCCACGATGAGATTGTGCTCGCTATTTTCAGTCGCGACGGCGCTCGGACTGCAAAGTAGCAGAGATGGTGGACGTCGATACTGAAAACCACAAGTAGAATCGGGCATTACAAGTCGGTGATGGCCACTGGTAACAATGATCAACACCTTCTTGTATCTACTGTTTACACTTAGCCTACTTACCCCAAACAACCTTCAAAAGTGTTTTGAGGCCTGCACTTTGTTCTTATCGCAATTACCGGGTCAACGTTTCGTTTACGGGCCGCTGTCGTTTGAACGAGCCGACGACAAAAAGCAGACAAGTTCGAAAGAGCAGACGAAAGTTGGAACGATCAGGCGGCCGTGTGAATTTGAAGACGCACTGAACCCGTGGGTGGTCCGGACAACTTGGCGGTTTTCTCTCATTCATGTTGGAACAAAGCAAATACATCTGGCGACCACAAAGTGTTGCCCTCACACGCAGTCGTAGTTCGACAGCGTCCGGTTCGCCCATTTCACGGCTACTATCCACGTTCTCGGACGAACGGAGGGGGCAGAAACTCATGAAAACTGATCTTCAAACCTTTCCAGACTCTCTTGGTACATCCCCCATCGCAGCATTTTGACGAGAGGGCATGTTTTTTGTCTCGTTTCTTCCAAAGGAACACGGGAATGCATGTCTGGCACGGCGACTTCTGCCCACCGCCCCAGGCCGGAAGTGCGTCCGGCGCGCCACCACCGCGGCGTGATGTAGGAGAGTTGAGTTCGTGTATAGACCTTTCCAAAAAGAGCGCTCTGGCCGCCGCCATTTTGCGAATCGAGCGACCCCTATCAGCCAGAAATTTCTGGCACCCGCCTGAGCTGTGGAAACTCGGTCAGCGTGACTCCCCACCTGCATTTTGCATCCGGAGTTCGGCGGCTTTTCTTGGAAGTTTTTATTTGATTCGCTTGTTTTGGGTGATTACCCTTTGTATGTTATCTTCCACTGTGAGAACCAGGGAATACCAGGGCTCTTAGCCCGCTCGGCCTTCGCAGAAAACGAACGAAGAGAGCGAACGTCAAGCAGCCCGCGACGCAGGCAGTTCGACGTGCTTGGAGGATTATTTCCGTCGAGATAATCTCCAAAAAGCCTTCCCGGGTGTGTTCCGGGTCTTCGCGAAAAATAGCTGATAGGGTCGGGTTCGGGGTGTGGGGACAGAATAGACACGTTCGTTCATTTGCTTTGAAGCTGTTCAAAAAAGCTGCTCTCTTCTACATGTTCCCCAAAACGCGCCGGATTCCGTCCGATTGTCGCGAAGTGACTATCGTCGACACTGTATATTGGACATGCTGTGTTATTTGAGACCTTTCTCAAATCCTGTTCGGATAACGCGGCACCGTGGGGTACGTACAATATATGTTGTTCGATTGATGAGACTCATTGAATTTCATGTTGTGGGCGGGGAATATCCATGCAGTTCAGATATTCTGTGTGGTCACATATTTTGACCTTTATAGATTGACACGGGTGAGTGTACGGTGCCGTAAAACGATGAACATAAAATGAAACAACCATTCCAGTTGCATTTGTTCTGTCGCGCACGGACTCACCAAAACAGCTTTCATTTCTTTGTTTTTGTTCCAAAAAAATATAGCACTGCTTTCTCAAATACCTCTATAAATTATGTTCGCCACAGAACACAAAATAAGAAAGAAAGCGCGGCAATTTAGCTTCCACCAGCGTCCGGAATTGCGCCTACGCAGGCTGCCACAGCCTACTGACGAGAAACTCCACAGCTCAGCGCAGTCGGGCAACACTGAGGTACACTCTCAAAACCAGGGACGCGCGCTGTAAATCGCTTCGTTCGAGACTGCCGCTGGAAAGGTCTATACACATGGGTGGTTTCATCTCAAATCGGGCAGGCTAAAAGTGTTTAATTTTTAATTTTCACGAAAAAAATGTATGTTTTGGGGGCATTTCTCAAATGAAGGAGGGTGCAAACCGCATGTTCCCCAGATTTTTTGTTCTCGAGTTACGAGCCGTAGAAGCCGCAGTGGCAGAAACTAATGTTTTTGCCTGCCGTCGCAGGTAGGGAGGCTGTAGTGAGGGGGGGCGCAACTCAAAACCTGGAGAGCGTTTGCAATTTAATGGCGGCGCCTGAGGGAGAGGATTCGAGAAAGGATATGTACCAGTGTTGCCTGCACGAGAGCAGGCGCCCGCTCTGTTGCAACTCTGTTGCACCATGCGCCTTTCCTCCTCTCGCCTCCCATTGCAAGCAACGAGCGCCTTGGCACAGCCTCTCTCGCTTCCTTCTCGCACCAAGAATTGCAAACGTCGAGCGGAGAAAGCAAAGTTGCCAGACAAGCAGCAACGTCCAAGATGGCGGAATTTACCATTTTTCGCGTTAAAAAAATACTTAACCTATCGCAACAAAACTGGTGGCTATGGAAAAGTAATCATTTATACTTTGTGTAAATTATGCAAGCACCTTAATGGGCTTTTATGACCTGAGTTAGGAAAGAAAACGACCCTTTGCCCCATAGACTCCCAGCAAAATTTAGCAATTAAATGGCGTCCATGTCCCGTGATCGCCGATCTAGCAGTTGCACCCATCCTCACTTGAGCCTCCCTAGTCGCAGGTCGCGTGTTTGACGCCCTCTGCTGGCGCTAATGTTTTTTCTACACCCTTCTAACTTTTTGCCCTCATTTGATAGGTACTATAAAGATATCTTGACGTATTCAAATCGTTTTAGGAATTTGATTGTTTTCTAAAAAAACATGTCAAACTAGTCACACCAGTCGCTTTTTGGTCAACTTTGACAGGTCATTACAGTAAAACCTCGTTATAACAAAGTTGAAGGAGCGGTCGTAGTTATTTCGTTATAACCATTAGTTTGTTATAGCCAATGTCCATTTCTCCATACTATTAGCAAGCAAGGGGAATTATGATTGCTTTGTTATATCCATTAGTTTGTTATATCCCATTTTGTTATAACGAGGTTTTACTGTACTTTGTCTGTACTTAAGGTACATTTTCTATCTTTGGCTCTACAGAAAGCCCAAAGCAAGCCCATTATAGATATAATAATATCATTATGATCTGTCGACTAGCCTCTCCACTACCTTCACATAAACGTTGTAAGAAATAACAAATGTTGAAAGTTTGAGGTCGATTTTCTCAAAAACCCCATTTTTGTCAATTAAGGGGGGGGGGGGGGGCCCTGCCCCCCCCCCCCCTTAATTAATAAACTAATAAAACAGATTCTGTGCTAAAACTGCTTTGTTGCCCCACGCCTTAAAGGCAACTTCAGTCAATATTTTCGAATTTAGGATTACGACTGTTCTCACCTAAAGCAGTGTCCCTGAATTGCAAGGTATAATTTTTTTTCTTCTTTGATATTGTGTGTAGTTTCATAAATATCATGGTCCAAAGTTTGGTTTCGGGCATCTACAGAAAAACTGAAACTATCTGCTAGAGGGACGGCAACACTGATAATCAGCCGTATAGCCGCGACGTGACATCACAAGAGCGCTGCGCCAGTTTTTCTTGACTAAAAGCTAACCCACTTGCCGCCTGCTAAAAAGCAGCTGGTCGCATCTTTAAAATCAGTTTTAGTGGAGAAAGCGCCTGCACTCTGACGTAATATGTCGGCTGTAAACATATTTTGTGCCACTAAAGCGATACCAGTCATTTATTTTGGTTTTGTTTTCAACCGGACTTTTTAGTGTTTATTCTGCGAACGCATGTTGGCCAAAGTGGCTAACTGGGTTGGTGACAGGACCATTTTGTGTGGCGACGCTTCTCTTTCTCCTTTGCCAAAGAGCGAAAATTCTGAAACATCTGGAATGAACCAGGCCTCGACACTGAAGCAATAAAGCAGCGTGCAGGTCTAGGGACCTCGTAAACAACACCTACAAAGGTGTGTTTGGCACATAGCTCTGCATCGACAAATGACTGTTCTAAATTAGTCTTTGAACTGGGAAAACGCTTTACTTAGGGGCAGGGGCGGTCGAGAAAATTCGGTAGCCCGAGGAAACTCCGAGTGCACTCCGAAGATCCCAGTTTGAGAATACGTGCTCTGCAGTGCGGAAAAAGCGTCTCCGGCCTCGAGCTCCCCGCTTCAATCCGCACTAAGGCAGCATTTTGTTTCCCCTCATTTCGACGTATTTTTCCGCGATCGTGCGCCGCCGGCATCGGGCACTACGGAGGATGGCTCCACCAAAAGAGCAACGACGTCCTGGCACCCCGTGGCCGACGGGTGCTGAGAGAACTCACCCGCGTGCCTGCTCCTTTCGCCGCCCTCTGCCGACCTGGCGGGTGGCGTCTCCCGAACCGGCGCCGAGGGACTGCGTCTCGAACCGCCGTCCCGCTCTTCGGAATCCGATTCGTCGGTGCCCAGGGTTACCCGCTTCTTTTCCTTTCCTTCGGAGTCTTTAAGCCTCAACGAGAAGCTCACGGGACCTAGAAAGAGAGACGAAAAGATGGTCCACTTTGTTCCGTTTACTTCGGCTTTCTATACGGTTGTCAGCGCTCGTAAGATGGCTTGCCGTAGCTTCTAAAAGGCGTATAAAAATTTATTCTACGGTTACGTAGCTCAATATATTGACAGAGGGGTGAAGAAGCTCTTCTTAACTTTTCTGAAATCAGAGACAACGTTCTAAATAAACCAAAGGCTATGGGTGTCAACGTGAACCAGTTAACTCAAAAATGACATAGCACATGTGCTTCCGCAAACATTTGTGCACTTCATTGTTTTTACCAACATCAATAATGTATAAGTTAAAGATGAATCAGCTTCAAAATGTGACAGTCAGTCGCTACTCGGCCCCCTAAGCCTCGTGTATATACTCTATTTCACCTTACGATGTACCGAATTGATAAAAAAAACTATGAGCACCATGCAAAATACGGTTCTGTGACTGATTCACTCAATTGCTCATGCACTGGAAGCACGTGTGTGATAACCGAAAGTACTCACGGCGACAGCGCCGTCCATTTTGACGAGATTAGACACGAATGAACAATTACACAATGGAGGCGCGCTCAATAGCACTTTTAAGAAAAGGTTTACTCTCAAAACGAAAAAAATAATTAGGTTTGCTCATCTTGATAGCCTGTGCATCGTACCTCCCGCAGCCAGACAGCGAGACCGCATGACAGTGCACCGTTAGCAGGCAGTCACAAATGACAGCGGAAAGTAGAATGAAAATCGGGAAAAGACCACGTATCATAGGTATAGAAGGGTACTACAGCTGAAATCTTCGAATACGGCGGTTGCTTGCACCACCCTGTACCCGTGACGTGTACTTTACTATGACAAGATTGAATGTTACCAACCAAGCACTCGTTTCCCGCTAAATCCAGCGTCGCCGCAAAATTTTCTTTTAGTTTTTGAGTTACTTTGGCGCAGTGTGGCGCAATTTCGACGGATTTTGTGTTTTTGGCGCAACTAGGCGCAGAAAATTGGGTTTGTATCAAAATGGCGCAATTGGTGCAGATGTCATACCCCTGCAAAGACCATGCAATACACCTAATACAGATATGACACCACTTGTAGTTTTATAAGGAATTAGAAACTCTTGCTATTTTCTTTTATTTGTACGCAATAAAATTAACAGTGCCCTCCTTGTTGAGTAGACGACAGGAAGAAATTAGACAAATTATCACTAGCCTTTCGGAAAGGGTGGCAAGTAACAAAAATTTGAGAGAAACAAAAACTTTGCAAAGTCAAGCATATAAAGTCAACGACATCATTTATATTTTCAAGTTTCCTTCATTTGTGAAACATAGGGATTTTCTTTGTGCAAGCTCCTTGGCAAATGCTGAAGAAAGAAGCAAGAAGCGCAAAACCACCGGAGTAAAAAATTAAGGCATCGAGGCCACTAGTGTAAGCAAGCATTCACATCATATGCAGTGCAAGCCTGCCCCAAGTCCAGTGATGGGCTGGAAGTCTCAGTCCACTGTAAGCAGCTCGAGCCACACATATTGTGCGCGGGGGCAACAGCTTCAAATTGTGGCAGAATGCAAAAACAAAAATATTTATAAAACTTCGAGCCTTTCCAGTCTGGTGAACAAGGAAGACCAGCGAAGCTGTACTATGATGGGACGACCTCAAGGACAATTTCTTGGATAACCTCAAGGACGACGCCTAGAGGACGACGTCTAGGACAACCTCAAGGACCACGTCTAGGACGACCTCAAGGACGACTTCTAGGACAATCTTTAGGACGACCTCAGGGACAACGCCTCAGACGACCTCAAGGGCGACGCCTAGGACGACCTCAGGGACGACGTCTAGGACGACTTCTAGGAAGACCTCGAGGACAACGTCTAGGACGACCTTTAGGACGACTTCTAGGACAGCCTCTAGGACGACCTCATGGACGACTTCTAGGACGACCTCTCGGACAACCTCAAGGATGAAGTCTAGGACAACCTCAAGGACGACTTCTAGAATGATCTCGAGGATGACATCTAGGACGATGACTAAAAAAATTCAGCCTTTCCACTCTGGTGAAAACCAGAGTGGAAAAGCTGGATTCCGGTTGCCGCCATCTATGAGCAAGGCCGACAAGCCAGTTGTCGCCGTCGCTCATAGATGGCGGTAGCTGTCCAGAGTTTTGTGTCGACATTTGTTTGGTACCGGACACAATCTTGGGGAACCAAGCCCTTAACAGCTCCGCTGTAAAAAGAAAACACCACCTTTGCACAAATTCTCAGCTCTACTAGAGAAATCGTGAACATAAAAGCCCAACTATGCAGAAACATTTGCTTACGTTTCCCTATGTTACGTCACAATACGACCCCGAGTCACTCGCATTCTGTACGTTGCGTGCAAACCTACTTCTTGAATCGGTCGCCACACTTTATACGAATCGGGAATGTCAGAATAACTCACAGTCGTAACTCGACGTAAGCTCCAGTAACATGATGCAAAGTAAGCAAACGATGCCACATGAAAGGGCCTTTACCGTAAGGTTCATAGTGAACGCCCACCCCCGAGAGATCGCCCATCCCGTTTTTCTGGCTAAATATCTGTAACATTAAAATTCCGAAACATCGCCCACCCCCCGATTCCTGTCGAACATCACACAATGTCCGACAGGCATCTCATCAACTGCGGAATTTGCTATAGAGGCACATCTATTTGTTATAGAGGCACGTCTGAGAAGCAAGGTCGTAGCAGTTACCCGCGTTTTCGTCCACGATCTGCGAGCGCAATATCGGCTCCCGTAATCAGAGGTCGGCATTTTAGGTCGCCCTCACTCACCCTCACCCTCACAGCCACACTCACCTAAGCCCCTCACTCACCCTCACCCTCACAGCTACACTCACCTTCAGCCCCTCACTTACCCTCACCCTCACAGTCACACTCACCTTCAGCCCTTCACTCACCCTCACTGAACCTCACGGCCCACACGCACTCACCGCCCTCACGCCCCTCACTCACTCACGGCCCTCACGCCACTCACCGCCCTCACGGCCCTCACACACTCATAGCCCTCACGCCACTCACGGCCCTCACGCCACTCACCGCCCTCACGCCACTCACCGCCCTCACGCCGCTCACTGCCCTCACGCCACTCACCGCCCTCACGCGCCTCACCGCCCTTGCGGCCCTCACACCCCTCAATCCCCTTACGCACAGATGGCCCTCACGCCACTCAGGCCAGCTTCAGATGGGGCAAATTCGCCCAGAAACTTTACGTCGCAACACCAGCAACACGGGCCGCCCGCAATCACACGCAGCAACCAATTGCTGCAATTTGCCATCGTCATCATAAAAATTTTATTTTTCTTGCACTATTTAGACACAATTACGCGTTATAAACGTGTTTTTATGCATTTAAATCTCGTTAAGAATACTAATGCACCTTTCTGAAACAGTTTATTTCCGAAAAAACGATCGATTTCAAACCAGAACCAAGTCTTTCGGTGTCATCATCACCGGCACGAGGTATCACGTGAACGTTTTGCGTCCCTGATTGGATTCAGCCGCTTCAAACACATTCGAATTGCTCAGAGTTGCTTGCTTATTTCGAGCCGGACCCGATCTCAGCAATTCGTGTCGATCTAGGGAAAACTAGAGAACAACCCGCCATTAACACCAAAATTACTGAGAAAGATGCTCGATCTGAAGGGGGCCTCACGCACTCACCGCACTCAGCACCCTCACACACCTCATACGCTCACCGCCCTCACGGCCCTCATGCCTCTCATGCCACTCACTGCCCTCACGCACTCATGGCCCTCACACACCCCACGCACTCACCGCCCTCACACCACTCACGCACTCATGGCCCTCACGCCACTCACCGCCCTCACGCCCCTCACGCACTCATGGCCCTCATACCCCTTACCGCCCTCATGGCCCTCATGGCCCTCATGGCCCTCACGGCCCTCACGGCCCTCACGGCCCTCACGGCCCTCACGGCCCTCACAGCCCTCACGGCCCTCACGGCCCTCACAGCCCTCACGGCCCTCACTCACCCTCACACTCATGAATTTTCCTGGTTCAGAAACTCACTCACCCTCACCTTACCTGTGAGGATGAGGGTGAGTGAGGGTGAGTGAGGGCCCTCATGAGTGAGGTTTGCCGAGGTATGCCCGTAATACGCGAGTTGTTCCCGTGTGTATGTTGCACCGTGAATTGTGAAAATGCTACACTCGCAATCTTCGGTGTCCGTATCCGTGACATAAGGTTTGTAGCAGATTCCCACGTTTTTGGCCACAATCTGCACGCGCAATCTTGATTTTACGCAAGTTGGTCCCGCGGGTATATTGCATTGTGAAATAAGATTCTGCTGCCTTCGCAATCTGCAGTATTTTCTCCCGTAACACACGAGCATGTAGCGGATTCCCGTTTCTTTGAATGCGATCTGCGCGAGCAATATTGGTTCCCGTGACAGGCAAGTTTATAGCGGGTTCCCGCGTGTTTATTGCACCATAAAGCTTGAATCTGCTGACGTCCGCGATTTGCAATATTTGTTCCCGTGAGATGTGAGTTTCCTGAGAGTCCTTTGAACCGTGAAACACGAATCTGCTGCATCCGCAACCTGCGGTATCCTTTCCCAAGACACAGAAGTTCGTAGCGAATTCACGCATTTATCACATCGTAAAACGCGAATTTGCGGTGTCCGTGATCTGCGGTATCAGTTCCCACGTTGCGTGGTTTGTGGCCATCGCCATGGCCTTTATCATTACTTTTTGACAAAGTTCTGCTGCAGCATCCCCCAAGGTATTTCACCACTTATCTTTTCGTTTTGAGTGGGTGTTCTTTTAGAACTTTACGATAGTCCTATTCGGACAGCTGCAAACCGATCGGAAAGCCTCCCTGCCACCAAAAGGTTCCACAAGGCACGAAAGTGACCTCCCACCTTTGGCGTACGCCCTCTCCGTAGGTCCCAGCTGGGGCACTCCGTCGTTGCTGTCCAGCGAAGGGAAGGGCGAGTCAGACCCGGACCCCCTGGAGTCGTCCATGGTGCTCAGCCCGTTGTGAGCCTTCTTCAGCTTCGCAGCCATGGCGGCGACGGAAGTGTCCACGGGCGAAGCCGGCTGCTGGGAGGCCGAGCTTTCCTTCGTGGGTTCCGTCTCGCCCTGGACCGGGGTAGGTGCTGCCGCTGCCGCCTTGGTCCCAGTCTCTGCCGACGTCTCCATGCGCTCCGACAGGTAGTCCTGCTTCTTGTAGACGTAGTAGGTGTGGTACTCGTGGTCCGGAAGCAGGAAGTCAAACCGTTTGTCACCTAGTTCCGCCACGAGAAAATAGCCCGCACAAAACAGGTTAGATGTAATTTCGCTACTACTGGAAAGAAACCCGTATGCTGTTGCAGTTCAAAAAGGTGAGCGCGCTCCTATCATGACGCCCTCCCCTCCAGCATTTGCTCGGATAAAGTGGAAAGAGTGGGGGGCATCGCGAGAGGAGCTTGCCCAGCTTTTTTAACCTGCAACAGGGTAAAGAAAGAAATCTAAAGGCGTTGTCGGCTGTTTGATGACCGTGTTGATTTAGGAGTTGTTGGAGTTGCTCTTCTGCCGTGTCTCCTGACTGGAGAATAAAGAATTTTGTAAATAAAATAAAAAATAAAATAAAAAAGACACATCCAAATGCGGTAGTTTTATAGGGTGGGTGGTGCTCTTAGTTCGGGTGGTGCCTGGAGCAGGATGATCCTTAGTGTTTTAGAGCATAGGGTGGGTGGTGCCCACCCTATGCACTAAAACAGCATAGGGTGGGTGGTGTATGGGAACAGACTATGTCACATCAATGTCTCTTTGTGACAATGCGTGAGCTTACCGTCAGCACCACCCGACTACAAAAGCCTTTGGGCAGAGTTTTCTGGGTCACCGAGATGGGAAACACGCTTTCCTGCCCTTTCGACTCCTTGTTTTGCACGCTCTTCCTACACCACCTGTTTCTGCTCTCTTTTTTCGTCCTTTCCACCCCACGCACTTTCACACACCACCTGCCTCTGCTCCTTCCGTTCCTGCGTTCTCGGTCTGTAGCTCAGTCAGCAGCGGACTCGGGGTCCAGCCCAGTGTCCGAGGTTCAACCCCTCGCACCGCCAAGATTGTTTAGCGGTTAGGGACCGACCGACCTACACATTTCGTGCTTACGCGGCTCCTGAGGTTTGGTTGGCCCTACAATGCTACTGCTTTAATAAAACTGGGTTGATTTGACTCGGTTTAAAGACAGCATACAAATGAATGAGCAGTAGCTTAAGAATGCACTTCGTAAAGCTGCATAAAATAGAATTTTCCCTGGTTACAAGCAAAGCATCAAATAAATTTAGACTCCCTCGTGCCCTTCACCGAAGACTCGAAACAAGTAGGTGATGTACAAAACTAGTGCCACAAGGCACTTTCTTCCTCTGCCCTCCCTCTCTGCAATGCAGCAGTCCTTGCCACCAAGCCCAATGGAAATGTTTCTATCTTGGACAGGCAGACTTCTATTTTCACTTTTCATACAAGATATTACAATATTTTGCATACGAAGCTGACAAAGTCAAATTTGGGAGTTTCACGTGCCAAATTAAGAAAGGGCATCTGGCGTGCTCCAGCAAAAAACCTCAGATTAGTTTCTGTCATCTGGGGGTCTCTTCGTGCACAACCGAGATCTTAGTTACATGGCACCTTCTCCGTAATAAGCCTCGTCAGACTAGTGAGCACCTCGGCCGGTATTTGAGCCCACCAGCTGGGGATCCGTAGGTTGCAATTTGCTTCGGAGCCTGGCTGCAGAAAGCCGACACTCTGCTAATATATTTCTTACACTCGCAGGGATACAATGAGCTGACAATATGTGACATTCCTATGCTAGATCATTCCAGTTAACGAGAACAAGAAAATGTGAGGGGTAATGGTGTAAATCGTGGCAGACACAGACCTTTGCTCTTGACGATGGTCTCAAAGTCGTCGCCGTTCTTGGCCACATACATGGCCATCTTATCGATGATGGGTTGCACGTCGGGCGGGGGCGGAATGGCATAGCCCGTGGGGCACGCCTGGGAGGGCAGCAGGATGGGCTCCAGTCCCGGAGGAGGCGGGGGCTGTGAGTAGTCTTCGACTGCCCCATAGCCCTCGTAGCCTGAAAGAGATTGCAAGAATTGACAGGCTTGAGGGGCAACAAAGGAAAGTGATCGTGGACAAGGATCCTGACATGCCAGAGCAATCTCTCTACAGCAGCTCGGGCACACAAAGATTGCTGCATCAAATAAAACTCTTACAAATGGTGTATCATGCTATAGCGATGGTATTCACTATATGAAAGTCCTCTGTAGTAAACTCATTGCAGAAAATTAGAATGCTACTACTATATCAGTCCCATACCTGTATCACAAACTAACTGCACTTTTACAGTGCAATCTATTTATAATAATAATGAGAAAACCTGAAAATTCAACCGTTATAATCAATTGTTATTGCATATGAACTCAAAACTTAGCGTTCCTTGTCTAGAAACTCTAGAAACTGATCGTCATAAGCAGTACATCGTTATATGTGGTATTGTCATAAGTGGATTGCACTGTACAGCCATAGCTGAGTGCTGCCACTTTGCTACGTATGGCCTGCTGCTTCGTGAGAGTATGCACAGTACTGTGCTTCAGCTGAGCTTTTAAGTTCATAGCTGGAGGCGTGGCTCATCAGTAATAAGTCACACGACAGAATGTGGTGCCAACGACACACGCCACCTGTGCTTCGAATTTTTTACGCAGCACTGAAGGGCAGCTTTTGGTCAAAATTTTTCAGTCTAAATTAGTTGCTCCTAAATCGCCCAAATTGTTTCACAGTAAAATTGACACCATAATGACATTTCTTCAGGTCCCCAGTCAATTTCATATAAATGTTCTAGTAACTTTTTAGGAATTTCTATTAACAAGCCATTTGTGATTCATTGCATCAGCTTGTTCATCACCAAAAGAATATTGTTAGGCAAACAAGCACACTACTCCATGACAGTGCCACAATCATTATTTGTTTGTCTTTTAACGTAGGATTCATTTCGTGGCATTATGTACAGTAGCGTCAGGTATCTTTGAGCGTCTATGTGCAATGAATGTTGCATTTCTACGTGGCACTACCAATGTCAGATGACTTGTGATAGAAGCAGACTGCCCGAAATATGGTGACGTCGCAGCCATAATTTCGAGATTGATAAAATGCTTTCGAGTTGATTACACCTCACACTTCTCCCAGTCGCTTGCCACAAGCTATTGTCACCAACGATTGGCGCCACTAGGATCAACACCATTCATCCACTCTGAGAACCGTCGTTTCAAGTGGTGAAAACAGTCACTTGACCGGCTGTTCCCAGCAAAGCAGGAACCAGAATCAAGTGGCTGTCGTATGTAAACTTGTAGCAGTGTTACAGGCATTTGAGATACTAAAGTTGTTAACTAAGATATATATAATTTTTTTTTTTTTTCGTTTGTAAATTAGATGTTATACTATAAAAAGGCTCTACACATGGGTATTTTGCTCCCACTGCCTATGAAGACCTAAACTACACTTTTTAAATGAAAGCCTCCTTAAATTACAACCACTGCTATGCAGAAGCACTCAACAAAGGTTTGTTTCTAGCAAGTACACTTATCAAAAACAAACCAGAGAGAAGACTCAGTAGAGGAACAATGTACAAAGCAGGGTGGGGCAGTATCGCGATACAAATGTATCGCGATAGTATTTTAGAAATACTTTTAGTAACTGTATTTCCGTATCAGAATACAATTTTTTCAATCGGTATTTGTAGTTCAGTATCAAGATACATTTTTGGTGCATTCCTCGTATCGTGATACAGTCCCTGGCCAATGTTTCTCGTGGCAATGTTTGAGAAATCAGTGACCCCCAAGCAAAAACCCAAGAGACTGTTTCCTTTCTTCTTTCATGGTTCAGAGGGGTAGAAGGTAGAGTAAATGGGACCTTGAGACTGTTATCAAGCAGACCAAGGTTTATTTCTAACATTATGGCCCCGACATTGGTGACTTCTTTCCTTATTTTCCAAAGATAACGTATGTCTTCTGGGGTGCTTCAGCTGGGCTACTATATTTGTTGGATCAAAACGCTGAAGGCACTGCAGGTACGAGCTTTATAACTGTACACTGCACTCCCAGCCCCTCTACTAGGGCAAGCGCAAAATCTATTCCTTCAGATAATCAGATAAAAGAACATAATTTACTTCAAAGGTGACGCCTTGAAGTGAATGTACCGACATGGGACTAGAGGATGTTGATCTTTCTGGGATCTTTGGGTAGATGTAAAACAATATTAGAGGTTCATGTAATATTGCTTCAAAGGCATGCAATATATCTAATGGACAACCTCTACAGCATTATGGATGGAAAGTATTTCCAATCTACTGAAGACTCACTTAGTTCCCGCAGCTTTATATTAAATGAAAATTGGCAATTCTAGGCGAAAATAATTTTGGACTCGAGATCGTCAAAGTTCAACTTCAACCTTTACTTCACGGTTAGTATGAGTTTTTGTTTTCACTGGGGGACTCTTTTTTCACCTTAGAGGTACAAACTCTGTCAATGTAGCCTAACTGCCACCACCTTCAAGTGAGGTCTTCATATACATAAAAAAACACAAAAAAATAAAACAAAAAATATTTGCGTGGTTTAAAACTTCAGGACGGTGAAAGAGGTCTTCGTTCACTTTAAAGGACACATGCAAAGGAAAAAAACATTTTTTTAGACAGCTTAGATGGAAAAAAGATGTCATAAAACAATTTTACAACGAAGAAAAAAAATTTTTAGAGCTATATTTACGGCGCTATACGAATTTGTAGTTGGCGCTCGCGGGAGCTGCTGCTGGTCACGTGGTAGGCCCGCGCGCCGCAGCGCTGCGTCGTTGCCACACGCTCAGCGTTGTGCGAACGCCGCTTCAACGCGTTTCTCCACGCCGCCGCCGCCGCACAAGTTTGTCTGCTTCGGGGCGCCGCCGCCGTCGTCTGACCGGCGCACAGGTCTATCACGTCTGCTTGCGTTTTTTCAGGAGTTTCCTTTGGGCTCTAAAAGTTACTTATTCATCCTAGTTTTTTGTTATACTTCAAACAAAGATGAATAAGTTACTTTTAGAGGCCATAGGAAGCTTCCGAAAGAACACAAGCACCATGTGATAAATAAGGACCAGTCACGTGATAAATACGGACCACTTTTCCGCAATGCCCGCGGGCGCCAACTACATATTCGTTTTGCGCCGTAAATATAGCTCTAAAATATTTTTTCTTCGTTGTAAAATCGTTTTATGGCGTCCTTTTTCCATCTAAGCCGTTTAAAAAATATGTTTTTTTCCTTTGCATGTGTCCTTTAATATGAACCTGTGTTCGTTGACAACTGTGGAATGCTTAATCTCGTTCGCTAACATGACTTTTTGCCCAAATCGGCAGTGGCTGACCGACGAGCTATTTAAAAAGATAATTCTCATAAAATGTAGATGAGTGTAGAAGCAAACTCGTATGTTTAGTTTTGTATTGCTTCCATATGAAAACATAAAATATGTAGCCAAAAAGTTTTTTCTCCTTTACAAATAGTATAGTCAAACCCGGATAGTATATTGAATTCAAAGGGGATCGCAAAATAGTTAGATATATCAATAATTCAATATTTAAAAATATGTTAGCTTAAGCTCCAGTTGAAATTTCCGCGTGTCTCTGCTAATACTGAAGGTTGCAACGAACGGGACTTCACCAAAACAAAAAAAGAAAGGCAAAATAATGTAAAAAAAAAAACGGGCAAAGCAATAACAGCGAAAGAAAAAGGTGAACAAAGATAAGACGTTCAAAGTGCGATTGCTCAATCGTTGTTGTCAACACATTGAACTTGACGAAGACTTAATTTTTTGTTTCTTTGCGTATTTTATTTTGGGGCTAAGGAGTCACGCAGCGACAGCAGTGTTCGGGGAAAGAGCGCATGCTACCATTCCAACAGCGGGCACTCCCTGCCCTCCCTACACGCGCGCCGCGTGCCCTTCTCCTTGCCTTTGCTGTCCTCCACTTTTGTTTTTTACGGTTGCCCTTGTCTCTTGTTGTGCCCACAACTGCTCTCTTGCTGCGTATCCCCGTGCGTGTATGCAGACTGGGCGGTCTGCCAGCCACACAACGCCAGCAATGTACTTGCCACCGGCACAATTGGGACGCAATCGAATCGCAGAAAAAGTGACGGGCGGGCGGCCAGGCTTCGTTTGCTAGATTGAGTGTCCCTGCCGTGGGATTTGGATACAAAAAAAAACAATGCTCCTATGCTATTTACATGTGATTTTCAAGGGGATGTATGGACTGTTTGATATAAACAATAATTAGTGTGATATAACCGGGCTGGAAATAACTTTTCTGCCGGTAATGCAAGAGTTCACATCATAAAAAGTTCTCTAAAAACAAGCGTAATGTGAGCATTACCTCCCCGCAAATTGTATTCCTGTATTTGAGCTCCCAAATACTTTACTATTTTTTAAATGTACGTCTGATAAGTATTGCAATACTTTTGACAGATGTACTTCAGTATCAATATTTTAGCTGCCTTTATTATGTAGTCCAGTATTTGTATTCATAAATACCCAACCCGGGTACAAAGATTGCTTACAGGCCGCCTGGAGAGCAGGGGACCAGTGAAGCATGCTTTTACATATGGTTAACAGAAGATAGTGTTCTGTCATGCGAGAAGTCTTCTCAGTCATGAGCGTTCCGCTGCTCGCGAAAAAGAATGCTGCTGTTGCTAGCTCGTGGCAGAAACAAGGCATTTTTCTTTTACCACGCAAGCTCCAGTGTCTGTGATGAAAAAATGAAAAGCTGCCTCTTCACTACTGAGAGCACTCGTGCAACCTATTGCAGAATTCAAAGAAATGTTCCCTCCAGAACCACTGCAGGTAATCTATGCCATTTATAGCCCTACAAAGCTTCACTACAAACTGTGCAAGGCACACATAAAGTACAGATAGCATTAAAGAGAGAAGTAGCCATGAGAACACTTCCACATTACATGTTTCCCCGCTAAAAACTGGAACATTTAAAACAACAATAGCTTATGAAAAAAGAACCAGTTACATACTGACCAGTAACTTGACCATCAGTGTGAATGTATCGTTTGTTATTATAATTAGCTTTGATTCTAGATTCATTCGCACTATGGATCGTCTGCTGATGCATCAAACATGCTTTCTGCTACGTCCCCCAGATGGTACTCTTGGCACCGTGCGCAGCGGGGGCCAGTACCATACCTGCTGCTAGGGACCACCGTTCTCCCTTCGGCCAACGGAGCGATGCACTGTGAGGAGGTGCCGGGAAAGGAGGACGCACAAAAGACCACGCACAAGCCTGCACTAGGCGAGACGGCTTGGGAACAGCGACCGGGACAGATGCCAAAATCACGTCTTTACCGTCATTCTAAATTTGGCCATGTAATCATCAGTTAAACAAATTAGGTATTTTAGCAGAGCACACTTCACTGCATTGGTGACTTCTGCAAGATAATATGTGGATGATTTAGAATCCGTGAGGCGTGTAGATCAAGCTGTACTGTTTCACCTTACGGTGAATTGCGATGAAGGTTACGAACCATCGGCACCAATCCAATGTCGTGTGGTGTGTCATATGACCTTTGGGAGGGGCGTAGCGAAACAAGGGGCACAGCTCGTACGGTGTCTGCTGCAGTCTACCACAAGGTGGAAGAGAGTAGAGTTTTAAAACGACAGAATCTATCCACGACTAGATGATCCAGCGTAGTTCACGTCGCACGGCTAAACGAGGCAGGGTCCTCACCGGCGTAGTCGGCGTAGCCCAGTGCCGCGGCCTGCTGCCGATCCAAGGGCTGACTCGGCGACGCCCCTCCAATGGGACTGTCCACCTGCGGCTTGAGATTCTTCACAAGCTGCAGGTAGGCGTTGTCCTCCCCTTCTTTCATCAGGAACACCTTGGACACCGCAGTGGGCTGCACAGCAAGACACACACCCACACCCAGAGTCAGAAACCTTGCAGGGGTTTTGCAAACAATGGGGAGCCCCCCGATTGAAACTGTGTTGCATCAATGTCTCTGGCGTGTGTCACACTGCCTGCTCCTGAGTGGCGCAAAGATAGATTTAGTGCCCGAGTACCGCGACGGGTTTTGTGGTTACGCAGCAAGATATGCATCATAATCTAAACCCTGAAACTAGGAGTAAAATAATGAATCGTGGACGTATGATTTCGAGTCATATTGTCCGTCATTTTGTTTCTCCTTGTCTCTGGGTTTAAATTGTGATGTTTCCTAACCAGCTTGCGCGCATATTTTTCCTTCAAGTGGTGCATTCCTTGACTCAAGGGGCATACCTCTGGGCCCAATTGCTAGTGGCCTTTCAAAACATTTAAGACCCAAGGAGAATGCGAACCTTTTGGTTGAAATATACGAGCTTTTCCGAGAAAGATATTCGAACGATGAAAGCAGCAATGAGTGGATTTCAATATAAACCAGGGCTTACGGCAAACTGCATCCATTTATTATAAAATTTCACATTTCGTTCAAGGGCATGAGAAACTCCGCCTCCAGATGAGAAAAGAATCTGATGGGTTGGCTACCGATTATAATGAGTGCTAGCAGCACCTGTAAAGCGCCTCAAAATGTAATACAACCAAGGTCTTCATTGTTAAAAGCATCCCTTAATTCTTTGTCATTTTGCTAAGATATAATTTGCAAAGAAATGTACTGTCCGTATCGCACTTTACAAGTGCGAAACGGACATATAAAGTTAGATGGACCTATCTGGATCTCGCGAAGGTAAAGTAATTGACTGGGTAGGTTTCAAACTTTGAATGGAGCTGGATAGCGATTCAAACACATTTGTTTCTAATTATTTAATTTTGATTCCCGAGATCATTTTATCCACTTAGATGCTTAGCTCATGACTATGTGACCAAGGAATGTGGTGCTTCCTTCACTAGAATAAATAATGTGACTTAGGGCCTCACTAAAATTGACGCAAGTGCATCTGATGACAAAGCACACTGCCACGTATCGGCAAATAACACCGACACAGAGGCTCACCGATTTGCATCCACGGAGGAATAAATACCATTATTGAGTCACCCATACTGCGGGCACCGAAATGGGGCTGGTGGATGCAACGTTCCCCAGCATCCCTGGCTACCCATCATTTTATCCTGCACACTCTATTTCACAAACTGTGTGCCATGCAGCGAAGGTTGCAAGCATCTCCTCCCCGCACGAGTGTATGAAATGCCATCCTCCTCTGCTACCACCGAACGATTCTAAATATTGTACCACACTGAGGTTAACACATACGTGGAAGATTAAAAATGTCTACCTAGCTAGCCCAGCAGAACTTCTAACAACCCCAGGAAAAGACGTTGATCCCCAGACGTTGGAATCATTTTCTCCTAGTACAACTAGCAGGCACAGGGTACAAAAAACACCTACGAAAGTCGCCTAGTTTCTGCCACATTGCACGCAATCTGTGAAACAGAGGGCATGCATTTGATGTGCTTAGCCTCTCCTTTTAGCGTTCCACGTTTATTCCTCCGTGTCAACGGCAGATGAAACAGCCCGCCCAATCGGACACATCACCTGAACTCACGCAATGTCTCCGTCATGGCGCTCTTTTGCACTGGACTTTTCCTAGAGCAGTAAACACAATGCACTTGAATTTCACAATGTTCAAGAACAGCACAAAGAGACCTAGCACAAGAAAGCCTGCCCTGACTGAACATGCAGATTTAACCATGCAATGATATCTACATACAAAGCTCCACAAGGTACACATCCATATAATAACTACAATCACACTACATGATTCACTACCTCTGTTGCAGAAGCTCACAACAAAACATTGGCACAAGCATTTAACAAATCTATAATCGGAACATCAGGTACAATGCAAGCCTCTACACTTGTCGAGAAGAGAAAAAGAAAAAAATGTGGGATAATGAAAATAAAAGACTTACCAGAGAGGGCGAAGAGGTCGCAAACAAGCTCGGGTGTAGATAGTGATCGTCATCGTCGTCAGAATCTTCGTTGCCTGTTGAGAATGCGGTACAAAGGGGAATTTTATTTACGGTACTCATTGAAAAGGGAGGCCAACATGTGCTGTGTAAGAAAACAAAGCTATTTACCAGTGGTTTCATATTAACTATTTTTACGTATCCATCCGAACTGCCTTATTCTAATCAGATATCTGTACACCGCTGTCAAAACAGGCCATAGCAGTTGTGAGATTTCAGAAAATGTCATTCTGCTTTGTGCTACTGAGTGGTGAATTGAAGCAGTCAGCCATAGACATTTTTTGAAAACATCCGTAGCAGTACATTTTGTTAGGCTTCGGAAACATTTTCCAGAACAGCAGCCCAGCGTGATCACTCACGTTCAGAGGATCGTGAAAACCACACTTTTGTCACTCTCACTTCGCGAAAAAACTGTATCCCAGGTGTTTGAGTAAAGCGACATGCCACCTGATATTGACCTTGTCACTGCAGGAAACGTTCCCACAGCAAGTGCATGTTGTGCAGAAATCAAACTTTTCGCCTTTTCTCGATGAAAGGAAGCGTGCAACATCTTCTCTGTAAAACTCTGCAAGCCTGCTTTGGACATTGCAAACACTACAAAGTACTTGTTTGGAAGATTTCTGTATGCCATCGGCTTTATGAAACTAAAGCAACTAAGAGAATGTCTTGACATTGTGGGGATTCCTGTGGTCTTCCTTTCCCGATGGCTGTAATAACGGCCGCGGGTCGGAACGCTCGGCCGCCTTTGCCGTGAGCTCCAACCTGTTTCGTGAGGCGGAGGGCCGCCTGGCTGGGGGGGCTCTCCTCTCACCCTCTCTCGGGGGGGACCAATTTCCCTTCCCCCGCTCAGATGCGGATCACTGCTGACAGGCGAGGAGGTTTCGTCTCGTTTTCTTGCTTTCGGGAAGGGGACTCCTCCCGCGAATGCGATAGAGATCGGACGTGTCGCGAAGCACTTCCTTTGCCTGCTCTGGACTGCACTCTCGTGACGGTGTCGATAGGGTGAGCCTTTCATCTGACCTTGTCGGCGCGGGGGTTTTGGGACAGTTTGTCTTTTGGTGTTCCAATAAACACCGTTGGACGCAGTCTTATTGTGGTAAGTGCTCCTCCTTTTTAGAGAAGCGATCAGTTGTGCAGTCGACGTTCGGACCCGCCCGTAGCGATGTTCTCGAGAGAAAGCTGCGGGGTGTGGGAGTAGGCTTGGCGTCTCCCGATTAGAGACCGCCGCTGAACCCTTCGGTTACCACTACTCGTCACCACCCCACATATTCTGGCGCCCAACATGGGGCCACGACTTCCTTTATCGCGGTCGTGGCATTCATTGAACGTTAGGCTAGCACTGTGATCTGCCCTTTCACGCCATGTCGACGAGTCAGCCCAATTTTCGGTCGCTGATCATGTTGGCAGAAATGGCTACGAGAGGGCTCACCTCTGATCCCCTTGGTGACCCGGATGCCTCTTATGCAAGCCGTGTGTTGTCGCCGAGCCAGCCAGGTGGCCCTCTGATTGGAGGAAGCGCCTCGGTTGATGGGCCCACGAGAGCTTCTCCTTTTCGAGACGGCTCTCTGTTGCGGCCAGAGTCCTACACCGCTCCTATTAGAGCCAGCGTTGTGGGCCCCTCTGATGCCACTCCCCTCGGAGGTGGCGCAGATCACCGGTCTTTGGGTATAGCTACTGTTCAAGCTGACGCCCTGCCGGGCAGCCACATGACGACTTCTCCTGTCCAAGACGGTTATCGTGTTCGGCAACCGCCCGGTCCTTCCCCGATGGGAGGCCACCAGGTGGCTGGACCGAGCACGCCCCTCTTTTGTTGTGCCGCTCGGAGTTTCGTGCAGTTTGGCGCCTCCCGCAATCGGGATGGCGCGCTGCTTGATGGCCATGAAGCGGTTCCTCTGCCGCGAGACAATATCCCACCCTGGCCTGCACAAAGCACGACCCCGATTAGAGTCAATGATGCCGGCGACTAGATTGAGTTGCCTGCCGACAATGTCCATCCACCGGCTCCGTGCGACCTCGCTCCCTTTCGAGCTGGCGCTTCGCCCATTAGCGGCCTGGAGGCTTCTCCGTTTGGAGATGGCCCCCAGGCTCTGCTGGTGTCTAGCGCCGCTCCCCTTGGGGCTGGTGCTGGGAGCTCTCATGATGTGCTGCTACAAGAAGCGGCGTGAGTCATTGAAAGCTTGACCGGTGCGATGCAGTCAGTACTGCAAGCACCCAGGGTACTACAACCACCTGTGCCAGTCCCGATTCCCAAATACAAGGGATACGGAGACTCCATAAGCGCGAACAACTTTCTCGAGGACCTGCTCCATTACCATGGTCGATCAAGAGGTTCTCGGCCGAGTCCTGCCTGTCGCACTGACTGACCAAGCTGGGTGGTTCCGCCTTTGTGGACAAAACGCGCTGACTCTCGATCAATTCCGGTCTCTGTTTTGCCAGGAATTTCTCCCCGCTGACTACGAAAGGCGGATGAGACGGGAGTTGGAGCGGCGTACACAGCACCCAGACGAATCGTTGCTGGAGTATGGGAGGGCGATGTAGGAGCTGTTCCTTCTCGCTGACCCCTAGGCCCCTAATGCGGAACGCGTTGAGCGTGTCATTCGGCAGGTGCACACGACTTTCTCCGCCTACCTTCGAGGCAGCTGTGTCCATTCACCGGATGACCTGGCACTTGAGGCTCGCCGCATTCAAGGTGACATTCTTGCAACTCGAGCCTACCGGCCCCGGGGGCATTTTGGATGGGGACATTGTAGTTCATTTAGAAGAGTATGTTAATAAATGCTCTTGGAGTCTGTCCTTACTCTGGTACGTGTGTCTTCTCTTCGCCATATTCGAGAGAGTGAGACAAGGTAGACGATCATTGGCACCGACAAAGGTAATTAATCGAACCGACCTGTGGTAATGTAGCCCTAAACGTCGTCTACATTGCCGCGGAAATGTGGGGACCGCGCTGCTAGGTTTGATGTCTCCTTTGAGATCGCCGCCACTGTTGAAATAACCCTTTGGTTATTTCGGTACCTGTGTTGGTAGCTAGCAAATCCCACAACACATTCGCGTAAAGCAAACACATGCATCAAATGTGGCAACCGGGCACATTTAAAAGAAAACATGGCCGAGCCACAACCCGACTTGCTAAGAACAAAATAATTGGTGTGTCTATGTTTATACAGCCTGAAGTTAGTCTGCCTCAACGGGCAAGCTGTCTTTCAGCTGTAGATGAGCAATTTAGCCAGTGCAGTACAACCGCTAGCCTGGGGCCTTTAATGAGCACCACGCAGTAGTGATACACGACCGCACGCCGGTACGAGGCTCATCCAGATTGAAACAGCAGGCACAGCAGGTTTGTAGATTTCGGATTTGGATCAGTGGTCATCGCATAGACAGCTCGAAGCTACAGTGTCTACAAACATTGTAGTGAGCGAAATGACTTTACAGCATTTTCACACCGTTTTTTGTGAGTCAAATATATTTTTTCAGAAAATTCGAGGCAAGGTGCATAAAATATCAAAACAGGGTCCACGTTTATCATCTTTAGAGAAACTTCGGAAGAGTTGGACACTGCGAAAAGCGGAGTTAAATTAAGTTTCCTGAACTCAAGCACCGCTAAGACCTATTTTGACAATGGACTACAAACCTGTGAATCTCATGACTACCTATACAAAATAACTATTTTAAAAATATTTAATAACAAAACACTATACTGAACAAATCCTTTCTTTATTTCACCACATTTTTTTAAATAACTTTTTGTCTAAGAAATGATTTTGTATGTAGTACACTATTCATATGTTTTATAAAGAAGTAAAAAAAAAACAAATGTTTGTTTTTCTTTAGAACAGGTGGAAGCCAATAATTGCTCTTGACAGAAAGAAAGTAGTGAGTGATGAGTTTCTGCTAACGCTTGCACTCAAAAATACAATCTGCACTGAGATCCTGAGTGTGTGAACATCATGTATTCATTCAGGAACAATGCATACTGTAACATGTGTCCTATCAAAACAATTAAAAAAAAAATGACAGGGCAGCGACTTGATGGTTGAGCCAAATTTGTAGAAACCACAACGGTTTTTCTATGATTGCGATAGCATTTTTCTTTGCACACAGCTAAATTTAGCGGGGAAACTGAATTGGTGCATAGGTCATGATGTGAATTTATCTACTAAATTAAATCCTTGTCATCCTCAACAAGTTAAGGAATGCACCCCAGAGACCGATGTCAAACACGACATCTAAAATGGCCACTAGGGCAACTTCAAGGACGACGCCTAGGACAACCTCCAGGACGACCCCCAGGACAATGTCAAGGTCATCAGGTCCTTCGAAGAGGGTGCAAATGTGAAGGAGTGCGTACTGCTGCTCCGCATATGCGCAGCACAATGGGATGCAAGCACAGTGAGCTGAAGTGGTCTAGCACGCATACCCATTGTGCGTTAGGAGGCCAAAATATACATAGCTGAAAATCATAAGTAGTAGCTTAATTATGCTATCACATTAAAAAAGCTTTTTGCGAGTACAATGTTTCTGACAAGGCTCACCGCTCGACTGCTGCACGGGTATGTAAGTGCCACACTTGATCTGCTCGACGAGGAACCGGTAGTAGACGTTGAGCGGGTGGTCGAAGGCCAGGAAGGCAAACTGTGGGTTGGACGACTGCTTGGTCTTCACCAGGATCTCCATCTGGGCCCCGTGCTGGGACACAAACACCGCTGTCTTCTCAATGATGGCGTGCAGCTTCATGGTCGGGGGCTGCACCGGGAAAACAGAAGCAGTCACGCCAGTATCCGCATGGACGAGTAAACGTCCCACGAGCTCCGACGGTCCCACAAAGTTTCTCAAGACTGTGCCTCAAAGAAAAACAGGCAGATGGCAACGATTACACATAAAGCCACGAAACGTAAACGTGGTGGCACACACAGCAAGAGGCCTTCAGGAGTACAAGCACGTACCGCATGCCGGAGAGCGTCGTACCGTATTCCACGTGGCAGTGCGTGTCTCCGGAATGCCTCTGGTTGGATACGTTCCGTTTCGGTGCATTTGTAAAACAGATAAGAAACACCGAAAGACCAGGTGGTGTGGCGTAGTGATTAGCATACAAATCCTGGCGCCGCACAAGATTTTGTTTTTCGGCAGTTCCGCAACAATCTATTTGATCGATACAGTTCATTCATGCACAAATTTTCTACTTGTGGTGCTAGTAAAGGGTTCAGTAGAGCTGCTGCAGCTTTTCCTTGATTTCCTGGTCGATGTTAAGAAGTTGATGCATCTTGGTTTTTGCCGTTTTCCTTGAGCTGTTCGACTTGACAATGTAGGTGATGTCACCTCTTGCCTCGGCTTTCTCAGCGAAGTGATCTGCTGAAGCTGCCAGATCAGAGATCATTGTGGCCAGGCGCTTAACGGGCATCTGCTAAATCTGTCTACATGTGCCATATAAGAAAACTTCCCCATTGGAATTTCGAAATTTATGTTAACATACAAGTAAAAAATAATTATATTTTATTATTGTAAAAACAATTCATTTTTGCACAAAAAAAGAAGAAAAAACTTACAATGTATCACCAGGAAATTCAAGGATATTCAAGCACTGCTAAAAATTCCAAAGCCTTCAATGTCCGGAAAATGTTTTCAAATTCAAGGGTTCTGAAGGATCCGTGCGAGCCCTGTACATACGCTCAGAATGTCGACGCCCCACTCCCCGACTGTCTTCTAAGTGTCAGGTTATCCGTTGGGGTTTTGGGAGTTCGTAGATGATCGTGAGTTTAAGGCGTAGACTGGGGTTGATTTAAAATTAACAAGACGTTTATTAACTGGGATTACAATCGGATACACAAGGTTACAAATTATGTCGGAGGGAAGAGCGGTCGTCCCGTCCGTATCGTACGGCGTCCCGGAGTCGTCTCTGTTGCGAAGGGGCTTCTCCTCGGTGAGACGTAACCCGACGCCTTGCTCCTCTCGCCTCGGAATCCCGCCCGGGTCACGTAAACCGGGGGGCCCGATTCTGGGGGCTCCACGGAGGTGCAATGGGAAAGCCCGGGCTGGACGTAATTTTAAGGTGGCTTCTCCGCGCGGAAGGCGCTTGACGCTGACACGCCCTCCTTTAAATATGATTTGTCCTCAAATCACTCCAACGCGTAATCCGCAAGGTAGGCCGGAGGTCTGCGCGTCCTTGACAGTTGCTGACCTGCAGCGTCATCCTCGACGTTGATGAGTGCTCCGTAGTTTTCTTTATCGCGCGTTGGGGCTTCGGATCCGTCCTCGTCTTCACGTTCATCGCTTTCATCTGCGCCGGAGAGCGCTCGGCCGACGCAGGTGTCGGATAACTCCGGTGCCGCTGGTGTGCGTGTATTGTGTCGGCGGAGTTGTTCGACGTTTGCCTTTCTTTCGTTTTGTCGTCCTTTTATGGAATGCAGCCTTTTGATGACCACGGTGTTTGGGGTTCGAAAGGACTTGATCTCGAACGGGCCCTCGAAGAACGGGTCCATCGTGCTTGACCTCGCTCCGATGCTGCAGTAAACGGAGTCGCCGATTTTAAATCTCGGGGTCTTGCTCCTTGCGTCATACCAGCTTTTGGCCGAAGCTTGAGAGTTTTCCAAGTTGTTTTTCGCGTCGTGCCGCTGTCTTGCCAACCTGTGGAGTCTAGTCGTCTCGTCTAGGTCAGCCTCAACTGTTCCGATGTTGAGCTGTCCGGGAAGTTTCGGGACGTAACCGTGCATGAGTTCGAAGGGGCTGAAGCGTGACGAACTCTGTCGCGAAACGTTGACAGAGAAAACTGCCTCGGGTAGAATCTTCTCCCAATTCTTGTGAGGTTCGATGAGTTTTCGAATTATATTCTTCAGCGTCCCTACCATCCGTTCGACAAGACCGTTGGCCTGAGGCCAGTAGGGTGGTGAGGTCACGTGCGTGATTCCAAGTCGTCTGTACAGAGCGGCAGTCTGTTTGTTGACGAAGCTTTTAGCCTGGTCGGTGACGATTGTCGTGGGCACGCCAAATCTCGGAATCCAACGATTCAAGAGGTAGTCGACGTAGAAGTGTGCTGCTGTAGAGGGCACGGCGACAGCGTCAATGTAGCGAGTCGCGTGATCGATGCAAACGAGGACATACTTTTGACCGTTGCTTTCTTCCAGTGGTCCGAAATGGTCGAGAGAGACTGTCATGTTTGGAGAGTCCGGGACTGCGCGAGGTTGCAGAGCGCCTTCTCGAGTTATGGTTCGTTGGTTCACGCGTTGGCACGTGTTGCACGATCGAACGTACTCCCGAATGTCTCGCGACATCTGAGGCCACCAGTAGTTCCTCTTGATTTGTTCCGTCGTTCGCTCCACGTCCATGTGTCCAGTCGAGTCATGACATATGTTCATAACAGAATCTCGAAGTGTGTCTGGCACAACGATTCTCTTGAACTTTTCGTCCATTTTTAATAAGATCCCATTCGACCGTCCGTAGTCGTTTCCGGGCAGTGACGCTAGTCGCTGACACAACGGGTCGATCTGTTGCTGTTCCCGTAGGCGGCTGTTCGTGCTCACTTGCGCATTCAAGCAGATGGGGGAGGGGTTGGTCGCTCCGGCGAAAGTGAGAAGAGTCTGGGAGTCTTCCGGGTCGTACTGACGTGAGAGGGCGTCCGCCTTGTTTGATTTACTCGGTCGGTGTACGATTTCGAACTCGTAGTCCGAGAGGTCGAGGATCCACCGTGCAAATCTTCGGTTGGTCAGGCCGTTCTTAACAAGGTATGTGAGGCACATGCTGTCCGTAATGACTGCAAATCGTGGGCCTCCGCGCAAGTATATTGCGAACTTTTCCGTGATGGCCCAGTGTAGCGCCATGCACTCGAGAACGTTAATGTGCAAGGTGCTGTCGTGCGCGTTCAAAGATCTGCTTGCGTATTCGATTACCTTGTCGCACGAGTCGTGTCTCTGCGTCAGGATCGCTCCAAAACCCGTTTGGCTCGCGTCCACGTGAACCGTGCTGGGGCACTCACTCCGAAAGGTGGCCAGAACCGGCGGAGTCTTCAGACAATGCTTCAGGTCGTCGGCGATCCTTTGATGTTCGTCAGACCACTTGAAGCTCGCGTCCCTCAGCAGTAGCCTACGCAGCGGTGATGATCGTGTTGCGAAGTCCGGGATGAACTTTCGGAAGTGATTTAGGAACTGTAGGAATGAGTAAAGATGCTTTGCATCCCTCTCGGGCTGAAACTTGTCGACTGCAGAAACACGCTGAGGATCGGGTGTTCTGCCTTCCGCCGTGATCACATTCTCGAGAAATTGAACGCTGGTTCGTACGAACTGGCACTTCGCGATGTCCATGCGGAGTCCGTTCACAACGATGCGTCGTAGGGCTTCGTCTAGAAGTTCCAGAGCCTCAGCTACGGTTTTTGCGCCTTGGCCAACGTCATCCATGTACGTTGCTGTTCGGGGAAGTCCGTCGAAAGTTCTTCGCATGACCATTTGCATAGTTTGGGGCGCCTTACAGAACCCGAAGGCCATGCGGAGATACTCGTACTTGCCATCTGGAGTGACAAAGGCTGTCTTGTGAACATCTTCCGGCTTCACTCGGATGGTGAGAAATGCGGTCTTGACGTCCATAACAGTAAAGTAACGGGAGCCGTCCCCCATTACATCGTCGAGTGCGTCGTCCATTCGAGGCATGGGGTACGGCGGGTTGACTGTTTTGGCGTTCAATTTTCGGTAGTCGTGAACCATTCGTCTGGGAGTCGAGGGATGGTTCGGCTGGTTTACCACAAGCGTCGGTGCAGCATATTCGCTTTGGCTTTCGCGAACAATTCCACGCTCGCGATAGTCTTCGACCTGTCGTTTGATGAATTCCCGGTCGGCTGGGGAGCATCGATAGGGCCGCGACGCCACGGGGATCTCGTCGCGTAGCTCAATGGAATGCTCGGCGTGTGGGCAGGTGCCCAGTTGTTCCTCCACCGTCGTAAACGCAGCGTGGTGTTTTGTGAGTATCCCAAAAAGTCTTTCGCGTTCTTCCGGCGAGGCGTCTTCGGTAATGCTGTCCACAGCCGTGTGGATTCGTTGCATTAGGGCTGCTTCGATGTCATTCCGTGCTGGCTCGAACTTCACGAACATGGCCAGGCGTTCAGCTTGGGGCAGTCTCTCGTGAAAGTTGGACACCAGAGCTTCTCCGGAGATTGTCGTCTTTGGAATCTCGGCGGGCGAATCGTAACGTTTAGGTAGTTCAACGATGGTTATGTCGTTCGAAACGTGAAACGTGACTTCCACGTTAGCGAGTTGGCGCCAATCTGATCCGAGAAGTAGGTCAATTGACTTCGGGAGTGGAAGAATGAGTATTTCCGGTACCTTGACCGTCGTTGATCCAACGCTGATCGTCAGAGACGTGCACTTGTCAGGCGTCAACTTGTTGTCCAAAACGTTGACGAATTCCTCTGCCCGGGACCACGACGATACGCAAGCGTCCTGGGGTAGTGCCCTGGGATCGATGATCGATACGTTGGCTCCAGTGTCGATGCACGCCTTCAAAGGACGGTTATCCGTGAAGGCGGTGACGATGGGGAGAGAATCTCCTGTCGTGCGCAAGAAGCAGTGGACATTCTTCTCGTTTGGACCCGCGCCCTTTTGTGCGCGTTTCTCCTCTGCACGGATGGTCGCTGCAGTTTTCGGCTCTGGACAGTCCCTGGAGAAGTGACCGGGCTGGTCGCAATTAAAACAGTTGCTCTGCCTCGTGCGTTTGAAGGGTTTCGGTGTTGGGGCATTCGTCAAGGTGCTGGTCGGGGCGCCTGTCGTTTGCTGCGTTGATGTCGAATGTTCGTGCGTGCCTTGTTTGCGTGGTTGAGTCTTTTCTCTGGGACGGCGGTGGTCCAAAGTCGTCGCGCAGTCAATCAGCTCGAGGACCGATTTACAGCCTTGGGCTGCCAGGGGATTGGCCCACTTGTCCTCGGTGATTCCGTGTAGGATTAAGGAGATCCGTTCGCTAGCTCCTAGCTCACAGGGAGCTCGCTCGAGCATGGCATTCTTCGCGTAGATGTACTGCGCAATGCTCTCGTTGTGGCGGAGCTGTCGGCGCTGCTGGTACTCCAAGAATTGTTGAAGTCCCATTTTTCGTTGGAAGCGTTCCTTGATGGCTTCCTTCCATACTTCCCAGTCGTCGATCCGGGAACCGTATGACTTGTGCCAGTCTCGTGCGGCACCGTGAAGGCGGGTGACGGCGTTGAGCAGAGTGAGGTTTGGTGTCCAGTTTGCGAGGAGAGCCACTCGTTCGATTTCTCGAAGCCACTCAGCGACGTTTTCGTATGACTCCCCCTCGAACGTGGGAATCGCGTGCGAAGTGTCGCTCGTGGAGTGGACGTGGAGGGGCCTCGTGGACTGTCGTAGGGTCTCGGCCAGTTGTTGTTGCGTTTGGACGATGACCGACAGCAAATCAACCGTTGTTGCGTTGCCGCTCACCTGCGTTGTCGTGCCCAGCGCAGAAGCATCCGTCGTGGTTACTTCTCGTTCTGGTCCGTTTCGGTCCGTCACGTTGACGCCATTTTCTGGGTGTGGCGTTGGAAGTGCGTTGTTGAAGGCCAGGATTAGTTGCTGGAGTTGAATTTTGATATCTTGTATCTCTTGACGCATTGTGTCCTGATTGGTAGTTTCCGTTCCCTTGTTGGAGTCCGTGATCAGGGCGTGGTCACCGGTTTCGTTGGATTCTGCGGATCCTGTCGACTGCGCCATGTCAGGTTATCCGTTGGGGTTTTGGGAGTTCGTAGATGATCGTGAGTTTAAGGCGTAGACTGGGGTTGATTTAAAATTAACAAGACGTTTATTAACTGGGATTACAATCCCAGTTAACAAACACAAGGTTACAAATTATGTCGGAGGGAAGAGCGGTCGTCCCGTCCGTATCGTACGGCGTCCCGGAGTCGTCTCTGTTGCGAAGGGGCTTCTCCTCGGTGAGACGTAACCCGACGCCTTGCTCCTCTCGCCTCGGAATCCCGCCCGGGTCACGTAAACCGGGGGGCCCGATTCTGGGGGCTCCACGGAGGTGCAATGGGAAAGCCCGGGCTGGACGTAATTTTAAGGTGGCTTCTCCGCGCGGAAGGCGCTTGACGCTGACATAAGCATGGCCGTCTCGTTGCCCAGCGCAGAGCGGATGCAAGTGGAAACAGTCACAGTAGCCGCTTAATAATTAAAACTACACTCCAGAAAGTCACACTTTTTATTTGAATTATCAGAAGATTAAATTGGAAATTCATCTAAATATGATTCAAGATAAAATTATGGTTTGCTATATGGATGGTCACACATACAAAGCAGATGTATTACGATTTTCCCTACATAGGCCTAATAATCATAAGCAGGTATGCCACACATGAAACATTGGTGAAATGTATGACGCAAGTTTATTCATCCTGCAAAAAGTGCTGTTTATCGTGGACCGTTTAGACAACACGTGACACCTCAAAACAAAGTTAAGTTTATTTATCTAGCAAAAAAAGTTGTCTATTGTGGACTATTAAGCAAGAGACACACAAGTGATGAAAATGGGTGCCGCACGGTAGTTTTCAGAGCAACTTGCGCGGACGCTGCGACGTGGACCTATGCCTTGCTGCCACGTCACAGCATCCGTGCTAGGTGCTATGGAAACTGCCGCACGGCGCACGTTTGCATCCCTCACGTGACCTTAGCCCCGTGAAGTGCCCCTCTTACCGAGCACCGGTGCACTGCAGAGAAGCAACACCTGCGGAAGTGAGCTTCGCGGGTACTGCTTCTTTGCAGTGCACCGGCGCTTGGAACGAAGCGCGTTCGATGAGGCTGCAGGAACAAAAAGTAGGAATTACACAAAAATGCCGTTCGATTTAAGCGGCTTATAAATACATTAAAAATGTAATGAGACGACCCAAATTTTGAAATTTGAATTAACGAGAACTATGAAATATCTGAGTTTGAATTACCGCTAGTCTACTGTACTGTACCCCCCAAGCTTTAGGCATGCACATCGCTGGGAAGCTTGGGGGTATCGGCTTTGCTCCACTGCAGATCGGTTTAAGAGTTCTGGAGGGCAGAAAAGGGTTTCCCGAGATTTTGGATGAAGCTTCAGGTAACTGGCAACAATGGTTTTAAGCTCCACGACAGCTGAAGCGTCGTAGCTAGCTTTGTAGCTCTAGGTACGCACACTGTATCGAGCAGAAGCTTGTGCCACAGCCTACGGCTTCATAGTTACATTTATAATCAAAGGGGAGACTGAAAGGAGGCTAAATATGGGGTGGGGATCTGTTTTTTGTGTCTGGAAGTTAGGTTAGGTTAGGATAAAAACAATCATGTAGCATGTAAATAGCGCAATATCATGCGAGTTACACCTGAAAACAAAATCTGGTATGTGATTCAGACAAATGAACTAAACACCCAAGAAAGGCTGCCATACTTTATTTCACACAGCCACACTCAACCACCACAGTGGCTGTGCGGGTATATATAGGATGTTTGAGAAATAAACCAGTTAGATGAGTTTGAGACGTTCACTTCTATGTCTGCTCCTTTGGCTAAAAGTTTTCCTTTTCTTCATCGCAGTCTCACGTGTTAAACACGATTAGCTACCACCAGCTCACCTGCCCACTCACAGTCTTTTTGCAAAAGACATGTGGTGGCAGTAGTGGTGCCACCAATGTGGAGCGAGGAAGGTAGGATAAAAGGAGAGAAGAAAGAAAGCTCAGCAGAAAGAAAAAGGAGAAAGGTGCAGAGAGCAAGACAGGTTGAAATTTGTCCAAAAAAAAGGTAAACTGAAAAAAAAAAAAAAAGAGCGCTAGAGCAGGCGAAATGGGCCCATGCTTCCGTGAAAATAATTAAGATACATACCGTTGGAACCGAAGGTGGAATGTGCAGTCCCTTGGGTGCCTTGAAGGGGGTCTCTGCGTCATCTTCTACAAAAAGAGTGGCACAAAATTCACCCCAAAATGGTAGCCACGACTAAGAATTGAGACTGAACCACCCTGACTGCCTTTGTGGCCAGAGTGGGACGTGGTCTATTCGCCACCTGTCAATATAATGGGTGCAGCACAAGTGACGAATCACCCTCATCCCAATCTGGGCACCAGGCAGAAGGGTCCACCAAGCAGCATAAGATACTTACGCGAGTCTTGCAACTCCTGGGCCGAATTTTCTGAATCGTAGGAGAACGGAGTCTCCTTGTAGGTGCCATCCGAGTTGAGTGCCACGTTGAGGCGCTTAAGCTCTTCCTCTGCCAAATGAAATGCGGAGCAAGTGAGCTGCACTGTCGTAAAGCGACCCGAGACATAAATTGCCCGTCAAAAAACAAACACGTCGCGTAAAAATCTTGAATTTGGTTCAAACAAACGAACACCCGAGAAAGGCCACCGTACTCCATTTCACCTCAAAAGGGACCGCAGCGAATGCTACGAGCCATCCCTGGCAATCTGATGCTGCAAGCGCGTCACGTGATTGCACGTCGCCAAGCTCCTCCCGACGGTCACGTGGCACCGGATTGGATTACATGGCTCGCAGCATCTTCCACAGTCCGTTACAACGTGAAACGGAGTATGGGAACGAGGGCATTAGCATCATATGCAAACCTCTCGCAGCACGGTTGGCTGTGCACTAAATGCTTTTTTAACTTTTTCCAGATGAATGTAACTCAATCAAGCTCTATGATTTTTAGGTAGCTCCGGCTCAATCTAGCTTCGTTGCCCAAGGTCTGCTTCCGCACATGTTCCGACAGACTCCTTGGTTCCTACTATGGTACCCAGAATGCATGTTAGGACTGGTGTGTTTCACATCCCATAAGTGGCAACAAATGATGCCGGCATATCCTGCCGTCAGACATCGCGGTCCCGGCAGTTAGCAGCAGAATTACTGGCGAAAAAGGAAGGTCCAGTTTAAGAGAGTAGAAACACGAAGGACGAGGACAGACGAACAATCTCTTTCATTTAGGAACACTAGATAAAAGAGCGTTCGTCCGTCCTTGTCCTTTGTTTTTTAAACTACAGCATTCCATTCGCAACACGCTCGCATAACTTCAAAAAGAAGAGCCAATGCGAGCACCGCCGTCGTCGCCACGCTCGAACTGCTGGCTGCCCAAGCTTCCGGGTCAGGTTGGAGACCGAGCTACAGCTGAACAGGGGCCCGTAACATTTGCTCCCGCAGCTGTGCCGTCGCCAGGGTCGCGGTAGGCAGCAGCATAACACTTTTTCGACGTCATCGGGCAGAAATCGAGGATCCGTAGTTCCTACCAAACCGTCTCGAAGCAGAGTAGCTCTGAAGACGGGCAAACCCTCACCGTGCAGGATGGACTCCTCGTGCAGGTCCCTGAAGAGAGCCAGGAAGCGCTCCTCTTCGCACAAATCTTCGAGGGCCCTCTCCTCTTCGGAGAGGCTTGCCATGTAAGCCGCCACGGCCCCCGGCTTGGGTTCATGCTCTTCGACGTTGTTCAGGTAGCCCCTGGCGTCGTACCTATGCATACGCGGGGACGCTCATTAGACAAGGCTCGGGAACGGGGAAACTGCTACGCTAGAGGCCACGTGGCTCCTTCCTTAATCTCTGCTGGCTCAGGATTCAAGTCTGAAGTGTTGGTGCAGCGTGAACGGAACAATTACAATCACGAGAGTGAATTTGGCTAAAAGCAGTGTGGCACTTATTTTTCTCTCTTGTTTGCCGACATGGTTGCAGTTTATAAGGCACGAAGACTGCAGCATGGCACTGAATGTTTGCCTCAGATAGTGAGGAAACAGAACCGAGTCTCGAAGGAGCTGGACGAAAAAGATTAGACTGATTTCAAAATATGTTTGATATAATTTCAACGTGGCATGAATTTCCTAGCTACTTTATTCTGGTTACCCAACAGTTCGATTTGAATGAGCGATGTTAATGCAGCCGGAAACAGTGCAAAATCTATGCAACACCTCGTGATATGTGCGCAAATGTCTAAGCAATGAAAACATAATTTGAAGCACTCCTTTAGCCATCTTTCCTTAGTTTATTGCTCGTTGCACACTGCAGTCTACACAAAATCGATTCTGCCACCAAAGACGTTTGAATTAAAAGAGACACTGCCAATTTTTCTGCAATGACGAGATGGGTAGCTGAATAGTAAATCAAGACTCTAAAATTGTATATTATTGTTTGTGTTATTAGTTCAATGTCGTAAATATATAAGCACTACAAATGACCACAAACTGCAACCATATCGAGCACACCATACCGCGCGAATCGTACGTGTCGAGCTTACTTCGGTCAACAACATCGGTTTCTACAGCATGTTTCGCTTTACTGATTTTATGCTCGCCTTAAATAAAACAAGAGGACACTACGAGGCTGCTCTAAGCTAGCGCCAGCAGAATAACGGCGTCTGCACGTTCTACAAGACACAGCAACATTGGATAGAAGTAGTTGAAACAACATCGCGGTATACCTGTTCGGGGTCCCGCAACGGGGCACACCACACACATTTGGCACTTTTGAACCTTAATACTGCGAGCGAGCGCTCCGCAGCTACACAACACTCATCGGGACAACAGAGAGATCCCAAGGGCGCGTCTCTCTCCCCTCTGCTTCGGCTCCGCACGCTACCTGCAGGGAATGCTAGAACAACTAGGCAGAAATCATTAGCGAAACACGGGTTTTAAGGCATGCAAGTATGAGTCAGAAAAAACGTCAGTAAAAACCTGGCCAAGTGAAAATCCGCAAAGTGAGGAGGGCAGCATTGTTTGCTCGAAGACGGACCTGTCAATCATAAGGCTGTCGTCACCCATCCAGGGGATCAAATGTTTGCCGCGGTCAATAAGCATTGCCTTTTCGTTGTCCCTGAAAAGTTTACACGAGTAGCCGAACACTAAGAGCTCCTCGTCCGGTTTATTCCGTTCGCCTGCAGCCCACGTCCGGCCATTCGCAGCAACCGCCATTTTGGTTTTCGGTTCAGCTTGCACCTTGTTGCTGGGCTATCAAGCAAGATGACTGATATAGCGCCAAATTTGGTGCTTTGCGAAATCAAGAAACCCAAGCAAAACACATTTAACTGTTGCTTTATTTATAATTTACAAAAAAAACTAATATGTCTACGCGTTTATATTGAAGTTTAAATGAATAAATAAATAGTAGTAATTGTGAATATTGAAGAAATTTGCTGCGAAAACTAATCCAATCCAATTCAATCCAGTGTTTGAATTTCGTTTCGAGCATTTTGAGGGAATTTGTGCGTTGTGGCCTGTGGTTGGGGCGTTCTGGTTGTAATTCTTGCCTGAACAGGACGGCTAGCCGAACAAGGACCGGACTGACCGAACTACTGTTGTTGCTCCGGATGCTGGTTATTGTGGGGCCGTGGGCACGGTGAATATTCTTACGGGAATAGGAGAGAAACAGCCCGCTGACGCGTTGCCACCGCAGATCCACACTACGCCTTCGTGCAGATAAGCACGTTATCCATCTCTTCGATCATTGCTGTGGGTCCGACCCTAACTGTCTTCGCAAATTGTGTGCCTACGAGACGCAATGAAGACGTGCTGCGTCTACAAGTGCGGTGCGTGTCCTGCCGACGATGTGTCGCCCATCAGGTTTCCCAGGGTCCACATAGTAAGAAATAAGCGGATTCGGATGATCCGCGCGGTTCGCTTCAATCCTGCGATTTCCATGTGGTGTGCTTTAGACATTTTGAAGCGGACGTGATAGCAAAGGTGAGACGAGCGCGACTCAGGAAGGGCGCCTACCCGACGCTGCGGCTCGAAGGAACGTCGGCTGCGAAGAGTGCAAGAAAACTGGAGGGTGATCGTGCCGGTAAGTAGCATTCAGCATCACATCGGCTGAAGGGGATCTATATGGATATATGAATGCTGGATGGTGGCGCCGATGCAGCATCGTTTGTGTTTGGAACTGCTGACTTCCCATGCAGAATTTTGTCAGTACTCAGTTGAAATGTTTTTGTAAAATAAGCTAAAAAAAAGGAGGGTTTTGAATTCCGACATTGCGATCATTGGGCGGCTGAGAAAAGGTCATCGCAAAACCGCCAGAGCCGGAAAAATGCTGTCTTTGACGAACGCAGAAAATCTGAATTAGGTGTTCACCCAGCTGAAATGTGTTCACACAACTCAGGTGTGTTTGGACATCCTCCATCTACATGCAGGCGGTTACTCGGCGCTTCGACAGCAGAACATTTGTGTCAGTCAGACGAACAAGAACCAGAATAGCTCGAGTATATGCAGATCCCTATGAGCCCCGCTGCCTTTCTGACATCTGGGGCAGTTACCATCGCACAACTTCGTCAGCATCTAATGCAGCACATTGGGCGCTCATCGGCGTGTTAGTATAAAGATCCATCCCATAGTTATTATTAGGATTGCAGTCTATTTTTTTATTTTTGCCAAGATGACTTTTTTTTTTTTCACTTTTTGAAAGTTGTGGCGGTCTATCGAATCGTACCGAGCACTTTTCCTATTGCATAACTTGAATTTTTTTTTTCTTGCGCAGGGGGGCTGGAGGGATGGATGGATGTTAATGGCCATACCCTTTGTAACGGCGTTAGCTTGCACCACCTAGCCTAAGTCTAAAAAGACACATACATTACACAATGAACCCCTTTCAAAAGTGTGCAGCAACTATTAGCTGCTGAGGACTGAGAACGCGATGGGTTGATCACACACTCCGAGCACATATTGGGCGTGAGCACTGCATCAGCGTTCAACGAGGGCTCTGATACAATTGCACGTCTCTTGTCAGTGATGTCACAAGGGTCAGCAACACCCAGGGCGGCAGCCCGCCGCGACCCCCCCCACTCTCGTGGCCCGCTGCGACACCCCCCTGAGCGCTGCTCCCTGGGTGATCTGCCCCCCCCCCCCCCCCCCCCCCCTTGTGACGCCACTGCCTCTTGGCCAAGTGACCGCCAACGTTGCTCAATGGAGTTACGAAAACGGCATTTTTTTTTTTTCAAAACTTGTTTCTCGTTTTACTGCCAAGCAACATTCTTATGCAGTTCACGAAAACTTGTCTTATGCCGTCTTTCTCAACAGTGCCAGAGGACACGCTGCCTGCTCTGACGGATCCAAATGCATGTTCTGGGGACTGTGGCATGATGCCTCCTCCCAGTCTGCTCATGGGAGGGTAGTGGAAGAACAGTTTTGCGGTGAAAGAAGGTGAGCCGAATGACTGTGTTTTACGGACCATGTATAGTCCGCACTCGGTGTATGGTCTGCATGTGGCAAATACTCCGAAGGTAAAATTTCTCGTAGACGGCACACCTTGAGAAAGGCCCGCGTGATCACCACGCAGAGGAGCATACGGGAATCGCCATTCGCAAAACCTCTCGCATCTCATCGTAGCAAACTATCCTGAAGGAACAAATATTTGTACAGCACCTGTTGGCAGTCTGCACCGCGTAAAATTTAAACGTTTATAGGTATAAAGACCATATTCTATAGTGCGGAAATTACGGTATTTAACGCAGCTAATTTATGCAGAAGACTTTCTGATGGCAGCAGGTTCAAGGGACCTGTAGTTTTCGTCGGCAGGACAGAAAGAGTTATGTGCTATTCCTCTGCATTCAGAGAGGAGTGAGGCAGTGATTGGAAAGATATTTAAATTACGGTATTTACCGCAGCTAATTTATGCAGAAGACTTTCTGATGGCAGCAGGTTCGAGGGACCTGTAGTTTTCGTCGGCAGGACAGAAAGAGTTACCGTAAAATACCGAGCATCCGCACATTCCCTACTAAGTGCCCACCCCAAAATTTCGAAACATCTGAAAAAATATGCACAGTATATATATAGGTAAAATTAATGACCTAACAAGCGCTCATTCCCCAATTTTCACGATTATCTTCATATTTCGAGTGGGCGCTGGCTCAGTATTTTACGGTACGTGATATTCCTCTGCTTTCAGAAAGGAGTGAGGCAGTGATTGGAAAGATATTTAATGTATAGACTAATGTATAGGCTCTGAACCACTGGCAAGTTCTTACCTAATCTGGATTCTTGTCTCTCCTGAACTTGGAGCTCACAGACAAGTTTGCTTTGCACTCTCTTTGACAAGGCGACACAAAGCGTTTGCTGATTCATTGTGCTTGAGGGCTGGCGTTGTGAATGTGCTGATGGGCTGCCCTCTTCCCATGGGGACCTGAATGTAGGCGAAGCAACCGGCGTTGTAGCAAAAAAAGGCAAGCTTTTCTTGCACCACCCCTCCAGCTTCTCTCTAGATTGTACAACCAATGGTAAATGGCTAGACATTGAAGGAGTTAAGGAGGCATTCCAAGCTGCAACTACGACAAAGCATGTTGACGTCGCATTATAAAAAATGTTTTTTGTGGTCACAGCTCTCAGCATCTACAACAGCAGTTTGATGTATGGTGACAATAAGTGCTTTGCTGCTTGTGAGGCTGTACCACCGTGGACAATATGAGCCGAAGCATCCCTCCGTGCTTCTTTGGTTCAGTGGACAATATGAGCCGAAGCATCCCTCCATGCTTCTTTGGTTCATCTGTCAGCTCTAAAAGTAGCTTCCATGAAAACATGTGTTGGCCCACAAATCTTAGCTCTCATTCTTTGAACTTTCGCAGTTCGATAGGTAATAGAGCTTATGGGAACTGTAGGCATAGAAGAGTCCAGATTGAGTGTTTCAGCTCACATTGTCCGGGGATGTACGTGGGGCCCTCCGTCGGCAGTCCATCCTTCGAGGTTACTTACAATAGTCGCTGCTCACTCGTCAGCCTTTATCTGCAGCATGTTAGTTACTATATCGTGCAGATGCTTTCCTAGCCTTTTGTACATGCCACGGGTTGAAATGTTGAAATGGGCTATCCTTTCAGAGCTGTAGTGCAATTGATTTTTTGATGGCCGAACTGGGCTCTGCTTTTGACTTGACTAACTGCAAGATTTCTGCACTGTACTTCTCATCAGAGCCCGAGGAGATTCTCGACACTCGTATGGGAGCGAAGTCGTGCGTTCCAGGGACTCTGGTGTAGCTTGCACTTGTACGTCGCACTTGGAGGGAGGGAGCAATAATACTTCCCTGTCAAAGAAGGTGAGCTTTTTCGATTGCAGTTATGTTTGATTGTTTCATTCTGACACAAGGTCTCGAGTAACATGGCAAAAGGCAGGTTTTCCACATTACTTTGCAATCACAACGAGAAGAAAGGTTTCAAGAATTCTTCGCCGTCATGATGAAGTTTAGGCAAAAGTTGTTTTACCATGTTTTGAAAAAGCTAATGTAGTAAAAAAAAGAAAAGAAACAACTGAAAGACTGTAAATGTTTGAGTAATTTTTTAGACACATCTCAAGAAACTGTTGATTAGTTTCACTGCACCTATTTATTTCATACATGATCATGTACATGTTTCTTATAAGGGTGGGGAGGGTGCCACCGTTTCCAGTGCTTCCTCCTCAGCTTTTACAATTATTTGTTCTGGCGGCCATCAAAAAACTTGGAACCAATGTTTTTGCCTCTGTTAGTAGCTTTCAAGTTAGATTTGATGGAAAACGTCTAGCAACGTTGCAGTTTTGCCATGGCAACGATTGCCTTCCACTGCATTGCAAGCATTTGTTCTTGTTTGTTGGTTTTGTCTTGCCAAAGAGAGTGCCTAACAACACTGGCAACAGCGCATTTTAAATTTTATGACAATGTCTCATTTGCGCAGGCATTGCAAGTATGAGCGATGCTCCTCGCTTTAAGTGCACAGGCATTGCAAGTGTGACTGAAAGCGTAGAAAGTCTGCCTGTGATGTCATCGGGAAATGGCAAAGTCTTTTTGCAACCACATCGCACGTCTTCTATCGGTGAAAAGAGAAAATGGGTCCACCCAAAAGCACGCTCACAACCCAAGATTCGTCCTTTGTCAACAGCAGTGTGTGGGCTCCGGCAGTCCGCATAGTTGTGTT